GTGCGCATAGCCTGGAGATATTTTTTGTTAATTTTCTGTACCAACGATTTTTCTTTGCTTTTTATTTAAAACTACAGTACTGTCATATAGCGTATAGAAATGAGGACCATCTAATTCCATTGATTTCCATCTATCGTTGTGCCTAATATGAGAGACATGGGCTTTGCTGCATCTCATTATTAATTAGATTTGCGAGAACATAAATACGGACTTATTCAACGCGCGTAGGTTTGTGTAGTGAGTCAGTCTCTCACCTAACAGAATGAATCTGGCCTCTGTAGTTAGAAAGCTTCATTCCAGCGCTAGGAGATCTGATAGTATATTAAAGTCATAGTAAAGAGACCTGTTTTAAATTTTGTTAAAAAATTGAAGGTTGTATGGATTTTCAAAACTAAATTACTGGCTCATGCTTGTCCAGAGGGACTTCTTTTCGTGAAGAATTTTATCATATATTCATTAATAATAATAATAATAATAATTTTAGAACAAAAGTAAATGCAATGGGCCAGATACAGAAACGATGACAAAATATCTTCATGATGAATATTCTGCCCATACCAAACAAGCTGATGTAGACAAACCTCGTACCCAACAGAGGTTACGCAACGCAGTGTTAAAAGCTGAAGCCAAAGGTTTTATTCTTGCTACACAGGATTAATGCTTACTAACTAGAAATTACCAAGCACACATACTGAAAAATTGCGTTAACCCAAAATACAGAATCTGTGATAATTATTCAGAAACAATTTACCATCTTATATCAGGTTGCACGGTATTGGCATCCATTGAATATAAAACTCGGCATGATATAGTGGGTCAATATCTGCACTGGAAAATCTGCAATTTTTACGGAAAGAAAACTGAAAGAAATTTTTATGAACACCATCCAGACCCGCTTACGGAGATAGGACCTGTAACAATTTTATGGGACTTTACAATACACACAGACAACAATGAAAGCTAATCACCCAGACATCGGGATCAGAGTCTACAGAAATAGAATAAGCCTTCTTATTTACATGAAAATCCCTTCAGATTGTAATGTATCTTTGAAGATCTTCAAAAACTATAAAAATATAAGAATCTTGAAATGAGAATCTAAAACAATGTGGCTTATGAGGACATCAATAATTCCAGTTCTAGTTGGAGCCCTCGGTTTGATTGGAAAAATTCCGAAAAAATCACTGAAGAGATTCCTAGTAGCCCATGCGTTAAAGAAATGCAAAAAAAAAAATGTACTCACATGTACAACTCACACTTTGCGAAGGGATTTAGAAATTAGCAAGCACACATACTGAAAAATTGTGTTAGCCCCAAATTAAGATTCTGTAAAAATATCCAGAAACAATTGACCATCTTGTATCAGGTTGCACGGTATTGACACCCACTGAATATAAAACACGACATAACAGATTGGACCAACATCTGCAATGGAAAATCTACAACTTAGGGAAAGAAAACTGAAAGAAATTTGTATGAACACCACCGAGACCCGATTACAGACATAGAACCTGTAACAATTTTACATTTGACACACAGAGAATAATGAAAGCTAATCGCCCAGACATCGGGATCAAAGACCACAAATACAGAATAAGGCTTCTTATTAACATGACCATCCCTTCAGATTGTAATTATCTTTGAAGATCTTCAAAAACTATCAAAATACAAGAATTTTGAAATGAGAATCTAAAACAACGTGGCACATGAGGACATCAATAATTCAAGTTGTAGTTGGAGCCCTCGATTTGATTGGAAAAAGTTCCGAAAAACTCACTGAAGGGATTCCTGGTAGCCCATGCGTTAAAGAAATGCAAAAAAAAAGAAAAAAAAAAAAAATGTACTTACAAATAAAGTTTACACATTACGAAGAGCTTTCTCAATGTAAAATGTGTGTGAGCTTAAGTTTTTATTTATTTATTTTTCTTATAAAAATGATCATTGGAAAATGTCATGAAGTCATTTCTGACCTTAGGTCTTTGGTTGGGACCCGGAAGGAAATATGTACACAATTAGAAATCAAAGAGCAATACTAAAATTAGCAAGAATAACGAGAAGAAGCAGTGAGAAGGCTTGCTGTCACTTGGTTTTTAGTATAAATCGCCAGTTATGACAACTTAACGTTTACAAAAAGAGATATAGTGTCATTCATAATAAAAAAAAGAACTTAGCTTACCTGCCGGAGTAAGATTCAACCAGGTATAATTGTTTTCAGTTTGGTCGTATTTCATTTGATCGAAATGCACTCTGGGATCAACTATGCAACCATTTCCGGCGTCTGAGAAGTTGGCGAACTGCAAAGTGAATTTTGAGAGTATAAAGCGTCATTGTTATTAGCCATAACGTATTGAAGGCGTTTTACACAATTTCGTATAACTTAAAAATTTATGTGAGAAAACTTTTTCATTCTGCAGCCACTTTCCCAAAGACACAATATCGCAAAGCAGTCGCTGCTCTATCGCTATTGTTCAAGACAAATTTTCAGAGAATTTTTATTCTTTAGTACCACCAGCCCAGACCTTCAAAATTAGAACAGGCCATGCCATTTCCACGGAGTCGAATCACCATCGTTTTCCCCCGTATTCAACTTGTAAAGAGAGAACTTCACTCAGACAGTCATTTCCTAAGAACTGCTACTTTGTGGAACTGAATCCTTCATGGGTGATTTACCGAACACTATAAGTTTAACACTCAATAACTCTTTGCATCTTAGTGGCTTTATTGCCTTACTTGAGTGAAATGATTTTTTCAAAAATTTCTTTTTTTTATTTTAACAATATTTTGTTTATCGCTAAATATATCTAATAATCGTTGATTATAATTATTTTTTCTTAATACAACACAGTTTCTTTTTATTTTTTATTACTATCACAATATCTTTATTATTTTCCATGGGAAATGTTCAGATGAGTGCTGAATTCTTTAGGTTAATCAGTTCAGACGTTTACATCTAACACACGTCATCCTACTTCCAGGAAGTCGAATCAGCCTCGTTTCCCCCCGCATCACAAATATAAGGAGAACGTTCCAATCAGTTTTTCTTCCCAAGAACTGCTTCTTTGTGGAATGACCCTGTCTCTCCTGAACGCTACAATCCTTAGCCTCTTAAAATCAACGGTCAGTCGTTATCTATCCTCCTTACTTTCGTAATTTTTGCTTCTTACCATTGGTCTCTTTTATTCATATCATACACCTCATTCATCATTTTAACAGTAATATTCTACCTTGAATGGCTTTCGAGCCTTGTACTGAAGAAACCTCAAAAAAAAAAAAAAAAAAAAAAGGTATCGAATTTCGTCATTTTTTTAAATCTAAAATCTTTTCGAAGTTAAGGATTTTTCCAGATACATGTCCTACTATTATTTAACCCATAGCTGGGAGGAGAAAATGTAATCGTACCTTTCCCCAAGGATATTTTTGCGTAAGTGAATGCAACGAAATCGACTGAAATTCGAACTCAGCTATCCATTTTCTTAATCCGAACAGACATCTGCTGCACCACCCGCACAAACTGAAACGAGGCAAGAATTCGAATTTTCAAGTCTAGGCAACAATGAAGTTATACACTTCAGGTTTTGTATTCGTCGTTGGAACTCAGTGGCGAATAAAGGCAATCGGCTTTGATCCTCTCGATTTGCATGCGTGGCTTTTATTCCCCAATGCTCAAAGCAATCAGGTTTAGTACAAGCGAATGCCACTGAACACAGGAGGTATAAAATGAGTATTGATTGGAACTTGTAGGGGAGAGAACTCTGTATACTATCAGGCTGTTGGCTACGTTATTCAAGTGTGCGCTTTCTTGGGTGAAGCTTGAATGAAGATCTATTTGATATAAAAAAATGTTATCTTTTTTATGGATATACTGGTTACAGTTATTTTTCAGTTATTTGCCAGATCCTTTCAGATCATGTCTCTCCACAACTTCTTATCTTTTGTTGCTCTAAATGACTTTTGCCCTCTTTGTCTTTTTAGTCCTTAGTTCTGCCATCGATTTTTTTAGATTTCGCAAGTAGGTCAGGGTAGAGTCTAGAATAGGAGACAGATGCGCATGCGCAAAACGATAAATTTAAAATTTGTACATGTTGACTGATTTGTTTTTTGTTTACGTTTTCTCAGCCTTTTCTGGATTATTTAAAGGCAAAACATATTTCTTTTGTAGGTCTCCCATTTAAGTACTGGGCGGTCACGACGCTGCTTAACTTCGGTGATGGAAGTGCTTTCAGTGTGATTCAGCCGTAAGCTGAAAAGGTGTACATTTCGTTTATAGTTGTGCTCGAAACATCAAATACGTTTGCTATTTTCTTTTCTGGATATATAACTGACAAATGTATTTTCTTTGAAAGGGGAGCCTTTCTGAATGTTCGTTTCTCTTTTACAAACCTTTTTGCATGCTGCCAATTGTTTTCAATTCTTTGTCTGAAATGATAGATGTATCATTTGATGATACAAAATCACTTTATGATCCTAGCCCAGTTGGTCAAGTTTTAGAATTATGTTTTCCTTCTCCTAGACAGGTTGACACCAAAGGCTAATAACTCAGTCTGCCCTTCCACATCTTGAAGGAAAGTGAACTTAAGGGTATTAACACGTAAGTGAATGTAATGAACTCGATTGGAATTCGAAATTGTCTCTTCGATTCCTCATTCCGAGCCGCAATCCATTTGCTCCACCATTCCTCTACAATAAACATTAAGCGCAACAAATACCTCAGTGTATGGATCAGCTATAACAAATTTAGTATGGAAGATAAGGAAATTGAACATAGAATAGGCATAGAGGTAGTTTCGCCAAACACCGCCAATTGCTACAAAACCAAAACATTAACCTAAAAACTTGAGTCATGTTCTTAAATAGCCTCGCCAGATCGAATCTTTTATATCTAAGTGATGTATGTCTTTTCTATTCATCATCTCTTTTGACTCTATTTTAAGAAAAGCCCCACTTGGGGCTTCACTCTCACTGAAAAAGCAGAAGCTATCCAGCCGAGAACATCACTGATGCTGACTATGCTGATGATCTAGCGATACTGGCTGACCATCTAAAAGATGCAACGTCACTCCTTCACAACAGCGAAAATCTAGCCCGGGAGATTGGAGTGTAGGTCAGTGCGGGTGAAACAGAATTCATCTGCCTGAATCAAGATACATCGGCAGGCATGAAAAGTCTGGACGGAGAAAACATCAAGCAAGTAGACGACTTCAAATACCTGGGTAGCTATATTGTTCCCCCACTGAGAATGACGCCAACATCAGACTGGGAAAAGCCTGGGGAGCACTTATTGAAATGAAGACAATCTGGAAATCAAATTCGCCGGACAGACTGAAGAGAAACTTTTTCAGAGCTACAGTAGAGTCTGTCCTTGTTTATGGCTCCTTAACCTGAACACTAACAGCCAAACTGGAAAAAAAGGTTAGATGGTGCTTACACACGAATGTGTCGAGCAGCACTAAACAAATCCTGGAAAGATCACCCAACAAAGGAAGAGATCTATGGCAATATGCTACCGATAGCAAATCAATATGCCAACAAAGACTAAGATTTGCTGGTCATTGTTGGTGTAGCAAAGAGCTAGCTGGAGACGTTCTACTCTGGATACAATCCCATGGAGAAAGAACACAATGTCGATCAAAGTTGTACATTGACCATCCACGGGATGTAGACTGGATGAGCTTCCAAATGCAATGAACGACAGGAATGGATGGAGGCAGCCTGTCATAGAATGCCGAGCTTGCTCGACCTGATGATGATGATGCATGGTGTCAGAATCCTTCAGAAATATCTAAATTGTCAGCTTTATCCAACCGTTTTATCAGATAAATGGTTAAAAGTGACTTCGTGCGGATGAACTCTGATTATATATATATATATTCATACATGTTTCATTAAATAATATAGACAAGTGAAATTTTTTTCGTAACGTCTGATAAATTTAATAACATTATCGTTGAACGAAGAAAGAAATTCACAATATTGATCCATATTTTTTTTAATACAATCTAAGCTTGTTTAATGAAACGTGGAGGAATGAAAAGATGCTGCCTAAATACACACAATATATATATATATATATATATATATATATATATATATGTGTGTGTGTGTGTGTAAAAATAAAACGTGAATATTGAATTCAATACTCAGACGCGACAAACTGTTTCGTGCTAAACCCAATCGTCAGGCCTGACAATTGCGTGAATGACGATTGCGTTTAGCATAAAACAGTCTGTCGCCTCTCGATGTTCACTTTATATATATATATATATATATATATATATATATATGTATATATATATATATATATTAAAATTAGCAGGAAAATTCGGTCATTCCCTAAAAGGTATCTTAATTCCAATTGGAAAGAAAATTTGCTCTGTTTAATGAAAATAAATATTAAGATCTGTGTATTGTTGTGTTAATAGGATTCACCTGGATTATACCAACGGATGACTACCTGTATATATATATATATATATATATATATATACACACACACACACACACACACACACACACACACACACATATATATATATATATATATATATATATATATATATATATATATAGAGAGAGAGAGAGAGAGAGAGTTTCCATTTTGCTTAAAGTTTGTTTTTTCTTGATTTCAAATGAAGTCTTAGATATTTTCAAACATATTTCAGTGAAATTTTAACTTCCGAAATTGTGGGTTAAATTGACCTCTTTTGTTTCCATTTTTTGTAACCATTTAGAATAAAGTTCGTTTTTTTTTATTTATTTAAACCCAACCCCTAACAGCAATATAGCCATTATTAGCTGTTTGCAATTTTTGGCTAGCATATGCCATTTTTATTATATTATTAATTTATTTAAATATGATTAAGAACTAACCAAAAAATATGTTTCAAAGACTCGTAAACAACCTTAAGATTCATTAAACGAATACACCAATCATTACCTGTCCTCTCTTGGTTACATATATTTATGAAGTACATACTAAAATTACTTATAAAAATTAATCGAGAATTATTCTAAATAGAAACTAATTGGAAATAATTTTACTCAAGTAAAAGCTTGAATGTAAGATTTATTAAAAAAATACAGTAAAAATATCATTAAATGATTACGTATAAAATCAAGGAGCTCATATTAAAAATATAGAATTCCTCTGGAAGTCATTTTACTATAGGAATGTATTAAAAGTGATTTTGCTACTAGAATTGATTGGTAATGGTTTTCCTATAGGAATGCATTGGAAGTGATTTTACTATAGAAATATTCATTGGAAGTGAATTTTCGACAGGAATTTATTTGTAATGATCTTCCTATAGGAATCTATTGGAAATGATTTTACAATAGAAATTGTTGAGGGTTTCTTCCCGTTTTACACAAATGGACTCACCCAGTATATACATATACTACGGCTACGTGAAGACCCGACAGAGCAAGACCGAGGAGTCTAGTCGAGTCCATAGTGACAGAGTAAAAGGTTGTAGGTAACTGGAAGAGTGAGGGTTAGGTAACAGCATTATAGGAGTCACCGTGAGCGAGCACGTAGACCCAGTAAGAAGTCATACAGCGATACTTCAATACCAAAGACTGTATAGATATTTTGCTACTAACCCGTATTCCTGGAACTACTAACCTGCTTTACCAGTTTGTATTATTACGTTAATACATTATTTTCATATATTCATTCCTGGCGTTTGTTATTTATTGGTACCGGATTTCAACCCGGAATCCACAACAGAAATACATTGTAAGTGAATTTATTACAGAAATTCATTGGTAGTGATTTTTCTTATAGGAATCCATTGGAAGGGATTTTGCTATAGAAATACATTGGAAGTGATTTTACTACAGGAATTTATTGGAAGGGAATTAACTATAGGAATTCATTGATAATGAGTTTCCTATAGGAATGCACTAGTAGTTATTTTACTATAGAAATGCATTGGAAGTAATTTTATCACAGGAATTCACTGGTAATGATTTTCCTATAGAGTTGACTGATTGGTTTTTACGGCTTATCAAACTTTTGCATGTTATTTAAAGCCAGAACATATTTTTAGATTGTAAGAATATTTTGGAGATAATAAGAATTTACTCTGTACAAATTCTACTAATTAACCCATAACTGGAGGGTGAGAAACGGTGGATTGATATCTTTTCCAATGGTATTTTCACATAAGTGAATAAAATAAACCAGACTAAAATTGGAACTCGGCTCTCCGATTTCTAATTCTGAACCGTTATTCATTACACCACCCACGTATCCAAGCTTACAACAACTCGTATTCTCAAGCGGCTACACATCTAGATACTGACCAGGCACGACGTTGCTTAACTTCAGTGATCGACGAGAACCGGCGTGTCAACATGATATGACCGTAAGACCTGATTTTCCTATAAAAATACATTGGAAGTGAATTTACTCCAGGAATTCATTGGGAGTATTTTTACTGTAAGAATTTATTGGAAGTGATTTTACTATATAAATACATTGGTCATAGGTTGCCTATAAATATGCATTAGAAATGATTTTTCTAAAGAAATATATTAGAAGTGAATTTACCACGGGAATTCAATGGTCATGATTTTCCCATAGGAATTCATTGGTAGAGATTTTACTATAGTAAATACATTGGAAGTGAATTTACCATAGGAATTCATTGGAAATGATTTTATTATAATAAAATGCCGACGGTAAAAATAATTAAGCAAATATATTAAAATTTTCATTCATTCTAATCATTTTTCGGTAATTATCATTAAAGTTTTCCATCATGAAAAACCAGGAAGTATATATATTAAACACAAAACCCAAAATTAATAATTGTCAATCAGTGGACAACAAAAGAATCAAATCGACAAATCTTTCGTGCTAGCTATCTCCCGGTGGCCATTTCATTGACAAAATGATAAGGGTGGCATTTCATCAAACCGCAATTCTCACTTGCAAACCGCTGACTTAAACGTGTATTCTACAACAGGCACCACTGAGTCTGATTATATGACATGTGAATTCCTACACAAACACCAGTTGAGTTTTTACCGAAACAATGAAACCTTGTTCGGAAAATGTGATAAATGTCTTACTATTCAATAACTTAATTTACATCTTCATAACAGCTATACTATAATATAGAGATTACATAAGTATCATACTATAACACAGACTTCATACCTACCACGCTATAAGACAGGCATTTAATAACTAACAAATTATATTGTAGACACTTCATAACTACTACACTATAAAACAGGGTCTTCATAACTCATCCACAATTAAACAGAGACTTCATAAATATCATACTATAAAAGAAACGTAATTATCACACGATAACACAGATACTTCATACCTACCACACTAGAAAACAAACTTCATAACTACCGCATTATAAGATAGATACTTCATAACTACCACACTATACAACAGAGACTTCATAACTAGTACACTATAAAAAGGAGGCCTCATACCTACCACACTAAAAACAAACTTCATAACTACCACATTATAAGATAGATACTTCATAACTACCACACTATACAACAGACTTCATACACGATAAAATGGAGAATTCATAAATATCACACTATAAAACAAACTTCATAATTACCACACTATAACGTAGATACTCCATAACGTTCACATGATAAAACAGGCTTCATAACTACCATACTATAACACAGATACCTCATAACGGCCGCACAATAAAACAGAGATTTCATAAATACCACACAATAAAACAGGCTTCGTAACTACCACATTACAACAGACATTTAATAACTACCAAATTATAAAGTAGACATTTCGGAATAACCACAATATAACACAGATATTTAATAACTACCAAATTATAACGTAGAGAGTTCAGATCTACCGCACTATAACAGACATTTAATAACTACCAAATTATAACGTAGAGAGTTTAGATCTACGACACTATAACAGACATTTTAATAACTACATTATAACACAGACACTTCACAACAATCACATTATAACACAGTGACTTCATAACGATCAAGCAGTGTAAGCGTAACGGATAAAACGTAAGTTCAAATTGAGATTTATTGATTTTCCATCTGTTTGCTTCGACGCAGTTTTTTTCCTTTCTTGAAAAATTCTGTTTAGATGCTTCACAGCATAAGCCAGATGACTTGTTTCTTTTTTTTCGCTTCAGTAGCAAATGAGTTTCACTTTTTAAATACACCAACTTTTTTCGAGACAGTATTAAAAAGATATCTCTCTCCCTTTTTCTCTCTCTGTCACATACATACACACACGCCCTCTCTCTCTCTATATATATATTCAATTATTTATATCAAGTTTCGTTTCACTTAAAAGAGTTTCAAACAATACGCAAAATTTTAAATTAAATCTAATAGAAAATTGATAATGCTTTGCGGCATTATTGCTTTTGTGATGTCAACGAATGCTCGTTGTCACTTTCGTAATGCTCGTTGTAGTAGAGATTTTGTAATCGCAGATACAACTATAGTAACGCAGTTGAACAATAATGGTGTCAGACGCCTTCGAATATCACTCGCACTAATAGTACTTGCTTGATAATACTCGCTCGAATAGTACACATACACACACATATATATATATATATGTATGTATGATGTGTATGTATATTGATGGCGGATAAACCACACCTCCATTTCCTTCGGACGTCTCCGCCCCCGGGTCTTCTCTAATAGTTTCACATCTTCCCTGAATACTGATATTCTACATTTCAACTTCCTCTTTTAAACTTTCTACGTTTGTACAGTGTCCTTACATTCCATGATCCGATTTTGATTTTTATCTTAGTTTCATATTGTTGGTACCATCTAGCGTTTATTATATACTAGCTTTATTATATATTAGCTTTATTATATATTAGCTTTATTATATACTAGCTTTATTATATATTAGCTTTATTATATACTAGCTTTATTATATACTAGCTTTATTATATATTAGCTTTATTATATATTAGCTTTATTATATACTAGCTTTATTATATATTAGCTTTATTATATACTAGCTTTATTATATACTAGCTTTATTATATATTAGCTTAAAAGCCGCACTTCGTGCGGAATAATAAGCCAGCTCCTGAGTGGGGCTAATTGGTCCTCTAACCTCAAACTATAGGGATCTCTGTTCCAGCTCAGAAAACAGACATTAATTTTGAAAAATTAACTTTGAATTCCTCAATTCACTCTATGCATCTTCAAAACCTCACTTTAACTCTGATTTGGGCTATAAGTCCAATTCCAACCAAAAGACCGATTTGGACCGAAAGTCCGATTGGGCCAAAATTCCAATTTAGGCCGTAAATTGAGTTCTTCAAATCATAAACTTGGCAGAACTTCAAAACCACACGTCAAGAAACCTCTAATTTTAACTCTGATTCGTTGGCATTTTAAAGAAATAAAATTGATTTCCCCAGTTCACAAAGTTTTGTAAATATTTTAAACTTGATTTAAAACAAGTTTTTTTAAATTGACAATTTTTTTGTGTTACTTTAAACTCAGTATAAATTAAAAACTTTAATTAAAAATAAAAATCACTAATTTTTTCAGTTATTTTCAAATTTTAAATTTTTTAATAGTTTCGTCTTAATCCAAACACACATCTCAATGTGGGATGTTCAAGCGACAGACGAAGGACAGATTTTCAATCCCGGGATAATCCTGATTCCAAAACCGTATAATATGTCTATGTAGTGCAAGTGCGGCCTGAGTTAGAGGGGTTTCAGACGGACAGATAATTTGCTGTTTATATATATATATATATATATATATATATCATTATAAACATTATATTCAGTGGATAGTTATTTTGAGTAGAGGCTCCGTTTATATATTAAACAGTATATTTTTTCGTCTACCGGGCTGAATAATCAATAAATCTTATTAAAGAAAAATATGCGCTCTCCGATACGATTCGGAGCTGCCCCCCCGGATCCGACATTAGGTCCGACATGCCTTAACCGACTCGGCCACGAAGAAGCTTTGCCGATCAACCAAGGTTCGAACAGTGGCCTTAAGCGAAATTTGTCTCGTCATAGATTCCTCGGAATTATCTTCTCATTTTTGTATCCAAATATGAGAATCTACTAAAAATTACGTTTAAATTGATAAAAATTCTGTCGCATTAATAAATAAAAAATCATTACTTTTTCAGAAAATCACTTTGTTTACGTTTGCCGAAGAACTCCTATTTTTCTTTAATAAGATTTCTCGAATATTCAGGCCGACAGTCGAAAATAAATATGTTGTTTAATAAATAAATGGAGCGTCTACGCAAATATGAGTATCCACTAAAAAATAACGTTTAAAGTGATAAAAATCTGTCGAACAAATAAATAAAATATTCATTTTTTTTCTTTAAAACACACACACACACAGTCATCCACAGACAGAGTGTTTCGCTGTATCACAGATCATCAGTGGGATCAGATATCCGATTGTTTCAAGCCAGGATCGAAACCCAGACGTTTTGGCATTAGTCAAGGATTCTACTCCCAAGTTATCGTCGCACGGCAGAGAATAAGGGAAATTTTAACGTTTTTACTATACGAAAGACGTGTGTGTGTGTGTGTGTGTGCGTATGCGTGTGCGTGTGTGTGCGTGTGTGTGTGTGTGTAATAAAACGGAATCGCAGTTAGTAATCTCCAACTACAATAAATTTAGCATTTAAACGTGCTCAATACAACACCAGACTTATAAAATGTTAGATAAATAAAGAATAAAAAATGAAACCGAAGCAGTATTTGAAATAAACAAAACCGTAACAATATTTAAGGCGTAAACCATAAGTGACACACGATAAAGATTAAATCTGACCTGACCATCCTTCATTTTTGAGGGTGAAACTTCAGCTACTTAGGTTTCATTTTTATTCTTTATTTATCGTACGTTACATATTGTATATATACGGGACAGATAAAGAGCAAGACGGACAGAGGAAAACAACGCATAACATAGTTAGCTTCAGTAAATAGATGGCAGAACAGGGCTTATGAAAAATAATAGAAAGACAAATTTTATTAAGAGGAACAAGGAAGTTGTGGAGGGCCATGATTGACTAGGTCCTGAGGGCACACGGCACATGAAGAAGAATGCCAGTTGCTCAGCTGCGGACAGGAGGGCCTTCCAGAGGGTTATAGATGTTGCCCTCCAAAATAACGGATTGTTCGCTACCTCCACCCCGCCATCTTGGAGGTCATTTCTAATTCTCTTTGTCGAAGCAGAGCAGAAAACATAATAAAAGGCAGCACGTATTTCGAGTTCCAATTGTTTGAAACTGTTACCCTCAGAGCGACGTTTTAGTTCTATTTGTTCTGGGACAAAGCGCTTGAGGGAAAGTTTTTTTTTTATCATTGGGCCCTGCGTAAAATGAACGTTCCCACATGTTGACAATTTTCGACGTATTTTAAACGTGTCACTTCATTTGATGATATGCGGTTTTCTTTTTGTGTGTGTGTGAGTGTTGGTGCATCTGGAGATTGCTGTCCAATTTCATTGGGCATTCCACAGGGAAAAGAAAAATAATATAAGAAAAATATAATAAATAATAATATAAGAAAATATAATAAAAATATCTCTATACTATTGAAAATTTGGGCAGCAATCATTCTTTTATACATGTTTCATTGAATATGACGGACCAGGAATATTTTGTAAGCTTTTCTTTATTCAGTCCTTCTAGTATCCTTAGAATTTCTCTTTTATGAAGACTAAGAGTGTGTAGATAATATCCGCAGGGATTATTGTAGCAGGTGCTTTCGGTTAATACTTTACTCATTTTCAAGGAATGGAATGTTCGTTTCATATTTTTGCGACGTACAGCGGACGTTAATAATTAAGTATAACTCAAGACTTCAATGTTAAAATAAAACTGTATTTAATTACAACTGCAAATAAATACTTAACAAGAACAAAGAAGTAAAGATAATTAACCATTGCGCGGCACGGATTGAGGAATCGGAGAGCCGAGTTCGAATTACATTCACTTACTTACTTGGGAAAGGTATGAATCCTCTTCTTCTCCCTCCAGCTATGGGTAAATAGCAGGACAGACTGGGTTTTATAGACTTGGATGGCAACTGGTCTACCGCACAAAGAAATGGCAACCTAATACGGGAAAAAATCTGCCTCGTCTGTCATGTATCGAAAGATACATGATCGCCTAAGCGTGTATCCAGCATGGTACATAACTGACTGAATACCTTGTTAGTAGAGCGGCTCGGCTTAGCGTCTGGTAAATTCTAAATCAAATCATCGACGTAGAATAATTCACACTAATTCGACTGGATAATTCCACTCAATAGGCACTCAATAATCACTCCAGTCAGTAGCCTGACACCTCTATTTATACACCTGGCGGAAAACATATATTCATAAGTTCAGAGTGTCACGCTCGAACCCCAGTGTCGGTAATTACTCATTTACTTCCTATATGATACATATATTTTGTCTTTGTTTCCTGTACTGTGTTTTATGGGAATAGTAGCAATTTCATTTATATTGGAGATTTTGTTTATTATTCAAAGTGCAACCAAAATACCATGACTGTTTTCCTAGGAAGTAATGTTAAGTGTAGGTCTGTGCAGATTTAATATTTACCGTGTGTCGCTCATGGTTTATGCCTTAAATATTGTCACGGTTTTGTTTATTTTAAATATTGCTCCAGTTTCATTTTTTACGTCCATTTTACAAGATTAAAAAGATTGCGCTTACCGGCTGGGAAGACTTCCTTGTAGCTGCAATGAATAAAAGCCGTTTTCGGTTGGTATCATAAGCCGTGAGATAAGCCTTATGTTTCAACATTTGTATGGAAACATTATTTTTCAGGAGAGGTAATCCAAAGGAAATCTCTTGAAATTTCTTGTTCGAATTGACCATCGAGGTGTAGATCAAGCTGACCTGTATGATACAAAGAAACAACAAAGTGAAAGGAAATCGATACATTAAGGCGCTGGTAATATTACGATGATCAAACCCATCCATTTTTCTTGCCAAGTCACAATTTTCGCACCTTGGTTTCTGTTAAGAATCGAGGCTTTTACAAGCGGTCATTATACATTTCATACTTATTTTTCTATAATCGCGGCCATATAATTTCTAATAAAAATGTAACCGTAAAACAAAAGCAAAAAAAAAAAAGAAAAAAAACAAATCAATTTAAAAAAATAATATATAAATCTCAGAGTTTGTCTATGTATCCAATTGAACGACTGGAAATTAATAATATGTACACTGGCGTGCATAAGTTTTTGGAAAAACTGCATAAAATGAAGTTAAGATGGTTTAGCACAGTGCTTCTCACCTGAGCATCGATAAAATCCTGATGCACCCACGTGACATATACGGTATTAATTGAAATAGTTCGCTTTCATCATTATAAGTAGACAAAATATGTCTATATTATTCAATGAAATACACACACACAAACACGCACGCACGCACAACATTTTTATTTTAAGCTTTTCACCCCAAGCAAGGCGGGAGTGCCTCTAGCACGCAAGGGGTTACAGAGAGTGGGATCAAGAGTAAAGAAGCGGGAAAGAGGAAAGGATGACGAGAAGGACGGGGAATACGTCAAGGCATCTGGAGATGCCGATTGACATTGCATTTGAATAGTTGGAGATTATAGCTAACCAAGAAGCAAGTAAGAGGAATGGAGTTCCACCGACAGGAAGTGTGAGACATGAAGCTATTGGAGTAGAAGAGGCGGCTACATCTAACAGTTTCGAAAGGGTGGGACCGAGATGCCAACCTAGCAGCACTTTTAAATTCATGCAATTTGGGAACTAGCGAAAGTAGCTCGTCGGAGCAGTTACCATGAAAATACTTTCATGGTAACTGCTCCGACGAGCTACTTTGTAAAGAAGACAGAGGGAAGAGACGGCACGTCTGTGAGAGGGCGACTGTAAACGAGATGCCAGATCAGGGCCAATCACATTGCATATCCGTATCTGGATATATATATATATATATATATATATATATATATAAAACTTTATTAAATGGATATGTAATTCCTCTTATTAGAGGTACAGTGTTTCTGTGTACCTTTGTACTCTCACAAGTTTCCTTAAGAACTTGAAACTGCATATATGCAATAGTATTATCATTTAATTTTAGAATACTTTTACTAATATAAATATACATATTATACAGCACGTTATCTAGCGTGATCAAGAGGTGAACAGGGCCAGCACGCTCAACCTCTCGGTCACGATGACTGTGACTTCGTGTGAGGACAACCATCGACGGGTCACAAAGAGAAAACAACATAATTGTTCATCAAAATATCTATTTTTGTAGTGATGTTATAACATGTTTATGTTATAATTTTTTAATAAATACGATATCTATCTATCTATCTATCTATCTATCTATCTATCTATCTATCTCTATATATATTCAATTGCGTATTTTAGCGGCAATCCCACTTTAATACATGTTTTGCTAAACAGGATTGAAAATGGCTTTTTGTCTTATTTTATTATATTTTTGTTGTATATGTACAAGTATTTACTTTTCAATACTTACTGAGTATAAAAAAATTATTCGAACGTTACTTGATTTCGAGGAATCAAGAAAACAGATGACGACGATTGACGTTGCTGTTAAATTTTTGGAAGTAAATCAAAAAGTCGGAAGAGAGTTCCATAAGCAAGAAGTGCGAGAGAAGAAACTAGTAACATAGAACTTACGGTTTGAGCTAGCAATTTCAAAAGTAAAGACCTAACTGCCAATCTAGTAGTACGCTTAAATTCATAAAGTAGAGATAACAATGATAAAAGATCATTAGAATAGTCACCAAGGAAATATTTTAAATGTATCTCAACTCCTTCCCCATCGTTTGAACATAATTAGAGGTTTATCCTTTTATTCCAGTTTAGGATTGGGTTTCTGGTTCTTTCTCCTAAAAAATTCTTATACTCTTTCATTCCCAGTAACCGTTTGCGTCCTAGCGTCATTATCACGTTGATTTGGAGTGAAATGATTAAAAAAAGTTTGCTCAAGACTGCATTGGTAATATTAACCGCTTCCTTATAAGGAAACATTTGGTATTTCTTGACCGAGCAGCCAGTGCTACCGTAGGTTGAAATTTATAAAATCTTTCTTTTAAAACAATTTTTCACGTAAATAGATTTCTCAAGTCCAGTAACTATTATTGCTCTTTACATTATTGATGGAGGTTTTCATTCCTAACCTTTTATCCGAAGTAATTGGGAAAGACGCCATCTTGATTTTGTCATGATTTTCTTTTCAAGTAACATGTGCTATCCATTTTAGTTATTGCTGTTGGTGAAAATCCTCAAGTGATGTGGTTCCTGTTATTTGGTACAGTTCTTTGTTTGGGATTGTGGACGTGTTTCAAATAAGGCTTGTCCTAATTTAGACCTACAGGCTTCATTCGCTTAAAGCAATTTTAATAATTGATCTTAGGAAGCAGTTGCATACAGTTGAGAGTTTAGACATTTTTTGATCAGGTTTGGCGCTATGCATTTAAATCCACAAGAGTCTTGATCAGACGGGGCTATTTAAGAACATGAATCGATTTCTTAGGTTAATGTTTCGGTTATGTAGCAATTTGTGGTATTGGGTGAAACTACCTTTAGTTCAGTTTCCTTATCTCCCATACTAAATCTCTTAGAACTGATCCATACACTGAGGTATCTGAATATTTATTAATCCAATATCCTGAAGTTTTATGATAGATTCAGGGTAAGTGTCATCATTGCTTTCCTTTTAATTTCTGATTATAGTTTTTGTTTTGGAAAAGGTTTATCTTGAGTTTTATTTCTTGGAACATTTGGTAAAGAATGCTGATTTTTTTTCCTTTCAAGATCATTCTTGACTCGACTAGGAATATTTATGTCATCAGCATATCCCACGCCCCTCATCATCCACAAACTGGATTCGGGAGGGAAAATAGGAATGCGGGAAATTTGCAATGCGACATGTGATTACTTGCTTAATAGAAAACTTACGTCACATTTAGTGGAATATGAACTGCAACTAGATTTATTTTCAATTTGTTATTCATTTTTAGAAAAGATTAAGCTCTTTAAATCATGAGTATGAATTAAAATACATACAGCGTAACCCGGATGTAAGAGAGTTGGCGGGACCGGAGAAGAAGTATCTTATATACGGGTTTCTCTTATATCCGGGTTTGGTCTATTTTGTTTAGGTAAGTATGGGCTCTAATTTGGGACCAGAGAAAATCTCTTATATCCGGGTTTCTCTTATATCAGGGTCTCTTATATTCGGGTTACACTGTATATAAAACTTTATGAAAACAAGTAGGTGTTAGTTATCTAAATTCATTTTAAATTACTACCCCTACACAAGCCAAAAACAAAAACCAAAAAAAAATGATGATATCACGTATCCGTGTTTCCAAGCAGTTGCAAAATAGTAATTAATAATTTATTTTTCAAAATATTTTTCGCATATTCATTAAGCACCCCGGATTACAAATTATAAATCTTTTCTTTCTAGATTTTAAGAATTGATTTGTCCTTTACGTGTTGTCAACCCATTGTGGGTTATCTAAAGCCTAAATATATTTTTGGATTGTAAGAATAATATTTTTTTGTGAGCGAATATTGAATTAACGTTTACTTTTAGAATAACAATCATTTTTTCCAGATACCAATCCTACTATTTAACCCATGGATGGAAGAGTTGAATGGATTCATAACTTTACCAATGGTATTTGCGTGTAAGTGAATGTAATGATTCAAATTCAGAAAGCCGAGTTCGAATTCCGAACCGGTACCAATTACACCACCGATACATCCACATTTTAATTTTTTTAAAAAATCACGCGGTATCAGCATATTTTCGGCCATATTTACATAGGAAGCCTGAAAAATATACAATGAATTTCTATAACAAACTGGACATCCCTATTAGCCTTTATAAAATTTAATTAAAATTATTTCTGGTCGCAATGCCTATTTCTAAAACTCCACTTCATATTTAAGATAAATATTTAAAACAAAACAGACGATACAAAAAAACAAAAGGATTATAAAGGATGTTTTTAATGATATTTTCTTACCTCTTTATTTGTTGGAGTAAAATTCAAACATCTGTGTTTTTTTAGGAAAAGTGCCAAGTCATCAAAGTTCATATTAAAGCTAACGTTTTTATATTGACCGACTGATTGTCGTAATGTTTCCGGTGGTGGTCTTCTTAGTAATCTATGCAGACGACCTTCTGTTCCGTTGTTTGGGGCACCCGGGATGTTCAGCAAGTCTATTCCAACAAAAGCATAAGACATTTTATAAAAATAAACGGGAAATTTATTATAAAAATATCTCCCAAATAATTTTCGTAAACAGTCAAAAGTGTATTTTCGTTTTTTTTCCCCAAATATTTATTCCAAAGCTTACCATTTTTTAATCCAACATTTGATCTTCTTGCGTCCTATACAGTGAAGACATGAACAACAACAATGAAAGTGATTTACAAATGGAACAAGCAAAATGGCAATATCTAGAAAAGAAATTCCTTCTGTAAATATGGTAAGCCTTAAAGCCAAGAGAATTCCGTGTGATAATAGTTTAGAAGATTTTACTCGTTGCCATTATACGTGATGTGATCGGTTCATGAAAAGCAATGGCCTTGTTATGAAAATTAAAATTGGATGAAAGAAAAGACAGGCGCTTACTCAGTTATGGATGAAAGCTAATAATTTGTGGGGAAAAATAAGAAGTAATACGATGATTAATCATATGAAATGTGGGATCAGAAACGAAATGGATGGGATCAAGAATTACATTTTGATTCTAATATCGGATCCAAGCAATGAAGATGACATTCTTTTTAATCTTTTGGATCCAAAGATGAAATGTCTGATTGCTTTCCAAGCGATAATGTAAGCAATGAAGATGACATTCTTTTTAATCCTTTTGTGACACCATTTAGGGCTTCAAGGAAAAGGAAGAAAAGAAAAGAAAGGAAATAGAAAAAAGAAAAAGAGGAGATAATTTTTTTTCTTTGAGCAAGATATTTTTTTTTTAAAAAAACAAGGCTAGTCTGGTCACACCCACACTGTTGATCGCCCATGGGATGAAGGTTAACGAGAACCAGGCGGAGGTGATCAAGTGATGTAGGGGGAGAGGCCTGCTACCACTCATTAAGAGGATAGGTATGAGATGTTACTGCGAAGGAGTAGGAAAATCGTTGACGTCTTCTGAGGGTATGATAAGAGTCCCATATGAGAACGAAAGAAAGTGGGGGTAAGAGAAGACTTCCAAAAATGGAAATAATAAATTTTTCCTGACCGAAAACAAAAGAAGGGGATTGTGGATTTGGAATTATCAAGGAACCTCAAACCCCGACAAAGCCCACCCCGGTTTTGGTCGGCGTCCATATAAGCAAAGTCGCAGCGAGCGAAAATCAGTTGAGTTGAGTTGAGTTGAGTTGAGTTGAGTTCAGTTCAGTTTTCCAGAGTTTCCAGTTCGCAGTTGAAGTGGGTTCCGCCTCGAAGATAGCTGACTTGTAAGATTCACGCAATTCCGAACTCATCTTAAATCCAAGAACAATTTATTTTTGAAGAGCGACTTAGACTCATACCACCAAAACAAGTTTTACGACTATCGCCTGAAGACACACCAAGAACCAGTTTCTTAAAGAACAGACAACTTAAGATGTTAAGACTCGCCTAACAAAAACAACGTGTCACGAATCCATATAGCGGGTCGGGAGATAGACGCAGTCATATGTATCCAGCAACCAGATATAAAGTAATGTTATCCTTTTTTTGATACCTTTGAACTTTTCGAGTTATTATTTTATTTTCTTTTACATCTACTTGTGCGATACCACCCTTATTCGAACTCGACTTGCATTACGGCCCCGACGACTGACTGATTTCGTCTGCCTAAGATCAATTCACAACGTGGGTAGGCAGACTGGAGATCAAAGTAGTTACTTCGGTAACCAGAGGTTGGAGGCGAGTTGGGAACGACGAGGCTGATATCGAATCTAACCTGATTCCCATCCGAATCACCAAAAGGTTAGAACGTCACATTTGGGTGCCGCGATCAATACCAAGCCAGTTGATCGTCACAGGACGGGATAGCACGACTGACGCAGACAGGCGGACGTCACGTTTGGAGCGGCGACACCTGAACGAAGCGGCGAGGAACGAGCAGCGGCTGGGGACGTCACACTTTGGATCCAAAGATGAAATGTCTGATTCCTTTCCAAGCGGTAGTGAAAACAATGAGGATTTTAAAGGTGATGAAAAATGTATTATTTACAACAATGTTCAACGAAAAAAGCAGTGGACTGACAAGAATAAACCTCCATAACCAATTGCAAAAGCTGAGCTCCATAGAAGAAAGGTCATGTTATATGCGTGATGGAATCGTCGGGGTATTATTCATTTAGAATTCTTAAAATGCAATTAAACACTAGATGCACACAGACACAGACACACACACACACACACACACACACACACACACACACACACACACACATATATATATATATATATATATATATATATATATATTATCATTTCACCCCAAGCGGTGCGATAATACCATTAGAACGCAAGGGGTTACAAGGAGTGAAATTAAAAAGCGAATGAGAAGACTGAGTATAGCGAGGATTGGGGAAAGAACAAACAAGGAACAGGATTCAAGAAGACAGAAGATGGCGGTTGACGTTGCATTTAAATTTTTGAAGGTTGTAGTTATCAAGAAATCGAAAATGGAGTTCCACGGGTGGGAAGTGCGAGAAAAGAAACTGTTAGAGTAGAAGTGGCGGTTGCATCTAGCTAGTTCATCAGTAAAACAATGAGACCTAGTTGTCAATCTAGTAGCACGCTTAGCTTCATGGAGGCAGGGCACCAGGGGAAAATGCATATCAGAGCATTTGCAATTAAATATTTGTAGAAAAGACAGAGGGGGGGGGCACGTCAAGTCGGTGAGAAAGTGACTGAAGCCGAGATGCCTGGTCAGGATCGATTAAATTACAGACCCTTCTTTGGATGTTGTGAAGAATCTCGAGAACTATAGCAGTAGCACCAGACCAGATATGGCAACATACCAATGCATGAAAGAATTGTAGATTTAGAATTCAAGTAGCTGCAAAGCATAATAAATGTTTAGTTGAACACTGCCTTGCACTTGTTAGCAGAAAAAAGGTTGATCTTCTCTATGAAAACGCAAGGCCGCATACTGTGAGAATAACACAAAGTACACATTTGGAAGTCGGTTAGCCTGTTCTATGCTTATCTGACCTTTCACCAACCGGTTATTATCTTTTTTTTTTTTGATAATTGCGAAAATTTTTGATGGGGAAACCGTTCTCTAATACAAATCGGATTCAGGAATTCGCCGAAAAGATTTTTAGAACAAACCATGCGGAAAAGTTATCCAAGAGCTGTCTGATAAGTGACAACAAGTCATTGAAAATAATGGTGACGATATAATCAAATAAAATGAAATTTTAATATAATTTGATAAACAAAAATGGAAAGGATTTATAACTCAACCTAATATATATATATATATATATATATATATATATATATATTGTTATATGTCAAAAATATACATATACATGTATATATATATATATATATATATATATATATATATATATATATATATAGGGGAAAATATATGAAAAAATGGAAAAGTTTTCTTGTGACGCATTTATATATATATATATATATATATATAAACGTACCTAAAAAGCGGTGCCTAAGGGTTAAAATGCATTTAAAAAATAAAAACATATTTCTTAAAGCTTTTATTTTAGCTTTAATTCCAAGCTAATCGATTAAATTTAATATTTTGAATTAGAAAAATATTTTGTTTCATTTCAAACTGAATTTAACTTGATTGAAAAGATTTTTCTCATTATCAAAAAAATTTATAAAATCTTCCAAATTGACAAATCTGTCAACACAACATAATTCTCTTTATTAAAAAATTCTTCAAAAATAAAATATACTTTTCTGAAACGTTATTTGAGAAAAAATTAACTGATTTAAAGCTTAATTAATCTAAATTGCAGCAAATATTACTTACTTGTACTTTAAAATATCACAGAAGAGCATCTTTTTAACGTGGAGTGGGTGTTTATATTGTTATGGATATTAACAGATCTGTGGACAGTTGGATGTTCGGGAGATTAGAGGGTAATGTAAGTGTTTAAATTATCTGACGAATTCAACGTGAATGTCTTTTTTTTATATAATTGTTCTAACTAACCAGTGACCTTAAAATTTAAGAAAATATTCCAAGCAATCTAATATTTTATTGCATTTTATGTACTTTAGTTTTATACGTACGAAGACGCTTCTCGAGAAAATGTTAGTAAATTAACAGTAAATTTTAAATTTACTATAGTTACCGCTTTTATTTCCTGATAATGTTGGGTATGAACATCCGCATTTACAAGAACCGACACGTTTATACATAATCCCCCCCGCTCACTTCTGTCCTGGGTATGACGATAAACTACATCCGCGTCCTGAGTAAGACGATAAACTACATCCAGAAGCAAGGCATCTGATCAGGTTTTAAAGAGCTTGGAACCACCTCTTAATTGCTGGTGTTCCCAGGTCCGCCCTCACCCGGGGTGGTAGCACCTGTTAGGGTCCCAGCTATGGGCAAATAGTTAACCACGAAACTGGGGTAAAAACACTATGAAAGTGTAAAATAGGTTTTAATACCAGAAATACTTTGTAAAAAATTATTACCAGCAATAAATTTTTGAAGGGAAAGTATAAAAATTTTGTCGGCATTAAATAACCCATTGAGGTTGATATACCGTAAAACAAAACAAACCAAACTGTGACAGAGAGAGTCTGGGAAACACACACACACACACACACACACACACACACACACACACACACACACACGCGCGCGCGCGCATATTATTTTAGTGAAATTGGAGTGGATTTAAACAGCGAAATTAGATAAGAGCATTTTTGTTTATTGATGATGAAGCCTGATCTAGGGCAGAAGTTGTACCCATTGAATCTGATCATCAGAAGACAATGGAAATGGATGAAATAATTTTTATTTATTAAAACTTGGAATAGAGCTGAGTAAGCAAGGAGGACCATTAGAATTCACATGATTTTGGTTGAAACAGCTATAACCCCGTGATAATCGCGTACGAAGTAGTAGGGACAAGGGTCGGTTATGACCAGTCGGGTTTTTCTATATAAACGTGTAGTTATGCAGACGGAAGAAGCAGGCGGAAGAAAGAGACGGAAGAGGCAGACGGAAGAGAGAGACAGAAGAAAGTGACGGAAGAGAATTAGCCCGGGCAATAGTTGGGCTAGAGACAGTGGAGAGTCGAGTTGGAGACTCAAGAAGGGAGAAAGTGACGCCAACATGTACTGTTGATATAAGAACCGCTTCTTCTGCTACCACGAATATTACTACTACTGTTACTACTGCTAAGGAGGAACGCCTCTATAAACTTTAAGCCGCGCACAGAAATCTTATTCCCCTATCGCAAGAGTCGTATATCGTTCTGAGACGATTTAACAACAAGTTAATCATAACACACTCTCTCTCTGTCCAGAATCCAGTGAATGTGTTTTCTACAGCAGATAAGGTTGAATGATTTGCTCGGAAATTCTCTTTCAACTTAATACTCGGCTCATTTGGAGTACCCACACCTGATTTCTTCAATACGACAGAGACACTACTGAGTGATATGCGCATAACCCCGTCACTGGTCTCAGACATCATTTCTAAATTAGACTCTTATAAGGCAAACAGAGGTGACGGAATCTTAGCGATCATTCTATAGAAATGTGCTCCCGAGCTGGCTCTAGTTCTCTCCAAACTCTAAAACTATTGTCTCGCTGCTTCTTGCTTTCCAGCTTGTTGGAAGTCCTCATCAGTAGCTCCTGTTTTTAATAACAATGGAGAAATTTCTGACCCCTCTATCGCCCTGATAGTCTCCGACCGATTTTCGGGAAAGTATTCGAGGCTTTAATTAATGTTGAAGTGGTTAAACATCTTATCTCTCACGACCTATTTGCTGACAAACATATGCTTCCGTTTTGCCAGGTCTACCGCTGATGTGCTAACGGCCATCACTGAATATCTATATCAAGCTCTTGATAATAACGGTGAAGCTCGAGCTTCACCGTTATTATCAAGAGCTTGATATAGATATTCAGTGATATCTCGAAGGAGTTTGACAGGTTTTGGGACAATGGTCTTCTACGTAAGCTCCAGGGCTACGGTATTACTGGGCGCTTGTTTAGTTTAATCCAATCGTGCCTATCAAATCGTGAAATGAAGATCGTTTTGAATGGACTCGCTTCCAGATCTTTTCACACGAACGCGGGTGTCCTTCAAGGCTCTATCCTTGGCTGCTACGCTGTTTTTGATCTTCATCAATGATCTTCTTGATGTCATCAGTTCCCAAGTAGGCCTTTACGCTGATGATATTTCTATATCCAATCGCAAATCCGTCAGAGCTGACAAAGTTAACCTGGCCGATGATCTTGAAAAGGACCTCCACTCTGTGATTAACTGGGGGAGGAAATGGCTTGTAAATTTTAATGCTTCCAAAACTAAACTGCTCTCATTTAACCACGATAGAGAAACTTCTCTGCGATTAGATTAGCGTCTAGGTCCCACGCTTTTACTGTTGAATTAGTAACTTCTACTCCAACAGTTTCTTTTCCCACACTTCCCAAATGTAAAACTCCTTTCCGTTTACTTGCTTCCCTGATAACTAAAATCTTCAAAAATTTAAGTGCAACGTCAGTTGCCATCTTTTATCTTTTGGAACCCTGCTCAGCTTTTATCCTTTCCTCGCTCCCTCCCCCCCATACCCAGTCTTTTCTCTCACCTTCACTCTCCGTAACTCCCTGCATACCAGTGGCATTCCCGCCTTGCTTGGTGTGAAATAATAAAAAAAAAAAAAAAGAAAAGAAATTCGAAATTCTTATTAAAATATTGGCGGTCATTGTAACGAGATTTCTATTCATGATTAGTAAATGCAGTTTCAACTTAAATTAGAAATCAATACAGAATTTTAAAACATTTAAAAGTTTATGAACTGTGCTAATTTAAAAAATCAAAACAATTCATTATTGTAAAAATCCAATATTTATCGATTATTTTCTTAACGCAACTGTTCATAAAAGCAATTAAAATCTTTTATAATTAATTAATGTCTTATTTTATTGCATTTTTTTTAAATTTTACGATTCAGGATAGATTTTCTGTAACTGGGGTCCTGTTTTACCAAACAATTTCATGATTTAAATACTCCGAGGACTTGTTTTTATAACTAATATAGACATTAAACAATACAAAACCAGAATTTTTTAAATTTCATAAAATGAATGAGTGGTGGGTAACAGATGTAAAAAATATTTTATGAAGTCGTAGAAGTTTCATTAAACTCCGATCATTAACTGATTTTTGCATGAATTTCCAAATCAGTGAGTTTTTCATCGCAAGTTGACGCTGAAATTTCCAAATCAGTGAGTTTTTCATCGCAAGTTGACGCTGAAATTTCCAAATCAGTGAGTTTTTCATCGCAAGTTGACGCTGAAATTTCCAAATCAGTGAGATTTTCATCGCGAGTTGACGCTGAAATTTCCAAATCAGTGAGTTTTTCATCGCAAGTTGACGCTGAAATTTCCAAATCAGTGAGTTTTTCATCGCAAGTTGACGCTGAAATTTCCAAATCAGTGAGTTTTTCATCGCAAGTTGACGCTGAAATTTCCAAATCAGTGAGTTTTTTATCGCAAGTTGACGCTGAAATTTCCAAATCAGTGAGTTTTTCATCGCAAGTTGACGCTGAAATTTCCAAATCAGTGAGTTTTTCATCGCGAGTTGACGCTGAAATTTCCAAATCTGTGAGTTTTTCAACGCAAGTTTCGCTGAAATTTCCCGTACAAATTTATTGTTCTACGTTGATGTCATCAAAACAAAATCTTTAACCAAAATTCAAAAGGTTCTAAAAAGAATAATAACAAAAATCCAATCAAAAAAATCCCTTGAATTTTGATCTTAATTATAGCACAATGGTTTTTACGGTAATTATTTTACGTTCTGTGCATTTTTCTTCTTGTGTGTTCTTTTTTTGACGAATCTTTGGAGGTTTCTACACTACACTTCCAAAGTTTGAACCCCCCCCCCCAAAAAAAAAATTAGCATCGGATGAACTCGACAGAAGTGTAAGCATCCCCCCAAAGCCCCCCAAAAAAAACAAATGAAAAAAGAGCTTTTGGGGTCATTGAAAAAAGAATGAAATCAATTATCAAACTTGTACTTTGAGAAACTTTTGCAACGAATGCCAACAATCTGGGCGGCAGTAATCAAGGCTAAAGGAGGATATTTTGACGAGAGCAAAATTTAAACATAAAATGCTTTTTTCTTTCTCATAATAAAACTTCTAATAAAACAAAATCATGTGTCACTTTGTTTTTAACCGTGTATAATAATTTTCTCTTATTTAAAGTACAAAACAACTACTTCTGGGGACAATTTAAAAATTACCAAGTGTTCCCCTCAACCTTTTGAACTGTAGCGTATATATATATATATATATATATATATATATATATATATATATATATATATATATATATATGTGTGTTTTTTATGATATATGCATACAGGTATTTCCTTGCAAAGAATAGGAAAAGAAAAAAAATGACCTACCTGTAAACAAATTATAAATTTCTATATTTTGGAAAGGCTCGGTGTGTAATTGCTGTTTGAAATCAGGACCGTAGGCAAGAAACAAAGCCTGGAAAAATGAGATGTTAAAAAAAAAGAAGTTTATTGGTTTTTGATTAATTTTCTTTTATCTTATTTTTATTTCCTTTTATCGATGAGCAATTACCTAAGTCAGACTGTTTGTAAAAGATATAGGATGCAAATCCTAATCTCTTTGGGGGCAATTTTATTTTTGATCTATTACGACTGATATAACAGTTGGAAAATATCAAAAGAAACAATCATAAATGGAAAGAATAGTAAAAATCAATAATAATGGCAAAGCTTCATGTAAGAAATTCAGACAACTTAAGACTATTACATCTACTACTACAAGGTGTAAACAAACAAGAACATAAGATGAAAGAAATACGAGTCAAAGAAATATCGTTTAGTACTTTCTATTACTTCATTTGAAATAAATTTTAATGGTGAAATATTTTGATTCATTTCTTTTAGGTTTCAACCCTACCCCCCACCAAATTATCTGGCTTTAAAAATTATTAAAAGTTTTTACATTTTTTCGTGTTTTCAAGAAACGAAGCTGACTAGTTATATATATATATATATATATATATATATATATATATATATATATATATATATATATACAAGTATATATAATTGGTATATGCGGAATGAATTCCAATAACCAACAATTACTATTCTTAAAAGAGTGCTCAATACAAAGTAGAGCAGATATAATTATTTTTATAAAAAAAAAAAAATTATAACATAAATATGTTATAAAATTACTACAAAAATAGCCATTTTGTTTCAACACCCTCGGTGTCTTATCAAGTGATGATGTTGAATATAAAATAAATGGTTTTAAATGTTTCAAATTAATTAACGATCCTTAGGGAAGGATCGTTAATTAATTACCGAACGCTTCTTTGTGGCCGATCAGTAAGGCACGTCAGCGTAAATGACGGTTCCGTATAGGATGCAGGTTCGAATCCTGTCAAAGAACGAATATTTTCTATGAAAATTTCTCGGACATTCAGGCCGGTAAATGTTATTTAATACTGTTTATTATAAACAGAGCATTTACTTAAATACTTGTATCTATAAAAAGAACGTTAAACATAAAAATGTCTTTAATAAATAAATTGTCGGACTTTGTCCATTTCTTTATATATATATATATATATATATATATATATATATATATATATATATATATATATATATATATATATATATATATATCTTTTTGCTTTAAATTCGTAATGATTTAAGAAATATCGCTTAGAATTGTCCATTATTCCTTTTGGAAAACGTTGAGCGTGACGAAACTTTTTCAGTTCCATTCCTCTCACGAAAAATTAGTTTTACATTCCTAAAGGTTTTAATATTTTCTTTTTGAGTCTAGTCAGTTAAACGTTATGAATGTAAACCAAATAATGTGTTGTTTATCCTCTCATTATTGACTTGATGGTCAAGCTAAGAATGAAATTTGCTTTAAAATTCTTAAAATCATAAATGATATAATTTAGATATTTTAATTTAAATAAAAATTTAAATTATATTTTTTCTTTCTATTGTCGGATGATCGGCGACTGAACTTGCCCACTACCTCTCTTCGCAGAGTGTGACAAAGGTGATTGGTTATTAGGCAGGACAAAAAGTAATACTTATCAAAGAGTGGAAAAACTCTTGACGTGTCAACGGCCAGCAAACTGGTGACGGTGTTTCAATAAAAGCACCATGGAGAAGGTAACGAAAAACCACTTCACTATCAAAGAGTAGAAAAACTCTTGACGTGTCAACGGCCAGCAAACTGGTGACGGTGTTTCAATAAAAGCACCATGGAGAAGGTAACGAAAAACCACTTCACTATCAAAGTGTGGAAAAACTCTTGACTGTTTTGAAACGTAGAAAGAAAATTGAAGTAAGCACGTGGACTACCAAGGGAATATTTTGTAGGAGACGAAGATACCATTGCCCTAGGTAGGCTATTTTTTCATTAAGACTCGATAGCTGGAGCCTTTCCAGTCAGATCTGGTACAAAGTTTAAGTATGTAAAAATGATTCTTTATAACTTACATTCATACTTTTGAAACGGTTGTCGTATCCATGGCTTCCTCTTCCGCCACAATACAAGTTCTTCCTAAATAAAAAGGATAAACAATTGAATTAATCCAACTCTTGGTTGTATGAACAATAAACTTTAATCTTATCAGTGCGAGTCTGAGGCACAAATTGCATTCAATCACACGCCTCAGTCCTCGTTACTATTTTAACTCTCTACCTAGAGTGAAACTCAAGCTTTCTATTCGGTGAATTCTGGTCACACTTGAGCACAATCGAGTTTGTTTAATAGTTTAATTCAGTTTGACATATTTTATATACAGGGTGTTCTAAAAATGGATTTCATGAAATGTTAACACAGGCAAAGATGATTCAGTGTCAAAACTAGTCTCCCTTTCTTCTTTAATATAATTTAATTATTTTTTAATTTTTTTCTTAAACCAGAACCGAATATTTAAGTCTTACAGAAAAATGTATTAATGTCATCAAGTGCATTTTCATAATATATATATATATATATATATGAAGAAATATACTCTTAAGGTGTGCTATATTTATAGGATAAAGTGCTCAATATCAGAGATAGAGCGTGTGTCCATTTATATATATATATATATATATATATATATATATATATATATATATATATAATTTAATTGATTTAAAATATGTTTTTGTCGCAAAAAAACATATTTTAAATCAATTAATTTATAAAAACTATATTTTAAATCAATTAATTTATAATATTAATGCTCTGTAAATTTACATTGAGTACTATTTTGTAAAAATAAAAATATCTATAAGAACACCGGATTATATATCTTACTGTTCTTTCTTTTTATTTATATATACATATACATATATATATATATTAGTCATCTCTCCTGTCGTATTCGACGTATGAGGGTCAAGCAGCTCAGTTTCTAGTAACCGACAGCCCAGACTCCAGCACATATGATTTGGTTATAGTGGTGAAGGTTTTGTGCAGAACCAACCACACTCTTTGAAGGGCCGAATACAGTGACCTAGTGCATTACGTGCCACAAGGTCCCAAAATGACCCTCCGCAGGTTTTGAATTCAGAGTTGTCTTTCTCCTAGACCAGTTGCCATCCAAGGCTATAGAACCGTCTGTCCTGCCATTTACCCATTTGCTGGAGGGAGAAGAAGACAATTAATACCTTTCGTAAGTCAATGTAATGGATTCGACTGGAATTCGAACTCGCCTCTGCGATTTATATATATATATATATATATATATATATATATATATATATATATATATATATATATATATATATATATATATATATATGCTTAACGATATTGCAACACTTATAGGCTCATTCAATTTCGATGTCAGTCTCTTTTTATTGTTTTATTTTATTTTAATCCAAAAATAAATGTGTAATTTTCTTATGGATATTTTTAATGTCAGCCTTTCTCCATTAATTAACATCAAAGAACATTTGTATAATTTCTTTAATAATATATATATATATATATATATATATATATATATATATATATATATATATATATATATATATATATATATAGTTAAACCTAAAGAGCCAGACAAACCTACCAAGGTTTCACCTAAGCGGATCGTCAGGAAGGCTGGCTTTAACTACTCACTGTATCGAGCACTTTATTTAGTTATTTTACCTATCAGATCTCTCGAAGTTTTTCATATCTGAACAGTTTTCGTATTTAAATGTAAATTATGAGAATTTTTTAGAATAGATTTTTTTTATTAAGCCGACAGATTTTTATCACATTAAACATATTTCTTTTAGCGGATATATATTTTTCAGTGGGCGCTCCGTTTATTTATTAAACAATATATTTATTCATATTCGCCTACTGGCTTGAATATTCGAGAAATCTTATTAAAGAAAAATATGCACTCTCTGGCAGGAATCGAGGTCGGTAGACGAAAATAAATAAACATACTGTTTAATAAATAAACGGGGCGTCTACTCAAATACAAGTATCCACTAAAAATAACGTTTAAAGTGATATATATATGTCAGCCTCTCTCCATTAATTAACATTAAAGAACATTTGTATAATTACTTTAATGATATATATATATATATATATATATATATATATATATATATAGTTGTGTATTTAGGCAGCAATCCTTCTTTCATGCACATTTCATTGAATACGACAAACAAGGTGCTTTGGTTTAGTTTTTATACAATTTCTAATGTGATCTAATAATTTTTTCTTTTCTGACGATAAATTATATAAACACTGTCCAATTGTTTTTTCCGAGCGTTTTCGGCTATACATTTAGCCATTTTCAAGGTTGAAATATATTAACTGTTAACAAGATAGATTGTTGTATGTATGTATTTATATAATGTTTTCATTTTCAAAACACGGTCAAGATATTGTGTCCATGTTCATAGTTGATAGTATTGAGTGTTGATTTTTATTAATAAGGTTTCCATTATTTTTAGCCTTTTAGCAATCGGGCATTACTTTTGCACCAACCTGATAATTCCAACCTTTTGGGCATTTGTTTTCGTTCTAGATCGTTTTCTTAAAAAACTATTTGATGGTATGAATACGTATTCGATAGTTAACCATATCACATCACTGGCAACACCAGACGAAAAATAAAAAAAGAACTTGAAAATTCAATTTTCAAGTTCAAAATGGAATTGCTTAGTAGAATTAGTGCTAAAGAGAACTAATGTAGTCAAACAGTAGGAAACCGGTGTATCATTTGATTGTTATACTAAGCGAATCCGACAGCATGGTTGACCTTGTATAAAGCCGGGGGACACCCTAGGTAGTGGGTTACAGTAAGAGGTAGTTTATGCGGATAAGAGGGGAAGATAACGGTTAACCCTAGACTTGAACAGGTTAAGATTGCAGTGATCGGGGAAACATCAAGCAAGTTTGGTGACACCTGATATAGAAGGATATTACACAGCAGTTCAGTATTCTTTTCTTTGTTTTCCTGTTTCTTAATACTTTGCTTAGCTTTTGGAAGGCAACTTTCGCTATCCCAATTCGCTTTCAGATTTTGGTATCGCATTTTCCGTCCTCTGTTAAAAAAACTTCCTCGATATTTAAATTATATTTAGTAATGATAATAAAAAAACATTATCCCCCTACGTATTGTGTCACTTTAGGAAGTGGGCAATAATAACTATTTTAAGACATTTTTATGTTTAACATTCTTTTTATAGATACAAATATTTAAGTAAATACTCTGTTTATAATAAACAGTATTAAACAACATTTACCGGCCTGAATGTCCGAGACATTTTCTCAGAAAATATTCGTCCTCCGACAGGATTCGAACCTATAACCTATACGGAACCATCATTTAGCTTGACGTGCCTTTACCGATTTGGCCACGAAGGAGCTTTCGGTTAGCAAGGTCGAATTTACTGTATTTAAACTTCAATCTTCCATGAATCTCTCACGTACATTCATATCTGCTCATGGCGTATCAAATGTAAACAAATGACACCACACATTATGAAATGCACAAAGTCCGACAATTATTTTAAGACATTTTTATGTTTAACATTCTTTTTATAGATACAAATATTTAAGTAAATGCCCTGTTTATAATAAACATAATAACTATGTAGGTCTTTTGTAGCAATAGTCTCTCTTTTCTGACGCATCTTTCCCTTTGTGACAATTGTTCTTCCATCTATTTGCACAAATATTTCATCATTTTTTTTTACAGTAAGGTTCACCCTGTACAAGGCCCGGGGGCCACTCGAGGAAGAGGTTTAGAGTAAGCGGTAGTTTATGAAGATAGGAGGGGAAGATAACGGTTAACTCTAGACTTGAACAGGTTAAGATTGTAGTGATCAGGGAAACATCCTCTTGGGAGTCGGTTCCACAGAGCAGTGGTTTGCAGGAAGAAGCTGTTCGAGTGGAACTTACTAATGGAATACGGAGGGAATGTGGGTGGCTTGCTACAATGTAAGTGACATAGCGGGTCCTTGCCGTGAAAGTCAGACCTAGCGGAACCAAGAAATGTAGTTTGTCCGTTCATTTTCTTTGAAAGTAGCGATAGAGCAGCGAGATGCTCGCTACATCTCGTCTATGAGAGAAAGATAGTAGACGCCTTTGGATTCTACTGAGACTGGGAAGTGAGAACTGAGCAGCTAACACCCAAATATGACAACAGCACTCCATTTTAAGCCTTGTAAAGGTAGTTAGCAGGTGGAGTCTGGAGTGGTATAGGGAGCAAACCATTTTCCTTGCATGTTTTGCGATGTATCACATGTACGAGTTCCACTTGAGGTCAGCTGTGAGTTTTAGGCCTAATAGTCTTACAATCTTTTGTTTTCCTTGAACAATTTTTATTCCCTGTCAGCCTGCTAAGACAGCCACAGCTTCACCAGTGCCCTGTTGGCTAGCATTACATGTTTCCACCTCCCACAACGAAGATGAGAGGTTGGGCTTTGGGAGTCTGAGGTATCCAAACTACGTAATTCTCTGTTGTTCGATGTGTTGTATGATTGGTATTATATCCTATTATATCTCTTATTACCTCATTCTTGATCTTGTCTCGCCTGGTCTTGTTCACTGATTTCCTCAGGCATTTCATTTCACAGGTGATCAGTTTCCTCTGAAGGGTTTTTGTTAGGGGCCATGTTTGACACTGGTATGTCAAAGAGTGTAGGAAAATGGCGTTGATGACAGTTACCTTTGATCAAGTGGTTCGGACACCTCACTCGTATGCCTAGCAACCGACCAGCCCTACGAGCATACACCCTCGAGAGCGAGAGGCAGACCAAGAAGACGTTGGAGCGACTCAGCCCCCAAAATATCTCTCCTCCAAGCCACTCGCCTTGTCGCTGACAGACGACCGTGTCTGCCTGCGACGCCTAACAGCACAACCGGAAGGAAAAACTAAACTTAGTCATACAAGGCACGGAGCCTCACTGAATGAACATCCATTCATGATGACTGGAGGTAGTTCGGGGTACGACGGCGATGATGGAATGTAATTAGTTTGGTTTTCGAGGCATTGAATGCAACCAGCCAGTTTTTCTTCTACTGAGAATTCATTCGTATCCACAGATAACAAATAGAAATATATTAGAAAAGTAATTACATATTTCACCATTGTGAATTAGGAGTTAATCAACTAAGGAAGAACCAAGATAGAATGGTAGGAAACTGTGTCTAGAATTAGTTTATTTTATCTATTAAGGTGTTTGGAAAGTAATTACGTTATTTAATCGTCAACAACCAAAGCAGAATCAAGGTTAAATGGTACAAATCATTCTTGAATCTGACAGTTTGCCATCTCTCATCTGAAAGTATTTCATTTATAGTGCATTTCAGAGTTTTAATTTAAAAAAAAAAAAATTACAAAGAGCTAATTTTGGATCTTCGTGAGATTTCGTTTCAAAACCAAATCCAACGTTCCACTATTTTCAGTAGGATTTTGACACGAATGCCATCCTTTCCTTTTTGTATCAAGTGATGAAAAATGAGTTTTGCTTGTCAACAGAAACCGAAAAAGATAGCGGTTATCACAAAACCAGTGGCAACATCGAAACCAAAACTCAATTCACAGAAGTCATTGCTTTATGTTGTATGTTGGAATATGAAAGGTGTCATATGTTACGAGCTCGTGGAACATGGAGCATTCATCATTGCAGACCTTTATTTCCATCAACTTGATTGGATAAACGAATCATTACGTAAAATGGTGTCTGCTTTGGTAAGAAGAAATGGCGTTATTCTCCAGCACGACAATGCCACGGAACGTCTTAAAAAAACAATCCCGAGAAAACATTACATCGTTAGTATGGGAGGTTCTTCTACACTCTTCACAGACACCAGATTTAGCATTTGTAGATTTTCATTTGCTTAGAAGTCTATGACGTTTCATTATTGGAAACAAAAAACAAAACAATTGCGTTTAACCATGAAACAGACAGTAGACACTGAGGTCAATACCCAGCTGTGACAATCTAACACTGATATTGAGCACTTTAACCTATAAATGCAGCATACTATAAAACTGAGTGATGCACGCATGTATGAATGAATATTTTTTTTATACATTCGTCCCATAGATATGCAGCAGTTTACAAATCAATAAACGAAAAGAAAATATTTTGTACTTTTCGTGTGAATAGATTTCAATCAAGTTTATTTTTGGCGCCAATTGATATTTTGAAAATGTCTTTCAGCTATTTAACATTTGTTTGTAAAAAAAAAAAATAAATAAAAAAACCGAAACAAAAGTTGAAAAGAGGCATTCAAAAATTTTTGGGGAAAAACCCAGATTTTCTTAAAACTTGGCGTCGAAAACTTGACTTAATAGATTTAATTTAGATTTGATTTTAAAGCCTTTCTGCAAAAAAACTTAATTACTTTCCTATCACCCTAATATTTAAATAAACTAATAAAACGTAATTACTTTCTGAACATACTAATATTTTAATAAACTTACATTTGTTTTTATAGCCTTTCTAATAAAGCGTAATGGATACCTCGGCGTGGTGTAATGGTTAGCACGCTTGTCTTGCTTGATCAGTTACTACTGAAAAGTGAGTTCGATCCTCACTGGGTGCTCCATACTTTCGGCCTTGTGCCACATCTAAGCAATGCTTAGAAAATCAAAAATTCGGATCGTTTCTCGGCCTTTGGCTGAGATTCGATCACGGCTAGCTTGGACCGGCTCCGGCCTGGACAAGCCAAGACCAGCTTTGACTAAGCTCTAACCAGCTTGGACATGCTATGACCAGTTTTGGACCAGTGGCCCGAGTGGAAACGCTCGGGTCTCCGACGCTAACCCGACCTTGTGTCACATCCTGACTTCGTGGGAGTTAAGTAAATACCTCTAATAAAACGTAATTACTTTCCGAACACACTAATATTTTAAACTTGACTTTTGTTTTTATAGTGTTTCTAATAAAACGCAGTCACTTTCTGAACACACTAACAATTAATAAACTTACATTTGTTTTTATAGCCTTCCCAGTAAAATCATATGAACATCCTAATATATTTTTTAAATCGTACAGCCCCAGTGGACGTATTTCGGAAACACGTAGTTCTAGTTTTTGCCATCAAAGTGCATGGTTACTCGATATCACAACTTGTTCACAGTAACCTTTATTTGAACTTTATTTTGGCGTATTATGTTTGTTTTTTGCCTACAAAATACACAATTGATAACCATGTTTCTTTTATTGTTGAAAACTGATATTTTGTTATTTTCATAACAACAAAGTCAAATGCGCAATAGGCGAGTATCAGGTAGTTCACTGCGCAAACACAGTTGTTAATGATTTTGATAATTAGTCTGTGTCCAATTATGTTAAACTGATGTCCGTCTCTGCAAAATATCTACTGTCGAAATGAGAGCAGGGATATAATAAAAGCGAAAGAAATAATTTTATGCCTATATTTGTGAGATGAGGTACTGTAATTATTTGCACAATTTACATTGTTCGGGCGATTATCGTCTTTGTTGTCATATTCACGACGTTTCGGCCGTTGTACTATCCGGCCTTCGTCAGGTGATTGGATTTTCGATCCGAGACCTTTATTATTTACCAAGTCACTGGATTACTTCAACCAACGCTTTGGTTGCAATAATCCAGCCACTTGATCCAAAGAGTTGTGAGTTCAATACCTGGCCACAGCAGAAGTGAACAAAACATAGAGGCTTGAGTTAAAGAGAAATAACTGAAACTTAGACATCAGGAAGAGGCATGACAACACTCTACCCTGGCGAACGGAATAAAGGATTCGGTTCGAAATTCTAATCACCTGAAGAAGGCCGGAACGTACAACGGCCGAAACGTTGTGAATATGTCAACAAAGATGAGGACAAAAGTCCGAACAATGTAAATAGGGTATAGAAATAATTTTGATTGACTTAAAACAATATGGAATAACGTAAGAGTCCCTTATGTTGATATTTGAATGCTTGGTATTTAATATTTGAAACGAATCGATAAATACCTTTGTAAGTACCATGTGTCGTTGATAAGTAGTTGGATATCTCCTATCCTTTTGTGCTTGGTGTAGTGAAGTCTTTTGGGTAAGAATTCTTTCTGGAACACTTTCATATGCCGACTACTGCATTCAAGCTTGGACGTGAGTTCTGGGACGGTAATAGCATCTGTTGAAAAATATAAGATAATGATTGACTTGCATGAATGAAAGAGGCAGAAAACGCCGGGTTTTGGCTCTCTGAGAATGCCATGGACTGAACATGTGAGCAACGACGAAGTTTTAGGGAAAATGGAAACAAAAAGGACACTTATACTTAGAATCAGAAAGGGACAGTTCAAAGGTCTAAGACATATAATGAAGAAAGAGGGCTTAGAAAATTTGACCCTCACAGGGCATATTGAAGGCAAAAGAGACAGAGGAATACAGCGCATCACCTACCTAACGAGTTTATGTAACTTGTTGGTAGAACAGCCATTGGGGGGGGGGAAACAAGCTTTACTAAGAACTCCAAAGGACATGAAATTGTGGCGAGCCATCATCGCCTACGTCTTGAAAGGACATGCGACATAGAAGAAGAAGAAGAAGAAGAAGAAGAAGAAGAAGAAGAAGAAGAAGAAGAAGAAGAACTTTGAATATTAGTGAGTATCCGTCAGTATCTGGAGACTATGGAGTCTACAAGGATTGTTAGTTAACCTCTGTTGCAGACGTCTGCTCAGGCACATTTGTGTTTCTTCAACGCTTCTAGAGCCAAACTGTAATTTATACTGCACCTATACTTAGTGGACTTTACTTACACTTTCTTACAATCTGGTAAGAACAATAATTAGACAAAGCCAGTACACTCAAACTCTCGGTCACGATGACTTGTGACATTGTGCTAGTATCCTGAATATAGACCTGGCATCTCATCTTCAATCACTTTCCCATCGGTGTAAAGTTGCTTTCCTGTGACTTTTCTATAAATACTTTTATGGTAATTGCTTGGATGTACTCTTCGCTTTATGAATTTAAGCGGAGTTCTAGATTGGCCCATGAAGTCGTATCAATTTGCTGTTGAATTGGCGAGATGCAACCGTAAGTTCTATGCTGACAGTTTCTTTTCTCTCACTTCTTGTTTGTGAAACTCTCTTCCGGCTTCTTGCTTCCCAGTCAACTTCTAAAATTTAAATGCAATGTCAGTCGTTATCTACTGTCTTTCTGATTACTCTTTTATTGTTATCGCTCCTTAATAATGTTTATATTTTCTAATTCTTTTACACTCAGTAACCCCCTGTGTTTTAGTGCCTTTACTGTTTTGTTTGCAGTGAATTCGTTTAAAAAGAAATTGTACTTTTTTTTTTTATTCCAAGTCGGACAACCACTGATAACTAAATCAGAATCTTAGACATTGTGATAGAAAATTAACAGTAAGCTAAACTAGTCCCAGATTTTCGAGCCATAATTTTTTTTTTTTAGAAATTTTGAACATTTTAGCATTTTACTAATTTTCTATCTTGCCATGATTGTCGGCTGGAAATATCTGGTCTAGAATAGAAAGCAAGATTAAAGGACTAACTATTAACTGTAAGAAGACAGAATACGTGGTCGTCAGCATAAGGGACAGCACAAAGTGTGAACTACGTATTGTGGACGTTAAAATGAATCAGATACATGAATTTAGCTATCTAGGTAGTATAGTAAAGAGAAGAGGAAGAATCTGACAGAAATCCGAAGGTGCACATGATTAGCGAAAGATGTCTTCCAGAAACTAAGATACTATTAAGATATAGGAAAATATTGTTAGAAACAAAGAAAATGATGTTGAACTGATACGTAATATCTAATCTCCTCTATGGCAGTGAATGCTGCATAATATCCTCCAAGATGAACTTGAAGCAGCAGTGATGTGGTTATACAGACAAATGCTAAGAACACCATGTGTGTAATGTTTTCAGGAAAATAGGAATAATAAAGAAACATACAATCAGAAAGAAACAGTTGAAAGTTCCGCGACAGAATGAGGAAATACAGCTTAGATAATTTAACACTCACAAGGCGTATTGAAGGCAAGGGGGGCACAGGGAAGAAGCGAGTCATCTACTTTTGTTTGTGTGAATGGGTGACAGAAGAGGAACAAAGATTTTAAAGGATAAAAATTACTTATAACAATAAAAGGAGGAAGTTGTGAAAAGCCACCTCCTGAAACGGAGTTGGCATATTAGTTTAGAATAAATAATAAACAAAAATCTGGATTGGGGTAATGGTTAACGTTTCTGGAGATGAGAAGTCTGAGCTGGGTGCCAATTCTTTTCGCATTTTTGAATTTCTTATATTGAGAAAATGGCTGAATCCGACATACAGGCATTCAGTGAGGTTTCTGACTGACACATCAAACCGCCCAAAATATGTGAGTCAGCCCATTTACTTACATGATCCATTGGAAAACCGCTTGAAAGTCTTTCCTTCTTGCCAGTATTTGTTTGTTACCCGTCCATCACTATACACGAACATATCCTTTGTGGCCGTCTCTTTGTCAATAATATCCCATAATACAACGCTCCGTTCACAATTAACATCCGTCATACCTAGAAGGAAAAGAATCATAGTAGAAATGAAACACGGGAAGGTATTTTTCTGTTTGAATTTCTAGGATGAATTATCAGTATTTACATTATTTATATTACAACTATTGTCCTCATAGTTTTTATAACATTTTTTTTATTTTTTGGAATATTTTATTATCATTTATTTCTTATTTTATGTTTTATAGCGATTATGGATTTCACAAAGATATGATTGAATAGATATATCTATAGAAACAGTTTAGTAAAATCGAGAGTTTATGTGAAACTGATAAAATGATTTCCCAACGAAAAATCTACCACCATTAATTAATTTCAAGAACGCTATAAAATACAATATTTAGGTAATACTAAAAGTTTTATTTTAGATGCCTACATATAGCCATTAGCTTACTATGTCAGCTGGGATTAGGATAAGCATATTGTATTCCTTAAAGGGCTAAGAAAAAACACCCACCTTCTGGGTGACTACTTGTAGACTCCAGTAGAAAACCAACCCGTGTCTATTGTTTTTGAACTCTAGTTCAAATTGAATTTGTGTTGACATTTTTAACTCTAGTGTAAAACCGGACCTGTGCCTAGTTTCTTAAACAGACCAAGTCTACCTTTTTAAACGAGTGTAAAAACAGACCTGTACCTAGCTTTTTGACTCCAGTGCAAAAACAGACTTGTCTTGTTTTTTTTTTTTTACTTTAGTATAAAACCAGACCATTGCCTAGCTTTTAAAACGAAACTATGTCTACATCTTTTATTTTAGTGTCAAACTGGGCCAGTGCTTAGATTTTTCAATCTAGTGTAAAACCAGGCCTGTGTCTAGCTTTTAAAATGCACCTATATCTACTTTTTTGACTACTTTGACCTATGCCTGGCGTTTTAACACTCGTGCAAAAACAGACTTGTCCGTAGTTTTTAAAACTGACCTATGTCTACCATTTTTACTTTAATGTAAAACCAGACTCGTGCCAAGCTTTTAAAACAGACATATGTTTACCTTTTTAACCAGACCTGTGTCTAGCTTTTAAAACGAACATATGACAATCTTCTTTATTTTAGTGTAAAACTAGACCTGCCTCTACCTTTTTGAATTCTAGTGTAAAATCAAGCCTGTGCCTAGCTTTCAGACTCTAGTGTAAAATTGGACTTGTGTCTACTTTTTCGACTCTAGCACAAAATCTAAGCACGTGACGTTTATCAGTGTAATTTTAATATAGGGGGCGCCAACCCGGAAAATATATGAAAAGTGGGCGCTGGAAAAGAAAAGGTTAAAAACTAATCGACTAGATAGTGTTTCAGCTGTTACTTATCCTAAGCTATCGCTGTTCAAAGTCATCGTTTGATGTTTAACCTCTAACTTTCCAATCTTCAATACAGCTCACCCTAGTTAATCATCCTGGAGGGGTTGACCTGTTTGCTTCAGCCCCTAGCGAGTGTCTCTACCCACAAAGACAATCAAACGGAGTGCATATAAAAATGTCACGGGTTCTTTTTTTCTGGGAGGCGTGTGGGTCCGTTTTCCTCAGTGTTACGCAAACAAGCGTTTGAGGCAAACACCACGGGCGCTAGAGAATCACTGAGAGACATATTTTGCTTTTTATACGACATTTAATGCGTCAGTGAGGAAAAAAAAAATAACGTACCGTGATCGGCCACAATAATGATGTTGACGCAGTTATGCATATTCTCTTCGTACAGTTTATTCATGAGTTGACCGATATAAGAGTCGACAAGACGCAAAGTGTTGAGGATCTGAAAATAACAAAAGAAATATGAGCACGGGTAATTTCGAGGCATCGAAAAGAGGATATTTATTTCTGAAAATACAGAAATTGTGGCACATGGCCGGGTGGGGAGAAATAGGGACCGGTCTTCCTTATTTATCCTAGTCCTAGTTAATCAGATTGGCGACCTATTCATTCATTACAATTTGCTCAATCACCAAAATAACTTACCTCTCGATACACCAAGATACTGCATATTCACAGGGGAGGGGGCCTAAAAAACACCCCATGAGATGAAAATCTGATGAAAGTCCAAAATGTCCCTTTTTTTTTTTTCACTTTTTTTTACCAAAAATATATTAAAAAAATTCATGATTCGTGAAATAATGGGGAGGAGAAAACCCAGAAAACAAACTAAAATGTAACACAAAGATAACTCAATACAAATGTTTATAGGTACCGCCATGAGATCGCTAAAAAAAAGAGCATAGCAGGATGAAAAAGACGTCAAACTTGACGAAAACAAAATTATATCGTCTAAATATTTATGTTGTTATTAAGAAGAAAGACCAAAGTTTTTTTTTTAATTATTTTTAAAATTTTCCTTCTTTTAGAACATTCTGAATTCTGATTAAAAAACCTTATTTCTCTTTGTATCACCGGAACTAGTAAAATAACATATACAATTTTTTTTGTATGATGGGCATTAATTTGGAAAATCTTTCAAAAATAAAAATAATTGTCGGATGTTAATGAAACTTTCAGAAACTATTCACAGATGATCGAAATTATTATAAATGTTTTTTTTTTTATTAAAGTCATGACAGAAATATTTTTTTATATTTATTACCCTCCCCCATAACTAATTTTATGAAAACTCTAGAAATTCAATCAGCATTCAGTTTAGTGATTATATTAGTTAAAAGCACAAGGCAAATCATGTTTTTTTTTAATTGGACCCCCTCTATCTGAAAATCAGCCATGAATTGTAAATATAAAACTCAATAAAACAAAATTATTATTTAATTTCAAATGCTTTTATTTGCTTTTTAGTTGTTTTTATGAATATGGATAATATTTTCTGAAAGCAAAACTTTTTTCGAAAAAAAATGAATTTTTAATACAATTATTTGTTATTTTTTTTAATTATTTTAGATTTTTACATTTAAGTTGTTAAAATATAAAATTAGTTGAAAGCTTCTGCAATCACTTTCGTAAATGTCCTTATGAGATAGATCATTTTTAGGGCTTTGTAAATTGTATCGCTCCGTCCAATCAGAAGACCTGCAGTAATTAAGAAATAATTTTTGTTCATAAAAATCATTAAAATGGCTGTAATTAAAAAGTACTAGTAAAATAACATATACAATTTTTTTTGTATGATGGGCATTAATTTGGAAAATCTTTCAAAAATAAAAATAATTGTCGGATGTTAATGAAACTTTCAGAAACTATTCACAGATGATCGAAATTATTATAAATGTTTTTTTTTTTATTAAAGTCATGACAGAAATATTTTTTTATATTTATTACCCTCCCCCATAACTAATTTTATGAAAACTCTAGAAATTCAATCAGCATTCAGTTTAGTGATTATATTAGTTAAAAGCACAAGGCAAATCATGTTTTTTTTTTTAATTGGACCCCCTCTATCTGAAAATCAGCCATGAATTGTAACATATAAAACTCAATAAAACAAAAATATTATTTAATTTCAAATGCTTTTATTTGCTTTTAGTTGTTTTTATGAATATGGATAATATTTTCTGAAAGCAAAACTTTTTTCGAAAAAAAATGAATTTTTAATACAATTATTTGTTATTTTTTTTAATTATTTTAGATTTTTACATTTAAGTTGTTAAAATATAAAATTAGTTGAAAGCTGCAATCACTTTCGTAAATGTCCTTATGAGATAGATCATTTTTAGGGCTTTGTAAATTGTATCGCTCCGTCCAATCAGAAGACCTGCAGTAATTAAGAAATGTAATTTTTGTTCATAAAAATCATTAAAATGGCTGTAATTAAAAAGTACAGAAGGTCACAAGCAATAAAACGTCATGTGGCTTGAGTGTAAACGTTCTCCGCTGAACGTCCATTTCATTATTGCAAATTCTTCGTGCGAAACACATGTTGAGCATTTTGAATTAGCGTTTTTACTAATTAAAAAAATTTGAACACCATCCTAAACCATTTTCAGCAGCAACATTACTACATTTTTAAAAGTACCATTTATTTCATTTACATATTTCATTGCAATTTTAATTTTGTGAAGTTGTTTTACAGTTTTCCGTGAGTTGTCTTATTTCAATTTTATGAAATTTAATCTCACTCTCAACAGTCTTATTTTAATTTCTTGATAATATATTTTCCATAAAGCATCGTAAACGTAAAGGTGAAAGCTAAGTACAAAAAAAAAAAAAAAATAAAAAATAGAGCGCTGGAAGTTTTCCTTAAAAATAACAAGGTAAATAATTTGTTCACGTAAATTTAAATAATTTCACTTCTCTCCTTCCAATAGAAAAACATATTCTCACGTAAGCTGTTAATACGTGATGAAATTGTCATTCGTCACCTGTCAAGTGATGCAAAATGTTATGACCTGCTTTGTTTTATTTTCAAACTACATCTTTGCGGCGCAGAAACAAAGTAATGCTTGTTTCAAAATATTTTAAATAAACATAATTTCTGATTTAAGATTAAAATAAGTTTTCAAAAAAAATTATAATTGATTTTTAAAAGAATTTCAAACTGAGATTTTCATTTTTTTATAAAATGGAAAAAATGGTTGACATGATTGATTATCTGTCAATTTCTCTAACTAAAAAAAAGAACAAGATTTTTAACGAAAATTTTGAACGTGCTAGGAACGATTACAAAATGTAAAAACAATACCCCCAAAATATTTTGTTCTTTCCTCTCAATAATAACATAAACATTTAGACGATAAAGTTTTGGTTTCGTCAAGTTTGGCGACTTTTTCGTCATGCTATGCGCTTTTTTAGCAATCCCATGGCGGTACCTATGACCCGTCCACTCCTCAAAATAATGAGAGGCCACTGTATTCTGCCGATAGACAGACTCAAGCGGCACGCTCACTAATGGAATGAAGAGCGTAAAAATAAATGACGGAATGGGAAAAAACAAAGACTGATCCAGCCGAGATAAAAAAAATAGGGGTCAAAAACAAACTAGGCAAATTGGGAAACTCGACATTGATCATAAGAAAAGAGAGTGCCGGGAACAGACCGGGAACAACACTTATTCACATTAACTAGGAAAACAAAATAGTACTAACTTAACCAGGGGGGGGAGTTCACAGGAATACGCTCCATTGCATCAAGAGGACTTAAAAGAGAAAATCAAGGCTAGCTCCGTCCACACGAACCAGGCTAGCCTCAGTCACCCACCTCTCGCTGAAATCCGTCAAGATCAAACGCTTTCTATCAGAAGGCATCGAAAAGGAGATATGAGTTGGCAAGTCATTCAAAATATATTTTAGAAAAAAAGTAAAAATTAAATATCAACATGTAGAGAGGATAAAATTAACTGCATAAAATCCAAAGAGGCAAAATAACTCATGTCGAATAGTGATTTCCTAAGCGTAGCTTAAATGTGCCACACGGCCAAAAGTGTTGTGCACCCAGTGAAGATCAACTCACTATCAATCGTAATTGATCTAGCGGGACAAGCTTGCTAACCATTACACTATATCAAATACTTCATTTTTCGGTCTAATCTGGTTCCTGTAATGATCGATAATTGTAGAAAGACGACCGACCTTTTCTACACGAGTTGTTGAACATAGACTTGTCCATTAACTATGAGTAGAGCGTCTGTTCATCGATACAAGCTCGCAAAGCGGTGGTCTGAAAATCATACGCAGACACGCAAGAAATCAGAAGTTGAAGCTTGAGCTATGAGCAAACGTCCGGGCGTTAAAATTTGGAGGGCACAGTAGGTGTTGCTGGGTATTTTTTCATATTATTCCCACGAGCAGTGATGGTGACATTAACGGTTTGGAAGCAAAAGTGGTTCTATTCAACACAAAATTAGGCTTTCATTTACAAACAAAAAAATGGTTTGGTTTGTTTTGTTTTACGGTATATCAACCTCAATGGGTTATTTAATGCCGACAAGATTTTTATTTCTGGTAATACTTTTTTTCCAAAATGCATTGCTGGTAATAATTTTTTCTTCACAAATTTATTGATGGTATTTTTTTTTACAAATACGTATTGCTGGTATTAAAACCTGTTTTTAAACTTTCATAGTGTTTTGACCCCAGTTTGGGGTGGGGGTGGGTTAACTATTTACTCAGAGCTGGGACCTTAACAGGAGCTACCACCTGGATCTGGGAACACCAGCAATTAAGAGGTGATTCCACGCTCCTCAAAGCCTCTTGATCAGAGGCCTTGCTGCTGGATGCAGTTTATCGTCTTACCCAGGAAGCAGATTCAGTTTATCTTCATACCCAGCACGGACAGACAAGAAAAAGGATCTTTCATTTCGTTCTTTTTTGACGTTACGTTTTCAATGTAATCTTGTGTATTAAATAAAATTTCCGGCACGAGTAAATTATTTTCTTTAATAACGCACTCCCGCTAGAATGTATACCTAGTCCTAGAAACTTGTATCCAGTATGAAAGAATATACCCACCCACTGATACTAGGCACTTGTATGAAAGAGCATACATCCTAATAAAGGAGAGAAATGCAACTGGGGACCTGCTAGTATTGATTCCTGCTTGTTCACTGTAGCGTTAGAATTTGATCATTGCTTTGACGGGAGCCCTTGTTAGGATTCTTATTTTCGAGTTTCAAATAGACGGGACGATTACTCCTGTCGAGAGAAAAATCCATCTGGACATACTTATCTCAACCATTCCTTTTATTGCCTTTTCAGAAAATTTCTTCCCACTCCATGCTACGAGCATTCTAGGACAAAGCATTCCATTATCGAAAATTATAAACTTTATTAAAGAATTCCAGCCACCCTTTTTATTCCAAACACACCGTCTTCTCAAGTGTAGGTGTCGTCGAAATTTTCTCGTACATTTGGGACAAATTCTTTTCTATACTTTCGACCTTCTGAGAGGTCTGTGATAGCTTGAAGTGTCGGACCTTACTCACTCGGTGCCCCATATTTTCGGCCTTGTGCCACATATATGCTACGATGCGGTATACCGCATCGAGGTGCTGCTTGGCAAGCTTGTTTCGCTAAAAAAAATTACAACTGAGTAGCAAGTTCGATAACCACTGAGTGCGCCATATTTTTTTTCTTGTGCCACATTTAAGCTACACTTAGAAATTCGCCATAAGGGCTCTTAAGGAGGAGTTTTTCAACCGTCTTCCTAATACCAATCTGGCATAAAATTACATTTCACACCAGTACGATCACCGAAGTTAAGCGACGTTGAGCCTGGTCAGCACCTAGATCGGTGACCGTAGGGTAATCATCATCACCATCATGCATACAAATCATGCAACAGGCATTCATTGGTTAATCTTCTCAAAACTAGATCGCTGATTGGTCAATTCCAACCAATCAGATCGCCTGCACCCGATGAGTGATATTTCCCGCGTTTTCGCTCGGAGCCGATCACGTGATACCCAGCTTTATATAAACAAAACACAAATAAGCTCCATGGTGTTTTCTCTTCATTCATTTTTCTCCTTGCCGCCAAGATGTAATCTTCAAGAGCTCTCGTCTTAACCTTACGGTCAGATGTTAACGAACATTACCAACAATCACGCAAGTTGGAAGCAGTCAGAATTTCATCCTGGAGAAATGCCAAACTAATCCATGCCAGTCAAAATCTTAACCAACTACACTTTTCCTGCGCAAACTTCTCTGACTCAACAAACAGCATTTCACTCTACCTTGAATAATTGCTTAAGATACTAAGAAAATGAAATAACACACTACAATGATAAGTATTCGTAAACATTCAATCAAACACCAAAACAACTAAAGGTACACAACTCATACCAGCCTTGGACAATAATTTAAAGAAGCATACGCGTACACACTATTGATTAAACTACTACAAAAGACATTTTATACACGACCAAACACTTAGTTTAATTTCACACCTAAACCTTAGTAACAGTTTTACACACACTGAAACTTTGCATAAATACACTACATAATTCAACTCAGCCATTCATACTTGTTCAACAATCTTTGATTCAATTGTGTATTTTTATTCTATATAAATCAATGTTATTGTTAAACCTTTAACTATGTTGTTTTCACTCTGATTTCTTTTGAATAATTTGCCTTCAACATATGACTTCACCATAGAACTTCGTCGCCTGGTCCACGGGAACCAAATGCATAACGACAAAAACTCTTCGTCTAAATATATATAAATATTTGATTGGCAATTCATTATTGTATTATGTTTTGGGGAATTATACATGGATAAAAAAAATCTATTTTATCACAAACCTGTTTTGACGATGGACCTTCACGATGTCCTGTGCTATCTGGTTCTTCGAAATAGATAGAGACAAAAGGTAAGCCTTGCCTAATCCATGCAACAGCTTGGTCAATGCGATCTTCATATGATGTTTTACTAGGGAGAAAAGGACAATGAAACGTTTAACTAGAAAGATGTATCAGCATTTAAATAAGATCATTACTGAAATTAATTGGTTCTTAGTGCAATGAAATGTCTATTGGTACATTTTGATTTCATCTTGAAGTGTATATGATATTTTCTTCTATTTACATTATTCAGACTATTGTTCTCACCTGTGATGCCATATTTATCACAACGTTTCAGCCGTTGTACGCACCGGCCTTCTTCACGTGGTTGGAATATCGAACTGAACCCTTTATTTCGCTCGCTGGGGTAGACTGTTCTAGTTCTACGTGGCATGTCTAATGGATGTCAGTTATCAGTTATCTCCTGTTAATTCCCCTCTCCAAGGCAACTCCAGATAACCACACTGACAGATGAAATTTGTTAAAGCAGAATTTTGATTGCATCTCTGCTTCAGGGCTTTGCAAATCTGATAACGGTGCTTCAGTCTACTGTCTTCAAAACCCTTTAACTTAATGAAACATGTATTACGTCACTCCTTTCGGCTTGATGTTTGGGCTTACCAGGTTTTCAGATCAAAATTGAGACGTATATATATATATATATATATATATATATATATATATATATATATATATAGTGCCTTCCAAAAGAGACATAACTTAAAATATGAGTAACTACATGTCCCAGACAAACGAAATTAAATAGGTTTCATGTTGACCAATAAAATATTTATTTATCAAAATTCGAACAAGATATTTAAAGGGATGTAGATTTTATAACCAACTTCACAAAGCTTCACAGATACGCACCACCACACAGGTCGTCAGTAGTCAAGCTCCTGCCAAACACGTTGTAGCATGTCTTGAGTAACATTCTTCACCTATGTAGTGATTCTCTGCTTAAGTTCCTCTAGGCTTGTAGAAAGATGGTGGATATAGTTATGTCGTTTCTCGTAACCACGTAGAAAAGAAAAGCACAAGTTATCAAGTCAGGTGAAAGTGGTGGCCATTACAACAACACACTGTCATTATTACTGGTATGCCCGATCAGATCCGCACTGAGGTGCTGCTGATGTTTTTCTTTATATTGAAATTAAGCCAATTCTGGCACAAGGCAATCTTTATTGAGTATTTGACTCGTGTTCGACTGATATAATGTTGTTACATAGCAATACATACATCGTAATTTAGTCATTTCCTGTTTAATTAAAATGCTGAATAAGAACATCTAATTAGGCAGGTAAATAAATGTTGTGGAGTGATTTCACAGTGGAGGCTTGTATTTGTACTAAGTCGGTCCTAAAATAGGTTCGACGTAGAAAACGTTAGGAACTTGATATAATAGGTATTACGCAGAGTAATCTTGTTGTGGTCGCTGACTACTTTCGTATTCGACTAACTGTCGACTACTGTCGTCCGATATCGACGCTATTTAGTAACTGCCCCACGCAGTCACATGTGGCACAAGGCCGAATTTAAAGTGGGGTTCTCGAGCCCTGAGGCTCGGCCAAAAAATCCCCGTAGACCCCGCATAAACGGGATCGGGTCTGTCTACCTCCCCGGACGATACTCTGCCCTTCGGCATAGCCTCGTCCGGATTCCTCTCTGCCTGAAAGCAGAGAGTTCGACTGTCGTCCGACACCGACTGGTATTTAGTCACTCCCCCCCCCCACGAAGGTACAATGTGGCACAAAGCCGGTTTAACGTGGGATATCCGAGCCCGTGGGCTCGGCCAAAAATATACCCTTTGAACCCGTATAAATGGGTTCAGGGTCGGTTTACCTCCCCGAACGAGACGCCGCCCTTCGGGGTAGCCTCGTTCGGGTTCCTCCCCGCCCGAAGGCAGAGAGTTCAAACGTTCAGCCGGTCGTCCGACATCGACTGACCCTCGTTTCTCATACTACTCCGACTTATATTAGGTTGGAGAGTCTATTAACTATAGAATAGGTGTGTTTCACCATAACAATAAACTTAAAGTATTACATACTTACCCAGAATAGGGATAGAAATACGTAGCATTCACTCCTGAAAAGGAATATAGAATATTGAATAAGGGCTACTGAGGCGGTGATGTCATATAGAATGTTGAGAAAAGGGCTACACAGGTTTGGGTGTAATGTAGAATGTTGAGGAAGGACTACAGAGATTCCGATAAAAAATGGTATGTTGAAAAAGAGTTACGGTTATTCCGATGAAATATAGAATGCTGAAAAAGGGCTACACAGGTTGCGATGTAATATAGAATATTGAAAAAAAAATGCTTAACTGGTTGCAATGTAATACAGAATGTTAAAAATGGGCTACAGAGATTACGATTTTATTGTGACGAAATTCTTGGTCGGTTTTACTAGCTTTTGCGAAAAAAGTAGTATTTCTTTTCCCAGTATTCTTTTGGGGAATTTTTAGGAATTCATCTTCGTATCTAGGAAACTCAAGGTGGAATGTTTTGAATATTTTAATCGAGCTTCAGGGCTATAGACATCGTAATATATTATAGAAAGTTCAAGAGAGTCGATACTGATTACTTTGGGATGCAGAACAAGCACCAAAACGTTGGTTAAATCGAAATTTATTATCAAATTTGCCTACAGCATTTTCTATGTTGACAACTATTGCGATAATTCGAATTTGTATATTATAATAATGTATATGAAGTGCGACGGTAGACTCAGCGGGCGAAGTTCAAATTCAAGGTTGTTACGTTTTTTCTTCGCGTGAATTCTCTTAAGAAAGACATGTATCCACTTTCTCCCTAACTACAGCTATCAACGGCAATGAAATCTGCCTACATAGTAGGCTAGTCTGGGCTATCTATATTTGGATGGCAATTGTTCTAGAAGAAGAATGACTCTGAATTCAAAATCGTGGAGCAGGCAACGGGGAACCGCTCCACTTTCTTTACCAAAAAGTCATGGCAACGAACAGTAGCATTTTCCCTGGTGCTCCGACGACATGAATTTAAGCATGCTACCAGATTGGCAACTAGGTCTCACCGTTTTACTGTTGAACTATCTAGATGCAAACGCTACTTCTGTAATATTATCTTTTCTCGCACTTCAGAATTCCTTTCTGATTTCTTGCTTCCTTGTTAACTACAATCTTTAAAAATTTAAATGCAACGTCAATTGCTATCTATTGTCTCCTTGAACCTCGTTTCTTTTTTGTCCTTTCTTCCCATTCTCAGTTTTCTTATTCTCTTTCACTATTACTCCCCTGCATCTTAGAGGCATTATCGCCTTTCTTGGGGTGAAACGATTAAAAAAATAATATGGGAAGCCATGATCACCTAGTGCTGAAGGAATCTTCTTCTTTTATGTACCATGTGACTTCAGGGTGTGGACGATCATAGCTCTCCCCGACTTCCTATCTGTTTAGCTCTGAGTAAGGTTTGTCTTTTTGCTATCTCTCCTAGTCCATGTTCTGTCATCTGTTTACATAAGCTCGTTAGGTAGGTTATTCGCTGCTTTTCTCTGTCGTTGCTTTCAATATGTCCTGAGAGCGTCAAATTCTCCAAACCTCCTTTCCTCATTATGCACCCTGGAAATTTCAACTCTCTTTTTAAATCTAAGTATGTGTCTTTTTATCTATGTTTTTCTTAAAAAAAAAAAACAAACTTCGCTGTTGCATATATGCTAAGTCCATGGTATTCCCAGCATCCTTCTGTAGATCCATATTTCTGTTGTTTCAAGTCACTTCTTCATCTGTGAGGAGATTTTCCAGGATTCACTGCTATGTAGGAGAAGTGATATTAAATAGCAGTTCAGCACACTTTTCTTTTTTTTCTAATGTTTCTAATTTTTTTCGTTTCGTAATCATTTGGAAGACATTTTTCTGTGTTCCAATGCGATTTTGGATTTCGCCGTCACATTTTCTGCCCTCGATTAATATACTACCTAGATATTTAAATGTTCGTACTTTCTTGATTCTGACGTCTCCAATTTGTAGTTCGCATCTTGCGCAGTCCCTTTTGCTAACAACCATACAATCTGTCTTCTTACAATTAATGTTTAGTCCTTTCTCTCTTTCTTTTATTTCTTTCTCCAGGAATTGATGTAGTTCCTTTCTGTATCTGCTACCAGCACTCTGTTATATGTATATCTTAAGATTTTATCCAATAATAATGAATCCTGGTAGGACGTCTAGTTCTGTTAAAATCGCCTCGCTGTAACGGTTGAATAAGTCCGGTGAGAAGACATATTCTTTCTGTTTTTGTGCATTTAATGAATTCGTTTTCTATCCATATGCAGGCGGTTTGACAGAATTCTTTTTTGTTTTAATAATTTCACCCTAAACAAGGTAATAAAGCCCGTAAGACGCAAAGTGGATTATTGAGTGTTAGAGACCGTGAGAAAAATATAGTATTAAGGAAAGAAGGCAATAAAAAAACAAGAATTAAGACAGATAATAACGGCTGACATTACATTTAAATTTTTGAAGATCAAAGTTGACAAGGGAAACAAAAAGCTAGAATAGAGTTCCACAAGTGAGAAAGTTATGGGAAAAGAACGGTTAGCATAGAACTTTCGGTTGCATCTAGCCATTTCGACTGTAAAATGACGAGACCTTGCCGCCAACCTAGTACTCTGCTTAAATTCATAAAGTCTAGGTACCATAGAGAAAAGTTCATCAGAACAATTACCATTAAAGTATTCATAGAAAAGGCAGAAGGAAATTACGTTTCGGCGGTGGGAAAGTGACTGCAGCCGAGATGCCAGGTTAGGACCAATAACAATGCAGATTCTTTTGATTTCATCAAGAATCTCTAAATATATAGCAGAAGCACTACCATCTTGAGGCAAAATCAAAATTCATACCTAAAATTCATACTGTTTTGATGCTTTGCAAACTTTTGATACAAACCATATCTTTCGTGAATTCTTAACGGATGTTTCTCGATTGTGGCATTATATTAGATTTGGCTGAGTCAGTAACTTTGTGCTTCTCGCTATGGGCAATGGTGAGTCGGTTAATTTCTACGGTAAGATCGAGTTTCACCGTATATCCCGAGTTTTCTGTGTCAGTTTGTTCTAAAGCGAGGACAGAGAAAAGAAAATTCTACCTGAAATGCTGGAACCAACGAAGAAATACGACCCGGATTCTTTACCAGCCTTGCTAAGAGTTTTCCAAATCTGCCAATTTGAACAATTAAAAAGAAAAGAAATTGTATTTAGAAACTTGTATTAAACACAGCTTGTGTGTTTTTCTACAAATATCTCTGTGTGCAAGTGAATGACAAAATAAAAAAAAAATACAATGCGATTCGTCCCGAGGAGGATCTTCAGAGAAATAACATTTTTTTAAAACTTTTTACCCCAAGCAAGGCGGGAGTGTCACTAGAACGCAAGGGGTTACAGAGAGTGTGAGCAAGAGTAAAGAGGCGTGAAAAGGAAAGGATGAAGAGAGAGACGAGGAATAGATCAAGGCATCTCTGTGGTGGATAATCAGTCTTATCTAAGGAATTGATGGAGTTTTATATTTAATCCGACCAAGAATACTTTTTATTATTCTAAACGTTAGATGTTTGAGTAGACTCCCTGTTTTTATTTATTTATTTATATTAAGCAGTGTGGATTGCATCTATCAGCCTGTGCATTCTAGAGAATTAATAAAGGAAAATATGCTTTTCGGTAGGGTTCGAACCTGCGTCCCGCTTTGTAGGAAGAACCATTGCCGATCTTTGTGGCCGAGCGGTCTAAAGCACCCCGGATAAGACGGTGTTTTTTTTTTCTATATTAAGTTTCGAATGCACAGGCCGGCAGGCGTAATTCACACTGTTAAAAAAAAACAAAACAAAACAAAACAAAAAACAGGGTGTCTACTCAAACACGTGGATCTACATAAAATGACGTTCAGGATAATGAGAAATCAGCCTTATATATGAAAGGGACAAAGGTGTGTGTGTATGGGGGGTGGGGAGGAGAATATAGCAATCACTGTTTACCGTTTACATCAAAACGTTAAAATTACAGGGACGCTTAGCCTTTAAATTTAAATTTTAACGTCTACTGTCTCTATAAGTTAACTTCGCCTAACGTCAACATTTTGTTGCATTTATTTTTATTCTTGCCATTATAGTTTTTATTATCCCACATCGTATTAATGGTAATCTTGTGAGCAAAGGAGACAATATTATATGGTGCTGGATTCAGAAATTAGTGTACTTTCGATACATTTTCGCGTTTATGAACTACTTTCTCTTTTAATCAAAACCAAATTGTTAAAGTAGGAATTAGTTCAGGCTTATTATCATGAACGACTAATGCATTTAGTGTATTATTTTGTAAAAGATTCCCCATGGGTATTTAAGCTGCTACCCGTCTGTCATATTCCTTATTTCTATAAACGTTGTGGGTACAGTGTTTGAGCAAACATCCATTATTTTTTTATCGAGACGGTGAAAGTAACATCCACCGGCCTGGAGATCAAGAGACATTAAAGAAAATATGGCTTACGACAGGACTCTAACCTGTATTACCTTTAAAATGGCTAACCACCATTCAAAACAGGCGTGCTTTCCCACACAGCTACGAGAAACCATTAAAGCAAAGTAAAGCACAATTACTCTACATTATTTACATTATTCGGACTATTGTCCTCATCTTTGTCGCCATATTTATCACAACGTTTCGGCCGTTGTACACTCCGGCCTTCTTCAGGTGGTTGGAATTTCGAATTGAACCCTTTATTACGCTCACTGGGGTAGACTGTTCTAGTTCCACGCGCCATGTTTGATGGATGTCAGTTATCAGTTACTCTGAAAGTTCTCCACTGCCTTACCCGGGTATTGAACTCACACTTTTTGGGTCCTGTCACTGGATCTAACCAACGTCTTTATCCACTGTGTCATGTGTCCTTGAGGACACGTTGTGATAAATATGGGGACAAAGATGAGGACAATAGTCCGAATAATGTAAATGATGTACATAATACCTCATCTCAGAAATATAGACAAACCCGCAATTGTTATTGACCCTATAATTTTACTGTATAAATACAGTAAAATTATAGGGTCAATAACAATCACGAGTACCCTCAATAAAATATTTAATTTGAATAATTTAAAGGTCGGCTAAAGTTACTGAAAAATGTGTAAAGCAGCGTTTCTCGACTTTTTTTTACCCTTGCGTAACCCTTAAAATAAATGTCATGTCTCAAGGAACCCCCCTGCGCAAAAACAAAATTATATACCATATCTTTCTCATTTTATTTTCATCGTAGTTCACGTGGTAAATATCATAGTATATATTTTTGAATAACTAGTTTAAGGAAAAATTAATACTTCTTTATCAAAATTTTCGGTAATGCTAAATAAAATTCATACTGTTCGTTCATAATACTTCATCATGGAGTTTTCATTCACCCCCTCCCCCCACAAAAAAATTTCTAAACTCATACGTAAAAAATAAATCTAAGTAACCGATATCATAAAATACCTATAATATAAATGTAAACAGAACAAAAACAGATAATTGCTGCATCAGTTATTTTTAGTTTTTTACCCTTTACTGGCAATGTTGAAAAGACATAAAGTAAATCAATGCAAAATTACCTGTGAACCAATAAATAGGCTAAGAAAATGTTACTTTCAGAGCCATTTGATAAAGTGAAACATGCTTCTTTAATGTGAAGCCTGTGTCTGTCTTTTATTACACAAATACTTAATTTGAGGTCGAACTTTAGATAAACACACACGGATTTCATTCTCAATGGAGAGGAGGCGATTTCTGTCTTTGCTCATGATACTTTTTAAATAAGAAAAGGTTTGCTCACACATGTAAGACGTTTAAAAGTGCAACAATATATTAAATGAAACTAAAAAAAAGTCAAAAGTGCATTAGCTTATCTCACCTATTCTCGCGGATCTTTTGCTGAACCTTAGGAGTCAAGGGAACCTCGGTTGAAAAACGCTAGTGTAGAGGATATATATATATATATATATATATATATATATATATATATATATATATATATAGATAGATTGATAGATAGATAGATAGATGGATAGATAGATAGTAATTACAAAATCTCCTTAATGCCACCAGTAATGGAGACATGTAAAGTGATGATTGTAGAGTAAAAGCAACTTGCCCAATGAAAGGGGAGTATCTTAAAAGTAATATAGTATACCAAGCAATAGTTAGGCTAGTTGTACATAATCGGGAAAAAATTATATTGAGCCAACTGAAATATATATAATATCAGTCCTCCTTATAAGGTTGAGAACGTTGTAAAATCTTCTCACATTTGAAGATGAGATTTGAGGCAACGGAGATGCGTTTCTAAAGAAGGATGCTGAGAGTACCATGGAATAGACATGTGAGAAATGAGGAAGTTTTAGGGGGAAAACACCGAAATCCTTAGGCGCATTGGACTTGGGAAATATGTCTTCCAACAGCTAAGCAAAGGATTAAGAAAGAAGAAAAACTTTGTTAAAAATAAAGAAAAGAGTGCTAAAATATCAGTCTTCCTATATGACAATGAATGCTGGATAATCTTCTCTCAGGTAAACATCCCTAAAGATCGCTAAGGGTATTTAAGTTGATATTCACCAGTTTCATTTCTTATTTCTATAAACGTTATACTTATATCTGTATCATTTATATTTATCTATATAGTTATTGTTGCATAGTATGACTCAGCGTATTTCCTGTTCTTCCTTACTACTGTGTCAATGGACTAGTCCTACTTATAAATATAGCAAGTAGCCACATTAGAGTAGGATTTGAGGAGTAGTTAATTTACTTGAGTTTTCCGTTGTACAGTGTACCCAGTAAAAAAGCAGCAAATTTATTATCACTGTTTTATCCTTCAGGACTCTGAATAAATTTCTTGAATATTCATGACCTTGAATAATCATTCGACTCTCACGTAATTAGATAACTCTTACTAGTTCTTTTATGTAAATTAATTGCTGTTCGATTTTGTGACTCGTCGTTTGAAGGTTATTTGCAGACCACTATCGTTCTGCTCTGTTAAACAACTCACTGATTTTGAACATTCGACGTGGAGATTGACGAAACGTGCAGAAATACTTCCTGTTATTTTTTCAGTAACATCAGTCGTCACCAGTTTTCAACGGTTATCTCACGTCTTTCTGAATTTACCGCATTTTTTACTATCTATGTATGAGTATTTAATCAGCTTCTTTTCATTACTTAGTCTTCTGTTTTATAAATACTCTCTCTATAGCCTTCCTAATTCTCACCTATTTTGCACAAATACAACATTACAATAATTATATATATTATATTTATATATTTTTTATATATTTATATCTGTATTATTTTAAATACACATGTCACAACTTTGTAAGCGGAGGTCTTAAGCCTTCCGTCCGTCGAAACGATCTCCAGCTTTTTTATTCACACAAAAACAATATGGCCGAAGCGCTACTTCCGTGTCTGAACAATAGCCGAAACGGTGCTTCCGTTTCCTTAGTTCCCGTTTACAACAATACATATCTATTTATCTATACAAATACGCACAAAGAAGGATTAAATTTACTTTTATTACTCACCGTCTCTCCACCCCACCAGTAGGGGTCCGTTGTTGACATCTTGAATACATCGTTCTTTTCCATGTCATACATATAATTACCTACAATGCCGTGTGACTCTGGATATAAACCCTAAGACAAATAAAGGCAAAACAAAAGAATTTCAATTAGTTCTTTCAAAGATTTACGTTAAAGTGTTGGATAAAACTTCATAGAAATCCGACATTTTTACACACATTCCAAGTTTTCGTTGATATCATATAAAACCGAAGAATGCTATGATCAATACATTATTAGCATTAAAATGTGATACAGTGTGACCCGGATATAAGAGAAACCCGGATATAAGAGAGATTTTCTCTGGTCCCAAATTAGAGCCTGTGTTAATGTATATAAATTAGACCCAACCCGGATATAAGAGAAACACGGATATAAGAGACTTCTTCTGCGGTCCCGACAACTCTCTTATATCCGGGTTACACTGTATATTTATTGTGGGACGTGGGGCACCTCGAGGCGGTTAGCAAGCTTATCTCGCTAGACCAATTACGACTGAGTAGTGAGTTCGATCCTAACTGGGTACTCCCTACTTTCGGCCTTGTGCCGCATCTAAGCTATGCTTGGAAAATCACTAATTATTGTGGAAAGAGTGTTCAATATAAGAGATAGTGTATTTATATACACAGAATCCTGTAAAGGAGTTAAGGGCGCACGGAGTAAGGGCTGAGGCGGAAAACTGAGAATCACCATACAATGACACACTCTTACACTATCCCACACTTTAACGACCTAACTGTTCCTCATACATATTTATATATTATCTATCGCATTAATACACGTGACGTGTTTCTTGCCAATGAAAACTAACCTAAAATCATAGCATACCAATACTCAGTCTCTTTGCTTTTTTCATTTCTATCTCGGTCTCTGATGGAGCATTAATAAAAGTGAAACATTTTAGATTGATATATGTTTCCTACTTGTTCTTTATTTTATTTATCATCTTGCCGGATTCTTATCCCTATGTAATCTACATTTGATCTTCAACTCATATAACATATATAGTATGGTGTTAATAAAACAGTGCTCGATCTAATACAACAGAGCTATAAAGTATATATCAATAAATATACATAGTATCACTCACTAATAGCACGACTGGGAGTTTCATATACAACACAATCTACATCACTTGTAGATTGCGTTGTGCATGAAATTCCTAGTCATGCTATCGGTGATATATATATATATATATATATATATATATTTGGTTGGATTGATGTGAGTTTGTGACTCTGGGTTTCACGCTTTTGCGATCATCAGACAAACTGATTAATTTTGTAAAATTTTTGGTTTATGTAGATTGCATGTATTGGTATCAGCTCTATCTCTGATATTGAGCGCTTTCTAATAAGTACCGCGCGTATAATATATAAATAATAATATATATTATATATATATACACTGCGTGCCAAATTATTATCGAGATAACTTTTTTCTAATATTTTAAAAATCGTCCAATTAATTCATACAGAATTTTCACACAATGTTGGCAACACTGACCTGCACAATCACTGAAATTTTCATACTGATCTGCGCAATGTAAACAAACTGGCACCATATTTGTTATCAGCACAGTGATTTGAGCGTGCCAAATTATTAGAAAAGTGTAAGAATTTAGTGAAAAGATGGGCCGTAAAAGCAGTTTAAGTGATGCTGAAAAGAAAACTATCACCTCAGAACTCTCAAAAGGTAAATCTACCCTAGAAATTTCTAAAATGATAGGGAGGTGTCATCAAACAGTGAAAAGGTTCACCGCCGACCCTACACAAGTACGCAAAAGGGCAGATAAAGGCAAGCCGAGGATTATTTCACGTCGTCTCATGTCACTACTTAAACGAGAGGCCACGAAGAATCCTGGACTAACCAGTCAAGAGCTTTTCAGTCGCATTGGGGATCCTACTGTGTCTAAAAGTACTCGGTGTCGGTATCTGAGGGAAAGAGCAACAACAGTCAAACCTGTATCGAAGCCTCCGTTGACGAGAAATCACATTCAAAATCGATTGAAATGGGCCGAGGACAATATGAATATTGACTTCTTTAAAGTTTTGTTCACAGATGAAACTCGAGCAACATTTGATGGGTCAGATAGATGGTGCAAAGGCTGGGTAATTAACGGACAGAATCGCCATCAGCGTTTGAGACGTCAACAAGGCAGTGGAGGCATAATGATCTGGGGTGGTATTATTGGAAAACATTAGTGGACCCATGGAGAGTACCAGATCGCATCAAAATGACTGCTGATGCATACATAGAGTTTATGAAGGAGCATCTTGAACCGTGAATGAAAAGGCAAAGAGTTGCCTTCAGAAGGACCATTGTTTTTATGCAAGATAATACTCCCTCACATGCTGCTCATAAGACTACTGAATATTTGAAACAGTTAGGCTTCGATGGAACTCGAAAAATGAAGTGGCCAGCAAATTCTCCGGATTTGAACCCAATCGAAAACCTTTGGAGCATCATGAAGCGAAGACTGTACGCCAACGGACGATAATTCAGGAGCAACGCGTATTTCGCGGCATTACATCAGATGACACCCTACAATTAACAAATTCTATGGATCGTCGACTTCTTCAAGTAATTTCAAAACAGGGAAAGCACATTCCCTATTAATTTGTTTAAAACTAAGCCTTTGTTTGTATCTGTTATTATTTCTTTGATTATCTTATTTATTAGGTTCTTTTGATCATAAACATTCACGTGCAACATTAATAAACGTTTTGTTTGCCCAATTCTGGGAATTTTACTAAACCTTTCTAATAATTTGGAACGCACAAATCACCGTGCTGATATCAAATATGGCGCCAGTTTGTTTACATTGCGCATTTCATTACAGTGATTGCGCAGGTCAGTGTTGCCAATATTGTGTGAAAATTTTGTGTGAATTGATTGGATGGTTTTTGAAATATAAAAAAAGTTATCTCGATAATAATTTGGCACGCAGTATATATATATATATATATATATATATATATATATATATACACACACACTTTTCATATATATATACATATTATAATTAAGTAATTCATCGAGAATGCAGAAAGCACTGGACTGCCGTTTCGTCCAATATTTGGGACTCATCAGCAGTGCGCATCCACATTTTCCAAAATCATACACAACCGAGAATTAAAACTCGAACAGTTACGTTGTCAGGCAAACGACATACCGACTGTACCAACGGGCCTCAGTAACGAAGAGGTAGCGAATTAGACTCGATATAGCGCCGCTCGATCACAAATTCCGTGGTGGAACTCATCCGAGTTTCTCTTACCCACAGGACTTCCCCCCACAAGCCACGACTACTATCCCCAAGCCGCTTCATCCAGCCGGTTCAAGCAAGGATATACAAGTGATAGACATTATTTGGAGGATTTGAGATAATTATAATTAATTTATCGAGCCTATATATTGTGCCTACTTATTTTTATACTGATTCTTTACAGTTGTCTAATCAGTTTCTTGATGTCAAGATAAAATTCATCAAAGAAGGCACCTTGGTTTTTGCTAACCGAAGTACTTTCGACCTTTTCCAAGATCATCCTCAGTGGTAAATTACAAAGGCAAACATATTGTAACTGCGATAAAGTCTGCATAGTGACTTTTTAAAAACGCGGATGAATTTAAAAATTCCAAAATAATAGAGTGCGATCAAGCATTAGAGTGGAATGCAGATTTTATCGCAGTTACAATAGCATGTTTGTCTTTGTAAGTTGTCCCTGAAGATGGCCTTAGAAAAGGTCGAAAGTACGTGGGTAAAAAAAAAAAAAAAAAGCCTACGGCACTTTCCTTGATGAATTTCCTATCGACATCAAGAAACGGATTAGACAACTGGAAAGAATCAGTCTAAAAATAAGTACTGGAAAGAATCAGTATGAAAATGAATAGATACAATATGTTTATATTATTCAATGAAACATGCTTGAATGAAGGTATGCTGCCAATATATATATATATATATATATATATATATATATAAATATGTGTGAATCCTTTTCCTCTCCCTCCGGCTATGGGTAAATAGCCTTGGATGGCAACTGGTCCAGGAGAAGGACAACTCTGAATTCAAAACCTGCGGAGGGTCTTTTAGGGACATTGTGGCCCTTCAAAAAGTGTGAATTGTCCTGCACGAAACCTTCACCAGTATAATCAAATCTCATGTGCTGTTGTCGGGCTGTCGGTTTCTAGGAACTGATCTGCTTGACCTCATAAGTCGAATTCGACGGGAGAGTTGAGTATATATATATATATGTATATATATATATATATATATATATATATATATATATATATATATATATATATGCACATATATATATATTTGTGTGTGTGTATTGTTTAAAATTTGCCATATATATCGAAGACTGTTCATTATCGGAAAAAAGAGCATTTTATAGATGTAGGGAGAGCGGACATAGGAATCAACATTCCTTGTTGACTGTCAGGTTAGTTTCACGCTTTATATATATATATATATATATATATATATATATATATATATATGATAAAGATGTAGTTTTAAGATATGTTATATTTATGATTTAGGCCCGAACCATTTCTTAAGATCTAATCAAATAACTAAACAAGAATTTTGGTAAAATTCCTACTTGGTCAGTACGAGAGATTTTTAGTCCAACGCCCACGTATGTATATATAGGTGCGCGGGCGTGTGTGAATATGTCCGTGTGTAACACTTTTGTACACCTCTAGAAGTTTCCATACCGTCGAGAAGGACATTTTTCCTTTCTCTGCGTGGTTGACTCTTCTGGTGACCTAGCAAGAACAGAATGGTATGGTATGCTAATCTAGATAAGTAAAAGCCTATAACTGTTCAGTGGTGAATAGAATGTTATCCGTTTCGTTTAATATTCAGGAAATATTGACAGAAAGCAAGAAACGACAGAACAACCGAACGTTTTTGATATTTCCTAAGTACAAGGTAACCAAAAATTTCTGTCCGTTTTTTGATTAGTCATTGAATGAAGTTGAAATATATACGAAATGCGTATAGCAATTGTTTTCAAATTCAGACAGCCGGAAGTAGGAAAATCAGATGTTATAAAAAATACGTGCACCGTGCCCGGCCATCAGTTATAAGCCGGGCAGCTGTGAGAAGGATGGAAATTGTATAGAGATCTCGTTCGGGGCTGTTGGCTTTACGACTTCAAAGTGGGCTTATCAGCAGCTGCATCAAGTCGCCGCATATGTCAAGCGTTTGGGGATAGTGCTGTGGATGAACGTACTGCAAGGCGTTGTTTTCGAAAATTCAAGTCGGGAGATTTGTCTCTCCATGATGAGCCTCGCAGTGGATGACCACAGGTCTTGAATGACGGAGTCCTGAAGGCGGCCATTGAAGAGGACAGTAGACTAACGTGTGGTAAACTTGCAAGACAGTTCAACGTTTCCGATGAAACAGTTAGACTTCGCCTGCACCGCCTAGGTAAGACGTACAAACAGAGCAAGTGGGTTCCGAAAACGCTGTTGGAGGTCCACAAGGGACAACGAGTGGCAGCCTGCGTATCGCTGCTTTCTCGCCACCGTACCGCGTCCTTATTCAATGGAGTGCTTACCAGTGATGAAAAGTGGGTTCTGTACGAAACTCCCAAGCGTTCCAGACATTGGTTGTCTCCTCAGGATGCTGTCCCTCACACCGCAAGACCGTCTATGCATCCACGCAAGATTATGCTTTGTGTCTGGTGAACAGGTCGTGAAGTGGTTCATTATGAATTGCTACCAACGAGCCAAACGGTCACTGGAGACCTATACTCGCAGCAATTGAAACGTGTGCAACAGGCATTGCGCCAGAAGGAGCCAGCACTGGTGAATCGCAAAGGTGTGCTTTTCCTCCATTACAACGCCAGGCCGCATGTCGCGCGAGTGGTCAGGGATACCATACAGTAACTTGGGTGGGAGACTTTGTGCCATCTACCTTATTCACCTGACCTTGCGCCATCCGATTACCACCTCTTCCACTCCCTGGGTAATCATCTTCGTGGGAAATCCTTCATCAATGAAGCAGACTTGTGCAAAGCCCCCACGGACTTTTTTGCGTCCCCCCCACGAGTTCTACCGCAAGGGCATTGAACAGCTGCAGATACGTTGGCAGAAGGTGCTGAATGCCGATGGTGATTACTTCGAAGACTAAATATAAGTTACACATACTGTGAAGCGTTTTCTTTTTTTCCTTTAAAAACGGACAGACATTTTTTGGTTACCTTGTACAATGTAATCCCAAAATAACTTCTTTTTTTGCTAAAGTTCTTCTAAAACAAGTCTCGAGAGTTTATCAAGGCAGAGAATTGCTGCTAAAATAAATTAAACGTACTTAAATAATGGCTGTCATTTGTTTTGGTGAAATAGGTACAGAAATGAAAAATAATAATTAAAAAAGCAAAAAAAAAAAAAAATGATTGATATTACTGTTGCAATGGTATAATGGTTTGGAAAAGTCTTAGACGGAAAGGAGGAGCGCATAAAAGACGTCTGAATTCCGCACTCTCGTAAGCGGTTGATGACAGGAGTAACCTCATAATTGGTGTAATCAGCGCGGAAGCCGTCCAAAGATATGAGCAGCACAGGCCTGAAAAAAAATCAGAACTAACAATCAGAAAAAAAAAATCTAAATTATCTCGAAAAGATAATTAACTTGTAAAATTACTGGAGAGATTAAAAAAAAAGAAAGGCCATGTTGCTTGAGGACGTAGGCGATCATGCCTTCTCAGATTCCTTTTCGTTATTATCTGTGAATTGGCATGTCTTCTTGGGAAAGAAAGTGGAGTGGTTTCTCGTTGCCATCTCTTCAGATTCTTTTTCTTTATTATCTGGGAATTGGCGTGTCTTTTTGGGAAAGATGGCGGAGTGGTTTCACGTTGCTTTTTCTAATGTTAGGAATTCCTGACTTTAGACTCACGGACGTATTTTTTTAAAATCATGCCTATTCAAGGCGTAGGCGATAATTACTTTCCACATATTGCTTTTATATTATTTGTGAATTGTCATAACTTCTTGGGAAAGTTAGTGGAATGGTTTTCTGCTACTTTCTCCGCGGTTTGAAAGTTAGAGTTATCATTTTCTTAGACTGGTTGCCATTCAAGTCTAGAGAATCGACCATGCTATTTAACATGCCTGTTAAGGGAAAAGAGTTGGATTCGTGCCATTTCCCAAGGGGATTAGTGCGAAAGTGAACGCAGTAAGCGAGCGTGTAATGTGAACTTGGCACGCGGATTCCAGTTTCCACACCGGCAACCATTACACTGCTCGCATGTAAATTTACAAACTCACAGATTAATAAATAGTATCGTAAAACAGAGAACTGCATAATTACGTCGATAAATAGCGAGACTCCATATCTCTTCGCTTTTATCTGGAGAATTACTGTCGTTTTCACATAACAAATTTTGCGACCTTGGTATTCTGTTCTCTTTGACCTCTGTAATGAATAAAGTCAAAGCGTTGCTTTTATTTAACTTGCAGTACAAATATGACGCCAAGCTGACACCTTTTTTGAGATGCACCTATGTATTTATGAAGAGTTACATAAGGGGAGATAATTAGAATGGTCTTTCATTATCATAACTCTATGATTGAAAATCTATTTAAATCGGATGTAAAACTGAATGAAACTTTCCTACAACAACAACAACAACAGTTTCTTCCTTGCCGTGTCCTTTCATGACATTGGGATAATGGATCTCCACAACTTCCTGTCCTTTGTAGCTCCTAGTAAAATTTGTCTTTTTGTTATTTCTCCTAAACCCTGTACTACAATCCATTTACAAAAGCTCGTTAGGTAGGTTATGCGCCATTTTTCTCTGTCCGTCTTACCTTCGATATGTCCTGTGAGTGTCATATTTTCCAAGTTTTCTTTCCTCATTTCCTAGGATGTTTAAGTGCTTCTCTTTCCGAAGCATAATTGTTCCTTTTGTTTCTATTTTCTCTAAAACTTCGCCGTTGCTCGCATATTCAGTCTATGCTATTCTCAGCATTCTTCTGTAGAACCAGATTTTTATCGCCCTAAGTTTCTTCTTCATTTGTGCGGAGATGGTCCAGCATTCACCGCCATGTTGGAATTGATAATATTCTAGTATAAAATTATTTTGTATAATTTATAAACAGAAAGATATGTACTTAAAAACTTGTCCAGCTAAGAAACTTTACTACGACTATTTTAAAAAGAGGTCAGTAGAAAAAATGTTACAGTTTTGCACCAGTGAAACTATTAACATCGAAATTACGGGTTACATTTAGTTATTTCAACAGTAAAACGATGAGACCTTACCGCCAATCTAGTACTGCACTTAAGTTCATAGAGTCTAGGTACTATAGGAGAAAGCGCGTCAGAACAATTACCATGAAAGTATTTATAGAAAAGGCACAGGGAAGCTACGTTTCGGTGGCGATAAAAAGTGACCGAAGTCGAAATGCCAGGTCCGGACCAATAACATTGCAGATTCTTCTTTGGATTTTATCAAGAATCTCTAAATGAGGAGATCTAGCTGCCAATCTAGTACTGTATTGTATTTTTATCAAGAATCTATAGAAAAGTTTCAAGAAATCTACGTTACTTATTTGCAAAACGCTCGACGTCCCTTATACGAATAGTGTTATGGGATACTGGTCGAGACTACATTGTTCTCTGTACTAAACCTGATTGTTCATACTAACACTTCTACTTCTCTGTATATATTCCTGTTTGTAATATATCTGTGTTATTCCATACCTGTGTTCGAGTTCTTCTTTATTGGTTCTACCTTGGACTATCACCGTGGTACAAGGAACTGGACCATAACAGATAGAGACTCCCACTTTGTAAATATTACTTTAATGGCAATGAATGCTGACGTTCTTCTTGATTCCATTCATAATGTTTATTAGTTTATTTTGTTTTCAAGCAACCGGTTAGGCGTTTCCTCCCAGTCTCAACAGACTCTTTGCTTACATTACAACAGTCTGCTAACAGATGTTGTCCTGTCTACATGTCTACACTTGTCCAGTTATTAGGTGAGGCTACGTAACGCTTCTGTGATCTTTAAGATGGTTGGCAAATTAGAGTAAAGTGCCTGCATCAGATTTGGCGCGAAGCTCCACAAATCTGATACGGAGACGCCTTGAAATTTTTCGTCGTTTTCTTTTTTTTTGCAGATATTATTAAAGTCAAATATATTTTTTTTAAGTAGAACGTGCGTTTCAAGGCCGGTCGAGTGTCGGTTGAAGACGAATGTTCAGACTAATTTTTAGATGTACATGTGAATTACTTTTCCTATCGAATATATGTCAAACGTATTTGTACTGAGATCAGATTTTCTTCATAGGCTGTGAACGGACAGTAATTGAAGGTGTATGTAGTGCTGGTCAGTTATTTTCGGTCCTTATCTATGGAAGGAAAGAAGACAGGACCAATGAGAATTTCATCGTAGCTAAGTCACTTCTTACTTTTTTTTTTCGCTTAGTCTAAAAACAAACACCATCTTCTGAATTCTGCTTTAAATTTGGCTTTTCGCCTTGGCTCCTTTCCGATGATTGAGTTTTTGTCTGAATAAAAACAGCATGAAAAGCTGGATTCTATTTTCATTACGCCCCAAACTGACAGCCTAATTGTAATTCGCCATAGCCGCGTCTCCCCTTTCACACCAGACCGTCCTGGCATTTCTCTTTGTCTGTTTTGTTCAAAGAATGAGCTGCAACTTTTCGCGTTTTTGTTTTAGTTCTCTGAACAAAGATCTGGTAAAAACAAGTCACTTCTTTGATGAAGAAATTGAACATGCTGGGTGCGATGGATAAATTTTCGTCTAAAATTACGAAAAAATGAAAATAATACTGACATCTCATTTTAACAGATATATTTACGAAACTTACACAAAAATATCTTGAACTACTAGAGAGCAAACTCATTCAATACAATCGCCCTTGACCTTGACCACGGCCTCCAGACGACTTCGGAATCTCTTGCAACTCTTCTGGACGGTCTTCTTGCTTAAGGTAGTGAATGCTGCCATAATCCTTGCCTTCAGTTCATCTTTGGTGTTACAAGGAGTTTTCTTGGTTTCTTGCTCACCTGAACCCCACAAATAATAATGAAGGGGGTTGCAGTCTGGAGAGTTAGGTGGCCAGATGTAAGGGGTGATGTAGTCACAGAAATTGTATGACAGCCATGACTGGTTTCTCCTTCTTGTGTGGCATAGTACAGTCCTGTTGCCACACATAGGGTCTTCCAGTAGCCATTCTCTGGACCCAGGACAGCATTACCTCCTAAAGGCACTTGATGTAGGCCTCTGTGTCGAGTCTGAGTCCCTCACCAAAAAATTCGGGAGTTCTTTTCTTATCAGAACGCTCAGAGTGAGGTTTCAGTATTACGTACCTTCGTAATCACCATTAGACTCTTTCCGAATCTTCTGCACTGTCCTCAGAATGACACCCAAACACTCTGAAATTTTTGTATTGGAGTTTCCGGCGCAAATGTCAAGCAATACAGCATGACGTTTTCTGGCGGAGTGAATTGCGTCATGGTGCTCCTTTTCTCACAGACGGTACCCAACTGACCCTACTGTACTGTGTAGCCAACAATATCAAAAACAACGCGCATGCGCGAAATTAAAAATATAAAATGGTGACAATTTACTCATCGCACCCTCTGTAATACGGCGAGCTAAGGATCAGTTTCAAACAACACCGCATATTGCAACTAACGCTTTCTTATCTTACACATTTTCTATAACAATCTACCGTCTTATTTTTCGCTCGATAATTCTTTCTGTCTTATATTTTTTCTATAACGCTTTCTCATTTACTCAAGATAAATCTTTCCAAAACAGAAACTATGATCTGGAATTGGAACGAAGGCAGTGATAGCATCGACCCATAATCCCTCATAAATTTTCAGGTTGTGGAATTAGTAAATACTAAACACTTAAAATTCTTTGATGCTGGAATCAGTTCCAAGAAATTCGGTGTTAGAAGATACGCAAATTGAACAGAGAATAGACTGCTCTAGTGGCAGTTTCTCCCAACACAGTAAATTGGTACCAAACCAAAACATTAATCTCGAAGCATCATCAAAACAGTCTCGTCAGATCGAGACTTTCATATGGATGTCACGCATAGCGCCAAAAATAGTTCAGAAACTGTCAGATCAATGATTAAAAATGGCTTCAAGTGAATGAATCCTGTAGGTCTTAAGGAGAACGACCCATCTTCGAACATCTTGGACTGGTGTTACAGAATCGCAAAGAACTATGCCAAATAACAGAAAACACATCGCAACTAAAATGGATATCATATGTAACTCGAAGAGAAAATAATTGTATAATCAAGATGTTGACATTCCACGCGACTTCAAATAAAAGGTTAGGAAAGAAACCCCCTTCAATACTGGAAAGACTGATAACAGCTACTGGGCATGAGAAGAGAAAATATTGACATAATCAAGATATCTACATTCCACACTATTTCAAATAAAAGGTTAGGAAGGAAACCTCTATCAATATTGGAAAGACTGATAACAGCTACTGGGCTTGAGAAGAGAAAATAATGACATATTTCAAATAATGACTATTTCAAATAAAATGTTATGCTGGAAAGAGCGATGACAGTGTACTTGAGGATCATCTTTTCCTAAAAAAGTTGTTTTAATAGAAAAAATTATAATTTTTAATTGATAGTAACGCTGTTTGGTCAATGAATGCTGAATGTTTCCTTATAAGGAAACTGATAATACATTTACCACTTGGATTGATAATAGTAAGTGTCAATTGAAGCCGTACTTACCTACTCGCATTTTTACAAGCCTTGTCAAGATTCACACAATGTTGGAGTTTCATCCATGATGAGGGACGTAAACTTTCCCACATTTCCAAGGGGAGGTAAGTCCTGATTTTTATTGATTTTTCCCAAGGTATATCAGTCATGAAAGTTAAACCCGTTAGCAGTTCGATATCTCTGATACGGGCTGTGTGATCAAAGAAATAGTCCTTAGGTTTCTGTGGAAAAAAAAAGTTTCAAAATATAAGCGCTGAAAATGGCCCAAATAAAACTACATGCAAGTTGGTATCGGAAAAAAAAATCCTGTATATGATTTAACTGCATATTCAACAATAAAAAAGACGCGTACAAGAGCCAGATCAGGCCAAAAAATGGAGTATGTGTTGTCATATTTGGGAATGAGTTTCCCCAGACCTCACTCTCTAGCCTTGATAGGGTTCAAAAGCGTCTCTGGGTGACAAATTATTCTTCACCCTTCAAGGCAAATCTTCACATCAAGAACACACCATGTCATTTACATAGTAGCAATCCACCTACATTCCATCCGTATTTAATCGGTGAGAAGTAAGTTCCACTTGAACAGCTTCTTCCCGTGAACCACCGCCCTGTGGAACCAACTCCCATTTGGAAATTTCCCCGATCAATACAATCTTAACCTGTTCAAGGCTAAGCTTAACCGTTATCTTCCACTCCTATACACACAAATAGCCTCCAAAGGTTATCCTCTACTCCGGGTGACACCGGGGCTGTGTACAGGGTGAACCCCGCTGTAAAAAAAAGAAAAAAAAAAGAACTAAGATACATTAGTACACTGACTACTGAATCTTTGTAAGAGGCCTAATGCTAATAAGAGCTAGGGGAAAACAGTAACCGGCAAGACACGGTGTCTTGTGAAGTCGGTCCCGTGGGCATTTTTGTTCCTCAATTTGCTGTGGTTTCTGATGTCATGTTATTTTTGTTGCCTCCCTCTTCTATTTTCCCTCTCTGCCTATTACTCCCTTAGTTGTTGGGAGAGCAATCAGTTAGGTGTTTCCTCCCAATCTCAACAGCCTCTTTGCTTACATTATAACAGACTGCTAACAGATGTTGTACTGTCTACAATGTCTACACTTGTTCAGGTATTAGGTGAGGCTACGTAACGTTATTTTGAAACGGTTCTGTGATCTTTAAGATGGTTGGCAAATTCGAGCAATATGCCTGCATCAGATTTGGCGCGAAGCTCAACAAATCTGCTACGGAGACTCCTCGAAATTCTTCGTGGTTTTTTTTTCAGGCATTCTTAAGGTCAAATACATGTTTTTAAGTGGCACGTGCGTTTCATGGCCGGCCGAGTGTAGGTTCAAGGCGAATGTTCAAACTTATACAATAGGAGGTTGGAGTTTTTGAGGAGCGTGGAACCACTTTTAACTGCTGTTGTTCCCAATGTTCACCCTGACCCGGGGTGGTAGCACCTGTTAGGGTCCCCGCTATCGGTAAATAGTGAAACACCAAACAAAAATCTACATCAAATTTTTATAATGAAAAGACCAACAGTACGTTCTTATAGCAAAATGACAATTAATGCAAGGCTAAAAAAAAATATATGCCTTTATGGTCACGTGATCTACTTTTTTCAATAATGGGATCGCCTGTGTTTGCTCACTGTGTTGATCTATGTTCAGACTCAAGTGTCGGCAGCGACACTTTATTCCTATATAACAAAAATCAATCAACCAATGAATGCTCAAGAATCAAGATACATAAAAAAATAAAAAATAATGAAAAAATACATAAAAAATATAAAAAATACATAAAAAATACATAAAAAAATAAAAAAATATAAAAATATAAAAAGTACATAAAAATACATACAAAAATAAAAAAAAATGTTGAAAAATACATAAAAAATATATAAAAGTACATAAAAAATACATACAAAAATAAAAACATACATACAAAAATACATACAAAAATATATAAAAATACATACAAAAATACATACAAAAATAAAAAAAATGTTGAAAACATAACCGTGAAGTCATCTATGACTTAATATAAAGAAGCCGAGCTGATCATTCCGAACAATAGCCTAGCGGATTAAAGCGATGGTTTGTGAATTTGATGACATCGTATTTGTGAGTTCAATCCTGGGACCGGGTAGTGTGTACTTGAACTCAGTGGAAACAGGGCGAACATATACTGAAAATAAGAACTAGACGAAATATCCCTAGAGAGTGGAACGAAAACAGTTTACTCCCGCAGATTAAATAAAGGGTTTAATTCGGAATTTGATATACACCTGATGAAGTCCGGACGGTACAATCATTGAAACGTAGTGATAACAAAAGCATAGACGGCGACACTAGTCCGAGTGTAAATAATGATAACTCCTCATCTCATAAATTCAGACGAAAATCATCTATGAGAGTATTTGTACGTCTACTGAATCTCAAGTCCATTCCAGGCCTCGAGTGCAACTCATATATACAATATATTATTAATGATGTCTGGAAAAATGGCCGGCTTACTTTATTTCTCTGGGAAGTAGCCTGTTATATTTGCAACAATTAGATTAGATCAAATGTGAAATATTGCTGATACATCTGGGCTGGAACTGCTCAATCGCAACTTTCTAGCCACGATAGAGTCCAAAGCCGTTTATATGGTCTTGCGAGGAAGATTTAATTTCCACCCTACAACCTCTTTTCTCACAACCACAATGTTGCGAACCTGTTACTACTCTATCGCTATTTCCAAAGCAAATATTCAACTGATCTTCATTCTTTAGTTCAACCAGTTTAGACCTTTAAAGGTAGGATACACCATGCATGTTCTGATAAGAGTTCCTCTTTGGTACATCGACATTATGAAATTAAGCACGGTACTAGATTAACAGCTAGGTAGCATCATTTAGAGATTCTTGATAAAATCCAAAGAAGTATCTGCAGTGTTATTGGTCCTGCCCTGGCATCTCTGTATCAGTCACTTTTTATCACTGTCGTAAGAGGCTTCCCTGTGCCTTTTCTATAAATACTTTCTTGGTAATTGTTCCGATGAACTTTCCTCCATGGTACCTAGATTGTGAACTTAAGCGCAGTACAAGATTGGCGGCAAGGTCTCATCATTTTACAGTTGAAATAACTAAATGTAACCCGCAAGTTCTATGCTAACAGTTTTTTTTTCTCTCGCACTTTTCGTTTCTGTGACTCTTTTCCGGATTTTCGATTTGTAGCCAACTTTGATCTTGAAATGCAATGTCAATTGTTATCATCTGTCTTCTTAATTCTTGTTCTTTTCTTGTTCTTTCTTAATAATGTTTTTCTTTTTCTCATGTTCTTTCACATTGGCTAAACCTTATCTGACACCAAAGTTAGCCTCATTTTGACTCAAGGCTACAAATATATGCCACATGATGAGGATCGGTCAACTCAACCGACATCGCAAGACTTACCCTAGTTTCGCACAAGTCCATTAGGGCTTCGCAACCATTCATAGTGGAACTTATATTTTCTATTATGTGTAGTGTCCCTTCAGGATGTGTGCAATCATGTCTCTCCACAACTTCCTATCTTTTGTAGCTCTAAGCAATGTTTGTCCTCTTATTATTCCTCCCCACCCCTGTTCTCTCATCCAATTACATAAGATTGTTCGGTAGATTACTCGAAGCGGGAGGTTCTTTTTGCTATCAATATCCCTTGTGAGTGACACACTCACCAAGCTCTCTTTTCTCGTTATGTGTCATAAAAGTTTCATTTTAATTTTTAGTACAAGTGTCCTTTTAGCTCTCACTTTGATTCTCAGAATTTTTAACGAAAAAGCAGTCGTTATCTTTTGTCTACTTAATTCCTGTTCTTTTATTCTTCTCTCTCTTTAATTGTCGTCCTGGGTATGACGATAAATTACATCCGGCAGCAAGGCATATTTCTTTTTTTTTTTTACAGTAATGTACACTCTGTACAAGGCTCGGTGTCACTCGAGATAGAGGGTTATGTTAGGAAGCAGTTTATGCGGATAGGAGGGGAAAATAACAGTAAACCCTAAACTTGAACAGGTAGTGATCGGGGAAACATCCTCTTGGGAGTCTGTTCCACAGAGCAGTGGTTCGTGGGAAGAAGCTGTTTGAGTGAAATATAGAGGGAATGTGGGTGATTTACTACAATATGAGTGACATGGTGACTTAGAGCTACAAAACATAGGAAGTTGTGGAGATCCATGACTGCACAAAAAGGAGGAAAATATGAGTACAACCCTTAATGGATGCCAAACACTGGTGGCTTTATGCTAAACTAGGGTAAGCGTCTCGGTGTCAGGGTTATGGTTAACGTGTTAGTCGGTTTGATCATTACCCATGAGTAGTGAGTTTGATCCTTACTGCGTGGTCCATAGTTGTGGCCCTTCAGCTAAGCTAAGTTAAGGCGCTTCGGTGTCGGCTAATGTTTAGCCTGGTTAACGAATAGTGAGATTAATTTTCATTGGGGGCCCTATACGAAATTTGACTTTAATAACCCAACACGGGTTGACGTGTCATAAAATCAACCAACCCAACTAAATAGACACTTTAGTGTAGAGTCAGTTTGACCATTTACTATTGAATAGTGACACTGATCCTCACTGGGTGCCCAATAAAAAATTCGACATTAAATAACCCAACAAAGGTTGATATGACGTAAAAATCAATCAACGTAACTAAATTGGAATGTTGGTATTAGGTGATGGTCAACGAGGCTAGTCTGGTTGACCTTTACTACTGAATAGTGAGATCGATCCTCACTGGGTACGCCATACAAAATTCGATATTAAATGGCCCAACAAGAGTAGATATGTCGTAAATTCAATCAACCTAACTAAATTGGCATGGAGACATTAGGTAATGGTTAACGAGGCTAGTCTGGTTGACCGTTACTACTGAATAGTGAGATTGATCCTCACCGGGTGCCCCATGCAAAATTCGACATTAAATAATCCAACAAGGGTTAGCATATGATAAACGTCAACGAACTCAACAAGACTAATCTACATTATCGCTGCTCTGCCCTACACTTGCTTTTGGGTCGGCTTTATACTCAGCGTGATATCCAGCAGCTAGAAAAAAGTTAAAGACCCCTTTACTAAAATGATTCTTCAAATTAAAAATATGTCTTACCCAGATAGAATTAAAAGTCTTAGCCTTTTCTCATTGGACGTCTTAGACGTAATTTGATCCAGATATTAGTAAATAGTGATTTCGATGGAGGACATAGGTTTCAAGAAATATTTTATTACAAACCAATATAAATCAAATCAGAGGACAGCCACTAAAAATCCAACCACTGCCCTATCGCCTGAACATAGGAAATTATTCTTTTTCTCAGCTGATAGTGAATGAGTGGGTCACTGTTCTTCTTCCGGCATTTAATGCTAAGACTTCAGACATCTTTAAAAACGAGTTCAAAATACATTTTGAATATATTGACAGTTGTTGATTGTACATGTGTACAATGTGTCTCTTCCACTTTTTAAACGCTTTTCTAATTTAATATTTTAATTATTTCTGTTTTCTGCTTGATCCCGGTGTTCTTTTTTATGTGTTTTACCTCCCCTTTGTTTTCCCATGTTGGCCTAATGGCTTCTGGATTAATAATAATTAAATAATTTTAGTCTGTAACAATTGTTAGTTTTGTAATATAGCTAACTATTACTACTGAGTAATCATATGCCAAACTATGCCCAGTTTCTTAAATGACGGCTCAGCCACAACGCTCCTGCGTCGGTGGGCAAATGTCCAGTGTTTTCTTGGAACAAACACGACTTTCCCAAGAATAAACAGTGATCGTCGTCGGCGAAAGAAGGGAATCAAATTTGCCGAGTTGGTGGCGGACGGAGGTGGATGAGCGTCGGTTTGATTTTGAAATTCATTCTCGGCAAAATAGATTGGTTTGAGAAGAGGAACAGATTGCGTATCAAGTAGAAGAGACAGTTTATGAAATCAACTTTCGGATTTCGATAGCACTTATCTTGTTCTGTCAAGTTGCGCGTGGAACTCCGTTGTTTAGTCGAGCGATCCGAATAGACTTAGGTGAAGTTGGCAATTTTCTTTGTGAAGATTTATGTAGGTTTATTTCTGAATATACGTCTACGCTTATCGACGATTTTTTATACTGAATTTCACCAATACAAGGCCAGAGAGCCACTCAACGTAGAGAGTTATAGTCGAAATGATAATGATAAATGAGGCGTGTGATATGAATGGAAAACAAAGTGGTAGAAATTGAAGATTAGAAGGATATGGAGGATAGATAATGAATGACCCCTGACTTGAAGAGTGTACTATTCAGGGAAACAAACAAGCAAGGGTGGGGGTGGTTTCCCAAAGTATCAGTTCCTGATAAAAAGAAAAAAAAATGGCATATTTTTCTTATATTTGGAATACTGAAGAAATGCGGATGATTCGATTCCGTGGATGTGGCATGGCGTGTTCTAGCTGTAAAGGCCTGAACTGGTGGATTTGAAGAATAGGGCATGTCTGAACAGTTGCCATTGAAATGGCGATAACGTAGCGCGTGGCTTGAAACGTTTGTGTCTGTTTGGGAAAAAGGCTGCAGGGTGAGGAATAAGTCATTCCCTACAAGACCACCTAAACAATTTTGAACTCATTTCTAGAGAGGGAAGATTGAGAAGCTCCCGGCTAGATATGACAGCAAAGCTCTATTTTTAGTCGAATCTGATTCTTGCAAATCGAAAGAATGAGCCAAACATTTTCCCCAGCAACTTAGCTATGGTATAAATATATGAGATTAAATATATGATTTTTACGGCTTATCAACCCTTTTCTGGTTATTTAAAGGCAGAAAATATTTTTAGAATGTAACAATTTTTTTTGGGGGGGGGGTTGGGTTATAATAATTTAGTGATACTAATCTTACTAATTAACCCACAGCTAAGGGGAGAAGCGTTGGATTAATAACTTTGTCATGGATATTTGCGCGTAAATAAATATAACGAACTTTTGTGATGCCAACGAATACTCGTTGTCACTTTCGTAATGCTCGTTGTAGTAGAGACTTTGTAATCGCAGATACAACTATAGTAACGCTGTTGAACAAAACTGGTGTCAAACGCCTTCGAATATTACTCGCATTAATAGTACTTGCTCGATAATACTCGTTCGAACAGTAATCTATATAGTGATCCGAATAGAGAAATAGTATAGTGAATAGAGTAGAGAATAGCGGTCCTTATAGGGATAGAGGATAGACTAGAAATAGCGATCCGAATAGTAATAGAAGATAGAATAGAATATGCAGATCAAACTAGACGTCACGCGAATTCATATATATGCATTTCATCTATGGCCACGTAATCCACTTAATTCAATAATGGGATCGCTTGTGTTTCTCACTGGCGATCTATGTTCAAACTCAAGTGTCGGCAGCGACACTTTATTCCTATATAATAAGAACATAACAGGAATTATAACTTAGCTCACCGATTACCAATTCCGAGCCATCATCCATTGAATCACCGGCACATCTAAGCTTACAGCACCTGGTATTCCCAAGCGGTCACCCATCTAGGTACTTCCAGGTACTACGTTACTTAACTTCGGTGATCATATGGGAACCGGTATTTCGACGTGATGTGGCCGTAAGTTTCGATCCACTTGAGGGTCTGGAGTGAACTTGAAACCCAATAGACGCGGGGCAACAGATAGCAAGATGATTTCGTTAGACATTACTCTTGAGAAATGTGTTTGATCCTCAATGCGTGCCCCAAGATATGACCTTGTACCAAATTCAAGCTAAGCTTAGTGAAAAAAACTGTGCACGATATTTCAATCTGGTACAAGGCTAATATAAAAATTACGCGGAAGTTGGTTTACTGTGTTCTGCTAGAGAATTTCATTCGCCCGAATCTATCTAAATACGAATATAAATTAAATTAATCTGAGTATTGTGTAAGTATTACTTAAGTATTAGTAAGTATTAGTAAGTATTATTATTAAGTATTAATTAATTATTATTAAGTATTATTATAAAATCTTACCATTTCTATCTTTGAATATAGTTGCCACATATGGTCTTGTGTTCCTTCTATAAATTTAGAGACCTTTGATAAAAATCCAAAGAAGAATCTGCAATGTCATTGGTCTTGACCTGGCATCTCGACCAGTCACTTTCCTACCGTTGTAACGTAAATTCTACATGCCTTTTCTATATACTTTCATGGTAACTGATAAACATTTCTATATGGTACTTAAACTCTATGGATTTAAGCGCAGAACTACATTGGCGACAAGAGCTTATCTTTTTACAGTTGAAATAGCTAGATGTAACCGTAATTTCTAATTGCTAAGAGTTTCTTCTGTCGCACTTCTCGCTTGTGGAAATCTCGTCCGGCTGCTTGCTTTCCAGTCAACTTTGATCTTCAAGAATTTAAATTCAATGTCAATCGTTATTTTCCGTCTTCTTAATTTATTTATTTTTTATGGTTCTTTCTCTTTAATAATGTTTTACTTTTCTTATATTCTTTGACACCTATTAAGAACTTGCATTTTAGTGGCTTTCTTGTCTTGCTTGCGGTGAAATGATTAAAATGATTAAATACTGAGCAAATTTTAATCTGGTACAAGGTCAATATAAAGCGTATATAGATATTTACAAAGCTTAGCTTAGCACAAGAGTAATAAAAAATCGGGTAGATACTTACAAGACTATTAAATATGTAGATATTACACCCTACTTTATTTGATATCAGTGTGTTCGGAAATTAATGACGTACGTTTTACCAGGAAGACTATAAATACGAATATAAATTAAATTTATCTGAGTATGATGTAAGTATTACTTAAGTATTATTAAGTATTAATTAATTATAATTAAGTATTAATTAATTATTATTAAGTATTATTTAAGTATTATTAAATATTATTATTAAGTATTATTTAAGTATTATTAAATATTATTATTAAGTATTATTTAAATATTATTTAAGTATTATCCAAGTTTTATTTAAACATTATTAAGTGTTATTTAAGTATTATTAAGTATTATTATAGTATTATTTAAGTATTGTTAAGTTTATTCAAGTTTTATTTAAGTATTATTAAGTATTATTTAAGTATTATTAAGTATTATTTAAGTATCATAAAGCATTATTATTAAGTATTATTTAAGTATTAGTAAGTATTATTTAAGTATTATTAAGTATTATTTAAGTATCATAAAGCATTATTAGTAAGTATTATTTAAGTATTATTAAGTATTATTAGTAAGTATTATTTCATTTTTATTAAGTATTATTTAAGTATTATTTAAGTATTATTAAATACTATTAAGTGTTATTTAAGTATTATTAAGTATTATTATAGTATTATTTAAGTATTATTAAATGTTATTCACGTTTTATTTAAGTATTATTATTAAGTATTATTAAGTATTATTATGAAGTATTATTTAAGTATTATTTAAGAATTATTAAGTATTATTTAATTATTGTTAAGTATTATTATTTAAGTATTATTTAAGTATTATTAAGTATTATTTAAGTATTATTTATCTATCGGGAATGAATCTTCATTCTCAACGACTATAGATGAGCGTGACTGCAAATTTTCGATTCCACGTTTAAAGAAATTTAGAAATTTCCTCGAGATATCTTTGTTTCTGAGTGTATAGAATATTCTAGCGATTGAAATGGATGGAAATCTGTCATTGTTAAATGTGACGTGGATAGAAAATGCAGAAAAAAGATTTTATTTCTTCTTCGGTTTGTTTTGCAGATTTTGTCCTTGCATTTTCCAGCTGGAGAATATCGCCTTTTCTGTTTTCCAAAGTAGGTACTTTTGACGTAACGCTACGTTTACCCGATCAAATTGTTGGCAATAAACGTCGGCAGTGATGGTCCTTCCATGTTCCGGTGACTCGTAATGGACGACACCTTTCATATTCCACCAGACACAAAGCAAAGTCTTCTATTCATGGAGTCAAGTTTTTGGTGCTGACACTGGTTTCGCATTTTATAGTCATCAAGAGCGACATTAAGGCACTTCCATCAACAGCAATGACTTCAGCCAGCTACGAAACCACCAACAGTAGAGATTAACCTTCAACTACAACAAGATTCTCTCACGCGTCTATTTCCCTTGACTACATATACGTGTTGATTTTCTCCACGTGTCTATTGTGACTATTTCTTTGCGTTATACCCCGAACAAACTCTCAGTCTCCCATTGTTGCAGTTTGTTGTGTATGTTATGTACTAGCGAGTCGCTTTATAGTCCACCAATAGAAGGTTAACCAATCAGAAGACGTAGAACATTCAATCCGTCGTGTATAAAGGCGGTCATTTTGTCTACTCTACCCGAATGTCCAGTCCAGCTTGTCAGGCGAAGAGAAACAGAAGGACGAACTATGCTCTGCTACTTTTACCGAAATATCCACTGCTAACCTGAACAACGCTTTCCGACTGTCTTCGAAATATTCACTGCTAACCTCTGGATTCTATACTCGAAGACGACCGTCATCATGAACAACACCCATGACGGATATACGATACCTAGGAACGAACAAGCGTTCGAACCTTGTAAATCACAGGAAATAAAATCTCTTTTACTTATCTCCATTTATTGCTTCCAATTTTGTTTCGTTGACGGTAAGACGGCCATTACAAGTCCGAATGTAAATAATAAAAGTAACAACCTAAGCGTTGGGACAATAAAAACTAAGATGAGGATAACAGTTCAGATAAGTACGGTGTTTAACAAGCTTATTGTTTATTTTCTATTACTTACCAAGCAGTTTTGATCTTTTTCTACATGTGGTAGGATAATTGGTAATACTTCAGCGGGTATTGACATGTCGGCTGATGAAAGCTTTGAAAGGATGACGTAAAAGTGAGTCGGTATCGGAACGCTGCAGTTGACGGAATGCAACCTGAAACATTAGGGTTGGCCCATATGAAATGTAGGATTTTAATAGAAATAAAAGTAAAACGCTTGAATCAAAAGAGACAAAAATTCTTTGAAAGGAAACACGTATTCACAAAAAGATCCATTATTTTAATCAAAAGTAATGGCGTTTTTCGGTGTCGCATTTTCAAGCATCTGTTACAACCCATCCCCCTCAAAAAAAAAAAAAAAGAAAAAAAAAAGAAGGCTGGAAATCCAAACGCGCATTGAACTAGTGAAAGATACTTCCAAAAGGAAAACAAATTACTAAGAAGCAGGAAAATCTCTTTAAAAAAAGAGCAAAAAGTGCTGAACTGCTACGTAATGGTACTTAAAAATTCTCCGCCTCACTCATTTTCAAAAATATGACCAAATTTACAAATATTACATTTTTTTTTTTTTGCTTGGAACAGGGTCTTGGTCGGTCCGCGTAATATCCAGCACCCTCCCTCGTATTAAGCACTGAACCATGTCCTCTTAAAAAACTCTTTAAACGTTACGAATTACAAGACATAGAAATCTACTAGGTTCGTCTGAAAAGTTCATAGGCTGACCAAGATACTCTCATGGAATGTGACCAAACGAGGTTTATTTTTCAACATAGACCCCCCTACCGTCCATACGCATTTCATGTTCCTGTGCTTGGATCCCATTCATCCTGTTGGTCAAAAAGTCAGCAACTGTAACTGTGATACTGGTTCATAGCTAAGTGTTTCTTCATGTAGGGGAACAGATGATAGTCAGATAGAGCAAATCAGGAGAGTAGGGTGGCTGATCAATCAGTTCAAAGTCATAGTCATGCGTAGCAACCATTGACACCAAGGACCTTTGTGCTGGAGCATTGTCCTCATGACAGAAGAGTTTTTCTGGGCTTCCGTGAGTTTTTCTGGGCATTTGGTCTTTCATAACTGCTTCAGAAAGTTGGCATAGCACTCTCCATTGATGGAGTGGCCCTTTGTTTTAAAAGGAGTCAAGAAATACAATGCATTTTGCATCCCCAAAAACTGAGGCCATCACCTTCCCTGCAGAGGAAACTAGCTTGAGCTACTTTGGAGTAGGTAAGAGGGGTGTTTTCACTGCACGGATTGTCTCTATACACACACACACACACACACACACACACACACACACACACACACACACACACACACACACACACATATATTAATAATATTTTTTATTTAAAAAATGTTACATCGCTACATAAAATTTCTATGTTTCGGAATTTAAAATTGTTCCGTCATCAGGCGATGTTATTTTCATCATAAGTTACTGTTGTAACCTAGTTTAATACTATTTGGGTTGCTGGTAATTAATAATAAGGGCTTTCGTTATCAAGCAAAAACGGGATATTGATAAATAAACTACCATGAAAAGGGTTACATGGATATCAAGACCGATAGACTGATAACAATTCTTTTCCAGAGTATCAAAAATTCTAAAACGAAACAAGTATCCGGCTAAGAATAATACTTCATTTGTACGACGGGCGAGATGTTGAGAATTCATAGATAACACCGCCATGAGCGTGTGTCCGTGGAATCGACATGAGTAGAAATGGATAAAATTGTAAATGCTAGTTAGAAGTAAAAAGGTTATTTAAGGGATGTTTCTAAAGCGAACCAAAGGATATGAAAGCCAGGTATCTAGTATCTGATTTCGGACAGGAAGAAAATAAAGTCTTTCTGCAGAGATGTCAGGATTGAAAACAAGGAAGGATGAGGATCTGCCTGCACCCACTGAAGGGGAGCAGGCACAGACGAGACACCAAGGCTGGTGAAGGAGCTGCCCACGCCCACTAAGGAGCATTAGTGAGAGATGCTAAGGGGAGGAAGAAGAATCTGTGGACGGAATAATGCCTACAGCCGTTACTCGAGAAAAGGAGAAGAGACTTCCAAATTGAGAAATAATTTCTCGGGACCAAAAACAATTAAGATGACAGGTGGAGGAAATACCAATTCTCCAACTGCATCAGCCCACCACACCAGTTTTTGACAGACATCAATAAATACGAATGCGCGATGCGAATTCAGAGAGACAGAAGAGAGACGGGAGAGAGATCGCCCCGAGATTCCGTTCCAGTCGTCGAGCGCAAGACAACGTACGTGACTATCTGCCGACGCGAACCACCGACATCAGCCTTGAGCCAAACTTACCAAATCAGCTAAACAAATCTCGCTAATTCCGCAAGCCAAACCTTACCAGCTTAACCAAGTGTTGCGTCCGATTTAAGAAGAGGTTGGGACAACAAACACCTGTATGCTAACACCTAGACCCTAACAACTATTAACAAACCATTGTACGCAGTACTCGATATAAAAATAGTAAATATTTTTTTATATTATTTCGAGTGTTGTCTTTTCTCCCATTTTACTGTACGACTTCGCTCTGTTTGGACCAACACCAAGATACCTGCGACGAAACGATCTTGGCGTCCTTATGATCAACCAATCACAACGTGAGATAAGGCAAGTCAGGATCAAAGATATCACTCCTAGCCTTGGTACTGGACGTCTTGGACGATCGGGGTGGGTACAGAGTTACAATTGGTTCCCGTGAACCATAAGTCTGACTCTGAAGCCGTTACACATGGAAAGGTTACTGAATGAGGAATGACCAAAACGGAGGTTGGAAATGAAATGGTAATCATTATAACATCAACAAAATACAATACTCGCCAGCGGAGTTAAGTAGGTAAACCGCTGATAATGGTGGACTACTTAGACAGCATATTACCCCCACTTACAATAGTGTCCAACGTATTTATGAGGATTGGGACATACACATTAGTGTTCATACGTACGGTATCTAACATTGCCTGATGACGGAACAATTTTAACTTCCGAAACATAGAAATTTTTATGTAGCGATGTAAAATATTTTTTAAATAAAAATATTATGCTCTACGTTGCAACAAGCACTTTTTTAAAAAAAAAGTAAATGCTAAAGAACTGTGGATTCTTAATCTGTCTGTTCTTTCCCCTATTGGGATATATATATATATATATATATATATATATATATATATATATATATATATACATGCACATATATATGTGTATATATATATATATATATATATATATATATATATATATATATATATATATATATATATATATATATATATTTAGGCAGCATCTTTTAATTCATACACGTTTCATTAAATAAACATTTTTAGGCATTTAAAACAACATGCCTGCTCGCACACACAATTCCGTAAAATACTTGTCGAAAACACATTTATACTTCGACATAAAAACAATAGACAAAAACTAAAAATCCTTGAAGCATTATACATCAAACAGTTGAAACCTAACCTAAACAAAATCAATTATGGAATCTCTACAAATATCCTTAAATGTCTATAATTGATAACAGAAGCCATTTGTTTATACCATTGGCATTCCATACTTCATACTTCTCCAATTCACTCTCGTGTGGTCATGTGTGACGTCATGAGATGCGGTGCGATTTTCGCTTCTAGCGTCTTATATGCACGTGTTTATCGTTGCTTAGAAATCATCTATGTAAACAATGACAGACTATCGTCACTGTCTTGTCCATATATTGCTTAATATGTTGTAATTGACATCTTTGATAATGGCTTATGTAAGCCGAAAGCTTAGATTGCATTAAAAAAAATATGGATCAATATTGTGAATTTCTTTCTTCGTTCAATGATAATGTTATTAAATTTATCAGATGTTATGAAAAAAATTTACATAAAATAAATAGACAACACTTGACTATATTATTTAATGAAACGTGTATGAATATATATATATATATATATATAAATATATTAATGCACTATAATATATATTAAGGAGCAATAATTTTAATCACCGTAAAAGGGGTCATATTTAAACTGAAAACTTTTTGAACCACCCTCGTAATTTCAGTCCTTTTTTTTTTTTTTTTTTAATCAGGTTGTTTGTTATTACCTTTTGGCGTTATCCAATCCATCCTTAAATATCGGACCGGAAATGACGTTAAGAGTTGTGTATTTCACTGTGTATTCGCGAACCAAATTACCGAGCTCTTTCCACACACCTGGAAATATGATAGGAAATCATGCATGAGAATTTATTTATAAGCGATAAAGTAGATGGAAGAATGTCTAGATAATTAAAATATCACATTATTGAAGTAACGTTTCGTTTCCGAGTTTTTGAGCACCGACTGAATGTGAACGTAAGAATTATATCATGAGACTGCCTTTATATATTGAATTCCTGTTGTATGAAATTTGGGGGTATCGTATTGGGCATTTTTGGTAAGTGGAAATGATGCTTCGATCCTGAAACCATTGACTGAGCACAAAGCAATCTATCTATCTATCTATCTATCTATCTATCTATCTATCTATCTATCTATCTTCAGTTGTATGGATATGAGTTTTTGACTGTGGGTTTCACGGTTTTGCGATTATCAGACAAACTCAGTTTGTCTAATGATCACAAAAGCGTGAAGCACAAGGTCACAAACTCATACCCATGCAACTAAATATGTTAGCTCTATCACTGATATTAAGCACTTTCCAATAAGCACAGCGCATAATATATATATATATATATATATATATATATATATATATATATATGTAAGCAAATATATGGATATAGATCCGACAGTATGAAGATGGACATTCAAAATACTCAAATTTTAGGAATACGTTTTCACAGCGTCACCCACGTGACCATGTTTAAACGGAACGCTGATCTTATAAAACTTTCAGTTATCTGCTTGGATAAGTCTTGTTCTTATGTCCATCGTCTTTGTCATGTTGAATTGATAATGTTAATTATATTTTATGAATATGTCCTGAAGATGGTTTATTAGACCGAAACGTCCGACGTTGACATTATATTAACATTTAAAACAGCATAATTACATATAAGGATTTTTGTTTGTTTTTCCGTATATTTTTCTTCATATATATATATATATATATATATATATATATATACACCAGGTGTAACAGTAAAATTGTCCAAATCATGTAACAGTATAATTATATATCCCACAAAATATTTAATATCTAAAAAAAAAACACTAAACTAATTAAGTTTCTTTTCCCCTAGGTTTTCAGATAACACGTTTAACCATCTTGACACAATTTGTCGTAAATCCATTTGAGTTTTTCAGCTGAGCAATGGTGAGAGGGAAAAGATAATTCAGGCCTTTAGTAATGGTACCAACATTTATACTCAGGCTTCCATCTTCAAAGTGCATTCAAGAACCATGAAGGGAATCGTGAATAAGTTTAAAAAAGAGGGAACAGTAGAGAGGAAAACTGTATCAGGAGGTCACAACAGAAAGAGGGATCATCATTTTATCTTAGAGGTAAAAAGATCAATTAGAAAAGATCCAACTCAGTTCATAAGATGTTTGGCACGTAAGAGAGGGGTTTCAGTTATGATAGTTCAAAGAGCACTGAAAAAAAACTTGAAATGAAATCATACGTGAAACCTGTGAGGCACTTTGTTACACCAGGACAGAAAATTAGAAGGTTAGAGAGGGCGAAGATCATCTTGAATAAGTTGGGAAATGATCCTGGAATAATAAATATATATTTGATCTTTATTTGAATCCTTCATGAGCTTCTGATACTTAGGTACTATTAATTAATGATGAACATGTCATTTTCGTTTATGATCGATTCCATCACGATACTTCTGTTAAGCTTGGAGAGTAATGATACCTTCTTATTGCTCAAAGTAGAGTCCAATAGTGTTATAAAAACCTCAGAGAATTCCAGTAAGATATCTTTAATCATTTCTAAGATACAACGGTTCAGAGCTTAATCTAACAATTGAACAATTTTGCTGTTACGCGATTTGGACAATTTTGCTGTTACAACCGGAATATGTATCTCTCTCTCTCTCTCTCTCTCTCTATATATATATATATATATATATATATATATATATATATGTGTGTGTGTGTGTGTGTGTGTGTGTGTGAGAGAGAGAGAGAAATAAAATAACGAATCTACTTCGTTTAGGTTAGTTTTTATATCTGTGTCGTTGTAAGCACAAACGATATGAATATCATTAAAAACTCCCAAAAATCACGATTATTCGACAATGAAGACAAATGGATAAAGAAAGAAACGACCTTTGACACTATAATGGGAAGCTTTGACGGTGCGTTTTGTAAGCTCTTACGCATAAATTTGTTACACGAATTAAGTAAAATAATCGATAAAAATCACACAGGTGTCTATTAGAACGATGCTCTCATAATCTTAAAAAAAATACAAACAAAACGCAGACCAAACTAGAAAAACAATCAAAAATTTTTCAAAAATACGAGATTTGACATAGACATAAAAACTAACCTAAACGAAGTAGATTTTTTAGATGTCACCTTCAACCTAAGAAAAGGTAAACCATATAGAAAATCCATCAATAAACCACTGTATACAGACACATCTTCAAACCAACCACCATCAATAATCGAGCAGATACCACAATCAGTTAACCGCAGGCTTTCCTACTATTCTACCAGTGTAAACATCTTTAACGAAGCCAAGAAAGATTATGAAACAGCTCTAAAAGATAGTGGCTTCCCGGCAACACTCACATACACGCCACGCAGCACAAATAAGCCACCAGGAAAAGAAAGATCATATGGTTCAACCCACCGTACGACAAAAACGTAAGAACAAACGTCGGAAAAATATTCATTTAACTCATACACAAACAATTTCCAGTATCAAGCATTTCCCACAAGATATTCAACAAAAACAAACTAAAATCAGCTACAATTCCACTGAGAACATAGTAGAAATAATAAAAAGGCACAACAGAAAAACAATCAACAAACTACCTGAACAAATTAAACCCACGTGTAACTATAGAATAAAGAATGAATTTTCTTTAAACCGCAATTGCTTGGAGAAAACTGCAATATACTAATAAGCCACTTTAAAATCAAGATATAACGAAGAAATATATATATAGGAGTAACTGAAGGACACTGGAAATTGGAAACTATACACATAAAACATCATTTACAAATAGTAAATACGCGACTAGCACAATGCTTTCTAAACATATCTGGGAGATTGAAACAAAAACAAAATCACACCAAAAATATCATGGAAAATAAAGAAAACAGTATCAGCGTACATCAATAAATCTAAAAACTGTAAACTCTACCGTGAGGAAAAAATAGCTATAATTACCTTCCCAGACCAATAAAGACTACTAAATAAACGGTCAAAACTCATCTCACAATTTAGACACGAAAACAATTTTTTCCTACGTTACTTAAAAATTAAAAACAGAAAACGGACAAGAATAAACGAAAATAAACAGAATAAAATAAACAAACAAAAAATAAATTCATTGAAACAAATAAATAAGTAAATAAACAAATTAAATAAGCCACGATAAACACCATAAAACATAGTATTAACAACCAAAGACACATGGCACAGTGGATAAAGGCATTGGTTAGATCCAGTCACAGAACCCAAAAAGTGTGAGTTCAATACCCCGTTAAGGCAGTGGAGAACTTTCAGAGGGAAATTAACAGGAGATAACTGATAACTGACATCCATTAAACATGGCACGTGGAACTACAACAGTCCACCCCAGTGAGCGAAATAAAGGGTTAAGTTCGACATTCCAACCAACTGAAGAAGGCCGGTACGTACAACGGCCGAAACGTTGTAATAAATATGGCGACAAAGATGAGGTCAATAGTCCGAATAATGTAAATAATGTACATAATACCTCATCTCAGAAATAGAGACAGATACCAATAATAAAATAATTAATAATAAATAAAAATTAACAAACGATACTATAAATAACCAAAAAGCTGCATTCGGTTCCACAATTATTTCCACTCAATAGCCTATAGAATAATTCAAAACAACCGTTATCGCCAAACAAACGAACCCGTTAGAATAATACAATAGACTATCCACAATGCAAGACAACATACTACCCACGTGTATATATAAAAAGTCGAGCAAAAACACAATGCATGTGTCCTGACGATTGCGTTTAGCATGAAACAGACTGTCGCCTCTAGATGTTGACTTCAATGTCCACTTATATATATATATATATATATATATATATATATGCGTGGATGCATTAAGAAATCTAGTCTAATGACGAAAAACCTTTTAAACAAGAAATATGTTCAACACAATGTTCTTCCTTGTTAATGCCCTCAATCCTCTGTTGAATATTAATCTTATAAATGGAACATTATATATTGACAACTTGTGAGCAATATTCAGCAAATAAATACGTATCTGGTTACGAAATTGTTGTTCCATGCTTATATCTTGGAGGAAAGTTTCGAAAATAATTAAAAAAAGAAACAGGCGTTCACACAATTGTTATTAATGCAATCCCTCCATTCTCTTTCATATTTTTCCCGACAGTTTTGTCTCTTGGGGGCACACGAATAGAGTAGGTTGTTGTAGAAAATTACAAGCGAAATGGTCCACAACGTATTTCGAAAGGAACACGAAAGGCTTATATAAAAATTTTATATTCGACAGGAACACAATAGGCACAGATAATAAAGATAGAGAATGACAAGAAAACATTAAGATGCTCCTTACAAGCTCCAGTAATTCCATTCGTAATTTCTGCTGTACTAATTCTTGGAAACGCAGCAGATGATGGGCTTGCTCTTATCTTCAGATTTCTCTTAAAAAAAACCCGGAAAGAAATAGATAGATAAAAACGTAACATATGAGAATATGGCTGTCAATATAAGAAAGCGTCAGCGCCATCAAGATGGAAATTTCTGACATGCGCATTGGAGCCACGCGAGTTATCAAAGTGATATAATTTTTTCCCCTTTAAGACGAATATGCAGAAGAGAGAGAGAGAGAGAGAGAGAGAGAGAGAGAGAGAGAGAGAGAGAGAGAGGAGAGGGGGGAATTGAAATGATTACATATTTGTTTGAGGAAAGAGTAAAGGAAAAGATTATGAACGATAAAAGAATTAATGTGTGTGTATTTGCTTAAGCGGCCATGAAAAGAGAGACAGATACAATTTATACATTTAAGGGAAAATGTTTCGGGAAAAAAAACGAAAAAAAGAAAGCGAAGGAAGAGAAAGATAAAAGCTGATCATGATAGATACGAAGAAAAGGCATGAAATTCATATTGAAAATTTTCGGCAACCCATATTTCTTTTTAGGCTTATCCTGTCTTATATATAATTCGATTAATCTATACGAAGCGTAACTATTTATATATTTTTAATCATTTCACCCCAAGGAAGGCAATAAAGCCAGTAAAATGTAAGAGCTTACTGAGTTTTAGAGAATATGAGAGAAATATTATTAAGGAGATAGAACAATAAAAGAACAAGAATTAAGAAAACAGACGATAACAATTGACATTGCACTTAAATCTTTGGAGGTCAAAGTTGACTGGAAAGCAAGAAGCCGGAAGTAAGAAGTGCAATGGAAGAAGCGTTTAGCATAGAACTTACGGTTACATCTAGACATTTCAACTGTAAAATTATGAGACCTTGTCGTCAATCTAGTACTGCGCTTAAATTCATAAAATCTAGGATAGCACTTATCTAAGAAAAATACATACAAATTCATTTTTATAAAATTAACTCTAGAAAAAAAAGAAGAAAATGCCGGGTGATAAACAAGTGTTATTATTTTCTGCAAATATTTCAGGGGTTACTAAACCTTTTTTCCAGTCGACACAACATTTTTCTTTTATTAAAACAAGAAGTTGTTTCGCCGATCACAACAATCTTAACCTGTCTAGGGTAAACCGTTATCTTCTTCAGATGCCCCCATTAACTGTACCGCTTACTCTGTAACTCTCTAGCTCGAGAGGCTCTTGGACATTGCATAGGGTGAACATAACTGTAAAATAAAAGAACCGTGCAAACTGTTTATGAATAAAATTGTTTTGAATTTGTTTCGTTTGTATAATAGCTATAATGTAATATTTTAAGCCTTTCTTTTCAGTAATTGTTTTATTATTTTCCACACTATAATCCTTTTTACATAAATCATTTTTTTTAAATTACTAGACCACCCGTGAACCGTTGGGTCAATGACACTTCAGGTTAAAAAAGACTGAAGTTGATTTTAACATTAAAATATTATCTGTCTGAAAAGTTGAAATAAAAAATACTTACTGTATAAACAACTCGTATTTTTAAATCCTATCCTCTTAAAATATTTTTTAAATCATATTAACGTAAAACTATATTTATACGCCAAAAAATATTTAAAATTCATATTCACTTGAAAATATTTGTTGAATATAGCAAAAAATATTTTTTAAATATTTAAAATATTGTTTATTTAAAGAAAGCTGACATATAAATAAGCATGCAAGAAATCTCAGAGGTGGAAAGAGAGAAGTGAAAAGAGAGAGAGAGAGGTGGGAAGAGAGAGAGAGAGAAGTGAAAAGAGAGAGAGAGGTGGGAAGAGAGAGAGAGAGAGAAGTGAAAGAGAGAGAGGTGGGAAGAGAGAGAGAGAAGCGAGAGAGAGAGAAGGAAAGAGAGAGAGAGGTGGGAAGAGAGAGAAGTGAAAAGAGAGAGAGAGGGGGAAGAGAGAGAAGTGAAAGAGAGAGAGAGAGGGGGAAGAGAGAGAGAAGTGAAAAAGAGAGAGAGAGAGGGTGGGAAAGAGAGAGAGAGAGAAAAGAGAGAGAGAGGGGGAAGAGAGAGAGAAGTGAAAAGAGAGAGAGAGAGAGGTGGGAAGAGAGAGAGAAGTGAAAAGAGAGAGAGAGGGGGAAGAGAGAGAGAGAAGTGAAAAGAGAGAGAGAGGGGGAGAGAGAGAGGTTGGAAGAGAAGTGAAAAGAGAGAGAGGGGTGGGAAGAGAGAGAGAGAGAGAGGTTGGAAGAGAAGTGACGAGAGAGAGAGAGGTGGGAAGAGAGAGAGAGAGAAGTGACAAGATATAGAGAGAGAGCTGGGAAGAGAGAGAGAGAGAGGGAGAGAGAGAGAGAGAGAGGTGGAAAGAGAGAGCGTTGAAAAGGGGACATAAATCGTTACATTTATGTCCACAATCCAGACGTTAAATTAGGTCACCATCTGAGACGGACACACACCATTTTCTTCTCTCTACACTTCCTACACAATAATAAATTTACATCTTTCTTTCACACACTCTCTATATATGACTTCTGGTAAACACACAGGCATACAAAGTTCACAGAGTTTTATAATAATAAAAGATTTCACTCGTAGCAAAGCAATAAAACCAATAAGGACCAAAGAGTGTGAAAGAATAAGTGAAAAAGAAAATCAATAAAACAATGGTAATCCTACATAACTACTTCTTACCTCCTCCTTTTACGCAATTACAAGAGTCTTATTTAGTAACCATCTACTTTGAGAGAATCCTGGCATATGGGTTAGGAATCTGGAAGATACTAAACATTGATCCTACGTAAAAAAACAAAATAAGGATCGTATATAAAACAAGTAGAATAATAATTTCAATTATATACAGGCATGTTTTTCGGAGTTACTTTCCTGTATATTTATCTATAAATTTGGCGTCATCCTACTTGTGAGCTACAAAAATCCATCTTTTGAAATGCTAATTTACATTCATTGGAATAATTAACATTAATGTCGATTTTTGATGCAGCAGAAACAAAGGAGGGAGTGTTTCTTAGCATTAAAGATTCGCTTAACGATACTATCTTTGTAGTCAGACTTCGAAATTTATAAAAGTTATGTAAAGTAATATTAAGATCAATATATGTGCACGCGTAAGTATGTGTAATGTCTTGTGGTGTTGTCGACTAATCTACGAGGTTTGTCGGAAAAGTATCCAGCTATTTAATATTAACGAGAGGAGACAACAGTTTACCTAAGAAAATGGTGACTTAGTGCACTTCAAAGTGCTCTCCCACTTACGACCCGATACATAAGAAAAGTCATATTTTGGCATCGCCGTCAGCTGCTCAAAATATGCTGTTTAAACACACACACACACACACACACACACACACACACACACACACACACACACACACACACACACATATATATATATATATGTATATATATATTATGTGCCTGTTGTATATATTGTGTGTTATGTAGATAATATTATGTGGATATGTATTTATATATATATATACTAGCAGTAGAGCCCGGCGTTGCCCGGGGATGTAACAGTAAGAGATAGATCAAGTATCGACCATCATAAAGACTGAAAAATAAAATTGACAAAGATTATTGTTTAAAGTTGACGGACACGCATGTCTTAATTAGTTTTTTTTTGTTTTTTTTTTTGTTTTTTTACGAATTGGTCAAACCCAAACTCAAACAAAAACATTGTTTTCAATCGTTATGACTTATGAGTCTATCGATTGAATAGAATTTTATTATAAACAATTGTCTTGTAAATGGAATTTTTAAAGCATTCTGAATGTAAAAATAAAGAAAAAAGTGTGCAAGGCAATAAGAAACACTACCTGCCAAAAAAAATCGAAGTTTTGTTGAAATCGGTTAAAAAATATAGGCCATTCGATCCCATATATAAACGAAAACACACACACACACACAAACAACATGGGTTTTATAATAAGTATAACTCGATATGAGTTGTCCCCCTTTGATTCTGGCGACAGAATCGTGTTTTATCGTGTTTTCAAATTGATTTCGTGCAAAAATAATTGTGTTTTTCCAATATTTGGCGCTGTCAGAACCACCACAAATTAATTTTACGTAGTCCTGTGAAGTTTTGTTGAAATCGGTTGAAAAATGTAGGAAATACGATCCCATATATAAACGTACACACACACACACACACACACACACACACACACACACACACACACACACACACACAATCTGCGTTTTATAATAAGTAAGATGTGTGTGTGTTTGTAAAATTTCAGAGATAACTAAAAATACATCTGTAACAGGGCAATATGAATAAAGAGAAAAAGAAAATGTTAATTTTTTTTGTTAAATTTAAGAAACGCTCATAAATATTCATATTAATTACATTATAAAATAAATTAAAAATTCAACAAGATTTATTCAGTTTTGTTTATTAGATATTAAATTATATTACTTAATAAAAATAATAAAAATCCTTACATTTACAGTTTTTTCTTTATTCATATTGTCTTTTAACATATATATTATAATATATATTTTATCTGAAATTTACACACGCGCATATATATATATATATATATATATATATATTTATGAATAAAAATGACAATAGGAAAACTAGTAATTGCTGACGCGTTTCGTCTAATGTGAACTTTATCAATGCAAAATACAAAATGAATTAATTTCGTATTTTGCTTTGATAAAGTCCACATTGGACGAAACGCTTCAGCAATTACTAGTTTTCTTATTGTCATTTTTATTCATAAATATTGTCTTCTACTGGTTAAATCGGAGAAATTTTCACATATATATATATATATATATATATATATATATATATATATATATATATATATATATATATAAAAGACAAGAGGAAAAATATTCTTAGAAGACGTGTTTATTCCTCTGAAGGACTTTATCAAAGCAAATGTAGTATTTATTTTGTTGCACGTGTTTATATACAAAAGCAAGAATGTCATTGGTTTATCAAGGCTTTTAAACTTGAGAACGTTCATGAATATTCATCACGTGGTTGAAAGGTCAGTCAAAACATGTGGAGGGGCAAAAATTCAAAAGTCTATAAAATAAAAAAAATTTATGATAAAGTAAATAATATTTATATATATATATATATATATATATATATATATATATATATATATATATATATATATATATATATATATATAGAGAGAGAGAGAGAGAGAGAGAGAGAGGAGGCACAGTCGAGTAATGGATAGCGGCTTGGACTGAGGAATCGGAGAGCCGTGTTCGAATTCCAGTCGTATCCATTACATTCACTTACGTGCTAATACCCTTGGGAAAGGTATGAATCCTCTTCTTCTTCCAGCCATGGGTAAATATATATATATATGTATATATATATATATGTATGTATATGTAAATATAATTCTATCCTTTTCCTTCTTGCTCATTTTTTATCGGACTCATAACCGAAAAATCAATAAAGAAAGCTATTTGTCTTGATTAATGATGAAAACTCTCTCTTTCTCTCTCTCTCTCTCTCCAAACACAGACACACACACCCACACAAACGCGCGCTAAAAATGCGTACTATTACGAGATTGGAAACGAACAACATGATTGGTTCGCAGTTATAAATGACGTAAGCACCGTTTCAAACTTGACATTTGTAAAGAATACAAAGTCGAGCTAACTCTTGAAAACCTTAGGGATCGATTTGATCCTCTATTTATATTATGAAAAGAACCCCGCTTTTAAAAATATTAATATTTTTCGATTGGGACAAATGTCGTGGGCAAGGGAATGTCTTATGAATATTAATCCGCAAAAATTATTCCTAAAAGATTTTTGACTATATTTATTTTTATTTGATTGCTTTTACGAGCGGGCCAGTTGCTTTCATTCTCCCATTCTCCTCACTTTTCCTCTATGACATATGAAATATGTACAAGTAACCTTTGTCATCTACAATTCTAGCCCTGCTGCCAGGAAAGTTGGTTCATTTCGTTGTGGCAGTCACCACATTTTTTCTCGCTAGAATTCATTTGGCGCGTTTATAAGTCGCCCATGCATTGGACATTGCTGCCACCTCTGGTCTGGTGCTCATGCTATATATTCCGAGATTCTTGACAAAATAGAAAGAAGAATCTGAAATATTATCGGTCCTGACCTGGCATCTCGACTTCAGTCACTTCCCCCCATTTCCGTCATATAGCTTCCCTGTTGTCTATAAATAGTTTCATGGTAATTGTTCTGATGAGGTTGCTTCTTTGGTACATTCATTGTAAATATTCATTGAGGTTTTATTTTTAAATGTTATTATTTTTTCCCTCCTCCAAAAAAAAAATATATATATATATATATATATATATATATATATATATAAATATATGTATATATTGGAACTATATAGTTAGGACGACATAGAGACTTTGAGGTATTATGGTGGCTGTAGTGAGAATGGTAAATAAGAATATGTTGTTTTGATGGAAGGAATACTGAATGCTAAGTTTAAGATAAGACAGATTCAAGACCAGCTTTCTCCCCCCGCTACACTTTGACCTTGTGCCAAATTTTTGTATCTATACAAAATAAATATTGCTTTCCTCGACTTTATGAATTTAAGCGTAGTACTAGGTAGTACCAATGGATAGCGGCTAGGATTGAGGAATCGGAGAGCCGAGTTCGAATTCCAGTCGAATCCATTATATTTACTTACGTGCTAATACCCTTGGGAAAGGTATGAATCTTCTTCTTCTCGCCCCAGCTATGGGTAAATAGCAGGACAGACAGGGTTCTATAGCCTTGAGTGGCAATTGGTCTACCGCAGAAAGAAATGGCAACCTACTGCAGGAATAAAAATCTGCCTCGTCAGTCATGTATTGAAAGGTACGTGATCGCATAAGCCTGTATCACGCCTGGCACATAACTGTCTGATTAAAGTTGAAATTACTACAAGACACTGAATTCGTCATCGCCAGCTACGGATGCGAGTCATGCGCACTGATTAAGCGGGAAAGACATTGGATTGATGCCTTCGAGATGTGAGCATAACGTAGGGTTCTTAGAGTGCCATGGAAAGCTAGACGCTATCATGACAAATGCGCATTGAGAAAGCAGATGACGCTAAGGAAGTTCCGTTATATTATGCGAGGAGACAGCTTCGATAAGGATATTCTGTTGCGCCCAGTAGAAGGCAAGCAGCACCAGGGGCGACCACCCATGACTTCGTTTGAGGATATTAAAAGGTGAACTGGAAAGACAATGGCTGAGGCTGTCAAGGCAGCATGAAACAGAAAGAGATGGAGGGGTGGCAAGTGGTCTACCGCAGAAAGAAATGGCAACCTACTGCGGGAAAAATCTGTCTCATTATCGAAAGATACATGATTGCCTATGCGTGTATCACGCATGGCACATAACTGACTAGATTTTATACTCACAGGATATATTAAAATGTGCTTCTATAGAAGGATACAGAGAATGCTATGGATGGAGCAAAAGGGAAGTTTTAAGGAAATTAGAAACCAATAGGACACTCATATGGAAGACAAGATGGACAAAGAAAAGCAAGTAACCTACCAAAGGACCTTGTGTACATAGATGGCAAAACGGGGAATGGGGATAGAGTAAATAAAACAAACATTGATATAAAGGTTAGAAAGTTGTGGAGAATCATGATCGCCCACGTCATATAGAAGAATAAGATTGTATTGTATATCGATATTGCGAGAATTCATATGTTTAGCTAATCCGGACCTATTACTGTATATACTTGTAGGATAAATCTGGAGAAATTAGTTGTCATAATGTCTGGTTATACATAAAGGTGGTCAGGTCACCTTGAGAGAGAGACAGACACGACTACAAATATGACGCACAAAATGTGTATTGTCATCCTCCACCAGAAGCTCCTTTCTTACGGCCCTTTTTACCTTTGCATGACTGGCGCCTGTTTTCTTCAAAGAGATTATCTCCCTTGTAATTATTTAATTTCCATTTTAATTGGTCAGTAGCATCAGTCTCCCAATTAGACTGATTGATTTTAATTTTGAATTGTCTTTTAAGATCTTAAATCGTGTTTTGTTTATGTTGTGGCCTCCTATATCTATGAGCAGATTGTGATGGTTTGGGATGGATATATATGGAGCACATCTTCAATCTTATCACAATTTAAACAATATTCATTTATTATATATATATATATATATATATATATATATATATATATATATATATATATATAGTGATTTACCTTCTTTAAATTCTTTGTACATGGGGACTTTACTTGAACCGTTATCATATTGCTCGCCTGTAAAAGAGATAAAAATGATAGGTATTAATTTAGAAATGTGTACAATTAAAACAACATAGCAGAAATTATTGTTGTCAATACAGGAATTAATCAGGTGTTTCTTTTTTCGTATTGGGAGAGAAAGGCAGTGTTTTAATCTGTTGTTTCTTATATATATATATATATATATATATATATATATATATATACAATAAAAGAACAGAATTTAGGAAAATGGAAGATGGCGTTTGACATTGCATTTAAATTTTTGAACATTGTAGGTGGCAAGGAACCAAGAACTTGGAGAACGTTTCACAAGTGGGAAAAGTATTAGAAAATGAACTATTGGAATAGAACTGACGGTTACATTTATGTATTTCAACAGTGAAATGGTTAGAGTTAATAGCTAATCTAGAAGTACGTTTAAATTCATGCGGTTAAGATGCCAAGTAGGAGAGCTCATTAGGACAACTGGCATGAAAATATTTGTGGAAAAGGCAGAAGGAAGCCACGTCATGGCGGTTGGGAAGTGACCGAAGGATCGATAAGATAAGATCCTTATTTCGGAGACTTACCAGAAAAGAACAGACTTCCAGTCGTCACGTTATGGTTCGCATTCTCCATACAACTGATCGGCCCATAATTGCTCAGATTGCTGGACTAAAAAATACAAAAAACCCCCAAAAAAACAAAAAAAAAAAAAACACAAATAAAAGGATGAAAATTATTGTGAAGTTGAAAAAAAAAAAAAAAAAAAAAAACTAATCACACTTCTATTGCAAACTTATCTCCTGCCATTTCTGCTCGGCCGAGGGCCGGTTTATATAAATGTTTGGCAGCCGAGCAACGTCAGCAGAACGTAAGTTGTGAAAGACACTGTTTCTCGTTACACAATCAATTGGATAAAATATATAGATAGGCGACCACTAATGCTTCGTACACACTGAGAACATTTCATTATAACCTTTCTCAGGTTATAAAAATATCAATTCACCATTTATAAGGCCTGAGAACCACTCGTGGTAGAGGGTTACAAATAAGTGACACAGCTTATTTGTCTGTCTAACTCTCTGCATTAGCAGGGAGGAACCCGGACGAAGCTTTGCCGAAGGGCAAGGTTTCATTCGGGGAGGTTGACAGTTCTCTAACCCGCCTAGGCGGGTTCGAAGGCTATATTTTTGGCCGGGCCTACGGGCTCGGATGACCCACATTAAACTCGGCCTTGTGCCACATTCGATCCCACGTGAGGGGGGGCAGCTAAATATTAGCTTATGCGGATATATGAGGGAGATAACGGTTAACCTTGAACTTGAACAGGTTAACATTCTAGCAACCTCTTGGGAATCGGTCCCACAATGTTCGTGAGAAGAAACTGTTCGAGTGGAACTTACATCTCGCCAATGGAGCAAGAAAGGAATGAGGGCAGTTCGCTACAATGCACGTGGCATAGTGGGTCTTAGTCGTGAAGGTTAGAAGTGGTGGAACTAAGGTGTTCATCTGAACATTCTCCATGGAAATAGCGATTGAGTAAACGAGAGGCTTGCGTCAGAAATGGATTATCGGGTGGCACCTAATTCGTCACCTGCAAAGACGCCGAAACGATTTTAGACTCTACTGATATTACAAAGTGAAGACTGTGCAGCTCCTGTCCATATATGGCAGCAGTACTCCATTTTCAGCCTGATCTGGTCTCTTGTAAAAGTACAGGATATCAGGAGGAGTCAGGTACTTGCTGGAGCAGTACAGGGAACCGACCATTTTCCTAGCATCTTTAGCGATGGATCATATCTACGAGTTCCACTTGAGGTCTAGGCTGATTTTAAGTCCCAATAGGGGCTCAAGGCACGGGGTCTCTCACAGGGAACATCCGTAAATCGTGATTGGTGAAAAGTCTGGACTCGATCGGCGATAGTGAAAGTTTACTAGTTTGGTTTTTGGATAAATGTATGCACTGGAGTATCAAGGGAAGTAACTGATGTCTATGCAGAGAACAGTTCATTGCAACCTTCTCCAGTTTATAACAATATATATATAAGATAAAAACACGTTCACGGGTAACAATTTTGAATTCTTTTTTCTGACTCAGCGTGCAGTCTATCATGATGGTCATAATATGATGATTGTTATATGTTTATATACAAAATATAATGTATTATTTCAATAAGAATTTAAATAAAAAAACAACAACTTTTTCATTTAAACTATATTTAATATAAGGAACATTATTAAGAATAACTTCTACCCATAGATTTGATTTCTAAAACTTTTTTTTTTCATTTCATTTTTAAAAAAATATTTTTCCTTCACGGACCCTTTGCGTCAGTCTTGTGGACAACACTTTTGACAGCCATTACTTTCAACGTCATTTTTGTGGACAACACTTTTGACAGCCATTACTTTCAACGTCATTTTTGTGGACAACACTTTTGACAGCCATTACTTTCAACGTCATTTTTGTGGACAACACTTTTGACAGCCATTACTTTCAACGTCATTAAAAAAAGAAAAACGAAGCGAGAGGTTATGATTCGCCCTTTAGCACTTCTTCTTCTGTATGCCGCGCCTCTTCAGGACATTGGCGATCATGGCTCTCCACAATTTCATGTCCTTTGTAACTCTTAATAAAATTTGTCTTTTGGTTATTTCTCATGAACCTTCTTTTGCTATCCATTTACTCAAGCTCGCTACGTAGGTCATGCATTGCTTTCCTTTGTCCCTCTCGCCTTCAATCTGTCCTGTGAGTATCAAATTTTCCAAGTCCTCTTTCCCCATTATGTGTCATAGAAATTTCAACTATCAATTTCTGATGTTAAGTATAAGTGTCCATTTTGTTTGCATTTTTCTTAAAACTTCCTCGTTGCACACATGTTCATTCCATGATATTCTCAAAAATCCTTCTGTAGAAAGACATTTCTGTTTTCTTCAAGTATTTAACACTACCCTATTACGAACTCAGTCTATTAAAATGCAGTTAAAATACAGTTCAATTTTTTTAATTGATACGGGTTTAGTAATAATTTGATAATAGCATTGATTCAATTCCTATAGATTGAATACGGTCTTATATCATCCGCGATACGCCTCTACTAAAACCATGAAAAGTTATTAAAGGTCACATTCGATAAAGAAGACACACTTTACTGTGAAATTATTTTATAGTGGCCCGATACGAGCAGTGGCCAATTACAGAAAACGTCAGTAACACGAATGTTGATGGAATAAATAAAGTTTCGTTGGTGTCAAACATTAAATATAAGAGAAAAAAAATGAATAAATCTTTCTACACAATGTATGGTGAATGCAAAATTGATACACACACATCTACCTTTTCAATAATTCTTCTATTCTTACCTATGTGCTCAGACTAATTTGAAATAAAAAAAAATGCAGACAAAGTTTTCGTTTAGTCGGTTTTTCACTGTGGAGGCTGTGGTCAACTGTCAAAACGAGAGGGGTTACACCATTTCGCCGGGTACCATCCCTAAAGGTGTCAGAACATATTTCAGGCGACAGAAATCAGCTGCTCTCATAGTTTAAGTTGCTATTGCTGTTGAGGGTTCGAAATCGCCCTTGCTGTTCATTGAAGAAAGAGTGAAAGTCGATAGCAGAGTTAACCAGCAAATGTTGGGGAGAGATGTGTTGCCATGGTTGTCAGCAGAATCTGGAAGTCACTCACTCACAGCCATGTTGACGCAGACTGGTGCAAGGAACATTTCCCTGGATTTTTGACAAGTCGATTTGGCCTCTATGAATCCTGGCATTGATCACTATGGGCTTTGAGATAAGAGTCATATTGGAGGGCGATAGTTTGCATATCTCATACTCAAGTATGTCAGACCTGAAAGAAGCTGTTAGGACGCTGTGGTACATTTTGAGAGAAGTGGTTGTGAAGAAGTCATGAACTTCAGATGAAAAACGATTAATGGTTATGCTGAAATTCAAGAGCGGACATTTTGAATTGTAATTATATGTAAAATATTGTCAATGAATAAAACGATCAATCTGTAAACATTCATTAAACAAAACCTAAACCTTCTTATTTCATGATAAAAAGAATAATGGTTGGATCTTTTCTGTTCTTTTTAGCCCCAAATATTAATTCGCCCCAAAATAAAAAAGAAATTATATTTACTAAAGTTCACACTAAATTCTCCCAGATTCCATTGTACTCCAGTTGGGTTGATCTTTGCGATCGCTTCAAATGTGGGAAATTCGGGTGAGCTATTTCTAAGTGTGGGGTCTGCATTCGCGCTTAACCCCACTAAAAACAAATTTTTTTCCTTTTTTTTTTAAATTGTAAAAAAATCCTTTAAGTACCTCGAATATTATCCGTACTTACGAAATATCAATAAATCCCTGATTTTTGGCAATTTTTCATTCTGAAGTTTGAAGTTGTTGCGAGGCAAATTTTGTTTTAAAATTTATCACTTCAAAAAAGTACTAGAAATTTAATAAAAACAAACTTTGATTTAAAATTTATAATTTCTAGCGGTGAATTAATATTTACAGTGAGTAAATTTACATTATTTGGGTTGAATTAACAGAAAAGATCCTAATCCGTAAATGTATATGACGCCGGCGATTGAAATTCAGTTGGAAAGTCAGACATGGCTCCTATTTTAATGGCACGCTTCTTGAGTCTAGCAGCTGTAAAATAAGAAATTAACTTACGTTCTCTTTTGGTAGGTTGTAGGCGAACCACAGAGGCATTTGGATATCGTTACTTTTTGCCAGGGAAAAAGCATCTGTGTGTAAAATGCAGAAGTTTCCAGTTTTGTGAAAATTAGGAACACCAAACGGTACTTGCTTTAGTAAATCATTTTGAGGCGACTGGAATAAGACAAAGATTGATACAAAAATAAACACACAGAAACAAAACAAAACAAAAAAAGTGATTAAAAACGAAGATGAGAAAAACCAGCAAAAACAACAAATAAGAAAAAATGCAAAAAACAACATAAAATAAAAATTATGACAACTTCTGTTTTATTATTATTATTATTATTATTATTATTATTATTATTATTATTATTTCCTTTGATTTCTGGTGTGTACACGTTTCTTTCTAAGGTCAGAAATGGCATCATGACATTTCCCCTAATTAATTAAAAAAACAAAACAAAAACAAACAAAAAACAACACACACACACACACACACACACACACACACACATTCATTTTACATAGGTAAAGCCCTTCGTAAGGTGTGTGATGTACTTGTCAGAACAATTTTTTGTATTTCTTTAAGGCATGAGCTTCCAGAAATCCCTTCAATGAGTCTACTGGAATCTTTTCCAACCAATCTGAGGGCTCCAACTACAACGGAGATTGTTGATGTTCCCATGTGCTACATTTTTGAGATTTCGATTTCATTCTTCTTCTTTTTCTTTTTCTTCTTCTTCTTCTTATTAATAACAATATTATTATTATTTGAGAGGGCAGTATGCTAACAAAATAACACTAGGATACAAATATCTTCTTTTTGTGACGTGTCCCTTCACGACGTAGGCGATCATGGTTCTCAATAGTTTCCTGTTCTTCGTAGAGTTTAGTAAATTTTATCTTTTTCTTATTTCTCTTAAAACTTGTTCTGCCATCCACTTAAGTATATTATAATAAACACTCAAGGGAACACTCGTTCATCGCGATTGGTGAAAGTTCTGGGTTCGATCTGCGATGGTGGAAGTTCACTCGTTTAATTTTTGGATAAATGTACGCACATGTGTAGCAAGGGAAGCAACTGATGTTTAGTCTACAGAGAGAACAATTCATTGCAACCTTCCCCAGTTCATTAATTATGTTATGCGCTGTTTTCTTCCGTTCCATATACCTTCAGTCTGTCATGAGAGTATCAGATTTTCCAAACCCTCTTTCCTCACTATGTGCCTTAGAAATTTAAGCTGTCTCTTCCTGATGTTAAATATATATCTGTCTTGTTTCCATTTTGTCTAAAATTTCGTTGTTGCTCATATGTTCGGTCCATGGTATCCTCAGCATCTATCTGTATAATCACACTTCTGTTGCTTTAAGTCTCTTTTCCATCTTTGAGGAGATTGTCCAATATATAGGATACACATACAAATCCCCAAATTCCCAACCATGACACCCAGTCTTCTAGTAAGGGTATACAAAGCATATGCATCACAGCCAAATGTAAGCAATATAGTAAGAGACGTTGATAAAAGCTGCGTATAACGAATCAGATGGGGACCAGTTAGTAATACCTTCATCGTCAGTTGACCTAGTCCACTCAGATGGTGTTTTTCCCAGCGTAGCTTAGATGTTTGTTTTTTTTAGCATTTCACCCCAAGCAAGGCGGGAGTACCACTAGTTCGCAGGGCGTGACACAGAGTGGAGGTTGAGAGAAAAACTGTGTATAGAGGGAATGAGGAAAGGATAAAAGATGAACGGGATGAAAGACATCAGAAGATGGCGATTGACGTTGCATTAAATTTTTAGAGATTGTAGTTATCAGGGAAGCAAATAAACGGAAAAGAAGATCCACAGGCAAGAAGTGAAAGAAAAGAAGCTGTTGGAGTAGGAGCGGCGGTTACATTTAACTATTTCAACATTAAAAGGGTGGGACCTACATGCCAAACTAGTAGCACGCTTAAATTCATGTAGTCGGGGCACCAGAGAAAAAAAAGCTCAGAACAGTAACCATGGAAATATTTGTAGAAAAAACAGAGGGAAGCCACATCACGTCTATGATGCACCCATTGAGGATCGAACTCACTATTCAGTCGTAATTAATCGAGCGGGATTTAAAAATGACACCATGTCGAAGTGCTAAAAGGTCACTCAGATGGGCTGCAATTGAAGATGTTTCTACGTATAGTTGTCTGTGACTATTAGAGTAAACAAAACAAAAAAATACAATGCATACAATTTCTTTGTATGCATTCAAAACATCCGGCAAATTTGCCCCAAAACTATGTACCTTTTCAGCATATAGTCACTGAAATAGTCACTGTTTACAAACTCACACTTCCTAATGGGAGTGGGCTGATTTAAATTCCAACAGGCAACAACGACTAAAAAATCTCCCACTCGAATTCTGCCCAACACGCGATGGCTCGGAATTAACGCTCCTTCTAAAATTCAAAATCACACAAATAATACATGTCACGCAGTCAAAATATGAAAAGAAACAAACAACACCAAAACAAAACACCCTTGAAAATGGTTAAAAAAGTAGCGAAAAGCGCTTGGGAAATGAACGATATGGAAGGTTTTAATACTCTCCCATTCCCACCAAACGGAATATATATATATATATATATATATATATATATATATATATATATATATATATATATATATATATATATATACATAGAATAAAATTCACCTTACAAGAACTTCCTTGCAGGATTTGTCAACACCAAGGTGTTAAAAATAGAATAAAATGAAGAATTGTTAATTGTAGAGCCGAGTTCCAATTCCAGTTGAGTTCGGTATGTTTCACTTAGGCACAAATAACCTTTGGAAAGGTATAAATCCACCTCTTCCTCCCTTAGCTATAGGCTAATCAATGTGATTTGTATCAGTAAATAATTATTGTCTTCCCACCCTCGCAAAAAATTCTGGCTTTATATAACCTGAAATGGGTTGATTAGCCGTAAAAAATGAATCAATCAAAAATCAGAGACCTCTCTAATACATTGTTCATTTAAAACGATCGAGCAATTAAAAAACTTTCTATACTTTTTCGTCTCAGTGAATTGTTTTCTCTTTTAATTAGAGTAGAACCTTATTTTTAGTACTTTTTTTAATATCAACATTGTGGTCAGTCGTATGTATGTATGTCTATATACATTTCTAAAGAATGAATAGACTTTTTTATTACTTCAAACGTTATTATAGTGGATACTCGTATCTGAAATAGACGTCCCATTTTTATTTTAATTACGCCAATTGGCCTGCGCATTCGAGAAATCTTAAAGAATCTTAAAGAAAATGTATGAATTATATGCAATGAAATATTTTTCATCCTCGCCTATAAAAAAGAAAGATAACACGCGTTAAACAAGACGCTCACTGAAATATCGTCTGAATGGAGAATTCAAAAAGACGCCATTTCTTTTTTGTTTTCGTTTTTCAATTGGATTAGGTTCTTTCATATCTCTTATCGACACAAATGGAGGACGGTGAAGAAAGTTGTTTGTGATTATCAATAATGCACTTAATTGACCTGCGACTTCCTGGGCTGAGGGATGCGAGCAGAAATAAAATGCACTCCTCTTTCTTCTCAAAAAAGGACAGAATGTAAATGAAAATATCTTGGAGCTCACGGTTTATTTGTAAAGGCTTTGCAAAAGCAGCGTGCGTTATTATTCAGTACGTGATCACTAATTTCAAACATTGTATTTTAGAAACACAAAGAAAGACAATTCAATAGCTTTTAACTATATTTTAACTGTTGATGTCGTTACAAAATGATAAGAAAAAAAGGAAAAAAAAAAACAAGAACAGAAAACAGAGACATCAGCAGGTTTATAATTCTTCTTCTGTGTCGTGTCCTTTCAGGAGGTGGGTGATAATAGCTCCCCACAACTTCCTAGTGTGTATTTTTTCTATCTCTCCTAATCCTTGGTCTGTCATCCATTTAGACAAGCTTGATAGGCAGGTTACTCGCTGCTGTTCCCTGTCCCTCTAACTTTCAGTATATCCTATGAGTGTCAAATTCTCCAAGCCCCCTTTCCTCATTATGAGTTCTAGAAATTTCGACTGTCCCTTTCTGATTCAAGTATAGCCCACCCATAACTAGTGAGATAAAAGACATGTTCCTGCTTTTACTTAAAGCATTAGTGCAAAGTGAGGAAGAGTTTTGGATGAAATTTGAATATGTCTCAAGGATTTCATTTTCTGAGATAACCATTATGCATATTGTAGAGTATCTAGAACCTCTTCAACACTCTACCAAATGGCCTGGCTCATAGCCTTAAATAGTATACGATTAAGGACTTCAACAGTTGATTAATAAGTTGTTCCTAAGCTGATTAATATTCGGACTGATCTTACTTCGTTTGGCTATACAGCATTTGACCCTCCTCTATTCCTTATAAGTTGTCTTGTTAATTGTTTTGTAATTTACTGCTCTGTTTTTTTGTATGTATCCGTTAGCACTGGATACTGGTGATTAATAAGTTGTTCCTAAGCTGATTAATATTCGGACTGATCTTACTTCGTTTGGCTATACAGCATTTGACCCTCCTCTATTCCTTATAAGTTGTCTTGTTAATTGTTTTGTAATTTACTGCTCTGTTTTTTGTATGTATCCGTTAGCACTGGATACTGGTGATTAATAAGTTGTTCCTAAGCTGATTAATATTCGGACTGATCTTACTTCGTTTGGCTATACAGCATTTGACCCTCCTCTATTCCTTATAAGTTGTCTTGTTAATTGTTTTGTAATTTACTGCTCTGTTTTTTTGTATGTATCCGTTAGCACTGGATACTGGTGATTAATAAGTTGTTCCTAAGCTGATTAATATTCGGACTGATCTTACTTCGTTTGGCTATACAGCATTTGACCCTCCTCTATTCCTTATAAGTTGTCTTGTTAATTGTTTTGTAATTTACTGCTCTGTTTTTTTTGTATGTATCCGTTAGCACTGGATACTGGTGATTAATAAGTTGTTCCTAAGCTGATTAATATTCGGACTGATCTTACTTCGTTTGGCTATACAGCATTTGACCCTCCTCTATTCCTTATAAGTTGTCTTGTTAATTGTTTTGTAATTTACTGCTCTGTTTTTTGTATGTATCCGTTAGCACTGGATACTGGTGATTAATAAGTTGTTCCTAAGCTGATTAATATTCGGACT